ACAGTTACAGTGGCAAGTGGGAGGGAGAAGGAGGGTAAGCAGATCCGCAGGCACACATATTTGGGCAGCCTTTCCCAGGCTGGTGCCCTCTAGAAGTTTCAGGCTTCAAGTCTCTTCAGACCACACTAACAAGATTGATTCTGGGAGAATAGGGGAATCATAGTTTAAAATATGTGGAGGGCACTGGCTTGGGAAAGGTTGTATTCAGGCCTTTTTTTGACTGGGAACAATGATTGAAGGAATAAGCCCAAGATTCCCAGCAAGAGGTGGACTTGGGGAAAGGATCTGAAAAGGGAGTGAAATTCAGTACCAAGGCAGTCAGTGTCCATGGAGGGAATTCTGAACATGAAGGCAGTTGGGAAAAATGGTGGAAGTGGCTCTAGGAGAGCAGGTGGCTGGAAGAGGGAGGTGCTGTAGGGGCAGATAACTTGAAGAGTTAATGGGAAATACTTTTGATGATCAAAATATGGGATTCCGTGCCTGATGCTCCTCAGTTGCATCCTTGGTGTGCTGGGTAACAGGCCCCAGTTTTAAGAGCTGTGAATCTTAGGCTGATCTGTGGCAGAAGGACATGAATGCAGCTCATGTCTTTGATCTGAGTGAGTGAGTCTGATGTGTTGGGGAAAGACCAAAGCTCAGTGGTAGATGCATGCTGTGCATTTGAAAGGTTCCCCCTCACTCTCCAGCATCTCCAAGGGAGGGCTGGGAAAGACCCCTGTCTGGAGAGTGGCTATCTTTGTGGATAGTATATAGCTAGCTGGATTGTGGTCTCCCATTCAGTAGGAAGACAGCTTCTGACATGTTTCCTGTGGGCCTGCCAAGAGATGCACCTCCTTTGTCACAGGGGCAGCGAGGCCTTCCCCTCACCCTCCCATCCAGATTTCCCTTAATGCAAAGTGGCAGGCTGAGGTGAGGAATGTCATCTCTGCTCACAGTATGCACCCGCCACTCGCTGCCTGCCTTCTGGCCCTGGACTTCCAGCTTGTCACATCTCCATCTCCTTGCCTGAGCAATGCTGGACCTGGCAGAGAGGGAGCCAAGGGCAGCCTAGGGGCCGGTGAAGCTTCCACACAGGCCACCAACCTTTCATTCTGAGCCTCCTGGAGAAAGGGTGTCCTGGCAGTGGGTGGCAATGTCCTCAAAATTCAAACTGTCCATTGAGATAAGATGCCTCAAAAGGGCTGTAAATCATGATGGGTTGAAAAGCAGTCATGTTTCTCTGAGTCAGCATCCCAAGCACAGCTGCATGCCTTTAAGAAAGCAGAAGCAGAAAGAGAATGCATTTCATTGTCCTTAGTGTTTTAATTTATAAGTTGCCTTGTGGAGATTTTGTCTTAAAAGGCAGAATATGCATATTTTAAATAAATGAACATTTATACTGTAGTATGTCCTTTGTCATTCTGGACATCTACTGAAAGGTAAGAAGACTCCATATTCTTTCTTTCTGTGTGTATATGTGTGTGAGAGAGATTGAACGCATGCATGCATGAGTGTGCATGCATGCACTGTGTATGCATCTGTGTAATATATTAACAAAGCCCTCACAATGGGTTATGCTTAGTAGCACTGATGACAGTTTTAGACTAAAACATCTGGAGGGCTACAAGTTGCCCACTGTTGAGTTAATGTGTAAGGATTGAGTGTACTAATAACCTTTTATTTGTTTATACTGGGTGTAGCAATTTGTATGTGTAGTAAACGGCTGATGTCAAATCTCCCCTCAAAAAGATGCCACAGGGCTCTGAGGCCTTGTGACGCTGCTGGCTGTGCTGGACCTGCCATGGCCCCTGTCCCAGCTGCAGATCCTGGTGTTGCTTTGGCCCATCTCTTGGAAAGCTGTGGCCTCACACAGACCCATCACCTATGTTTTTAAGTTGCAGTTGGATTCCATCTGTCAACTGCATGCCCAGACTGGGCGGTTTCCTCAACGCTCACTGTGCTAAATTTAAGGCTCACCATTCATTACAGGAAAGCTCAAGAGGTAAATGAAAGCAAAGAATACCCCCCACCCAAAAAAAAAAATACAGCCTGTGACCAAACTTAGGCTGGTCTAAACCAAGAATGAAACCCTCTTCTCTCTCATTACCATGCCACGGAGGGGCCTTTGTGTACAGCATGGACACACGTCCTCCAAATTATGTGCTTAAAATGAATTATACTAATTGCATCACTAACCAAACTGACCTGGGGCAGAATTTCTTCCCAGTTCCAAATATGGTAATAAGGGCAAAATAAAAGCCAGCCCTCTCTCTATCAGGAAAGCTTGGGTGCCCCCCACCCCAAACACTAGAACAGCAGGCCCATCGAACATAATACATTCTGCCTCAGCAATAGTTGGTGCGTCTGAGTGGTGAGTTTCCAGCTTTCTGTCTTCAGGGAAGCCTTTTCACATCAATTTGTCAGCTGAGGACCCTTTCCGTGTCTGCTGTAAAACCTCCCTCTGTGTTGCGGGGGAAGTGTCTGTCATGAGCTGCACACTGTCAGCCCAGGAGTTTGGGACTCACTGCCTAAGACGTTGTAATTCCTGAGGCAAAGGGCAAGATACTCCCTGCTGGACTGGCAGTTGGACTGCTCAGCATGGCAGTTGGACGGCCTGAGGGCAACAGAGCTCGGTGTCAGTGGACAGGAAGACCAACCTATGTCTGGACTGGTGAAGCTGGATGAATTATGTTGGGGGCTGATGGGATGACTTTCTTCAACCCAGCTGGATGCAAAGCAAAAATAGCAAAGCCAAAACATACCTTTCTTTAATGTATCTGTTTCTGGGGTGGGGTGCCAGCATAGTCATATATCATAGCTCATATAGCAGTCCTTGGCTTTGTCCCTTCAGCCAGCCCCAGTCGATATGGTGAGCTGTGTTTGCTGGGTGTCATCCCCAAATGGCACTTGAGAAAGAGAGAGTATATTTGAATAAACCAAGGGTCCTGAACTTCTCTCAGCTCAGGATCAGAGAAGCTCTCAAAGGCCGTATTCAGAGAGCCAGTGTGGTGTAGTGGTTAAGAGCATGGGACTGGGACTCAGGAGAGCTGGGTTCTAGTCCCCGCTCAGCCATGGAGCCAACTGGGTGACTTTGGGCCAGTCACAGACTCTCAGCCCAACCTACTTCACAAGGTTGTTGTTGTGGGGATAAGATGGAGGAGGAGAATGATGTAAGCTGCCTTGAGCCCTTTGAGGAAAAAGGCAGGATATAAATCGAACACACACACACACACACACACACACACACACACACACACACACATATTCCAGTGGTGGGTGGGGCCGAAGACAAAGGAGCAGGGTCAAAGTAGCAGCATATTTTAGTGTATTCCTGCAAGTACCTCAGCTTTAGGGCAGACATTCCACCTTTTTCAATGGAGAGGAGGCCTGTAAAAAAAGCTGGGAAATCTCCAACTGATCAGTGGCTGGGGAAGGGGAATGAGACCAGGAGAAGGGGGCATGTCCATCTGGGGACACCAGGCCAGCTGTCCTGGAATCATCAGCCTGAGGTTCTGCATCTCTGATGTAGATTATCATCACCAAGTGAAAGTGGATGGTACAGATGCCATGTTGTCATTTGGAGAGCTCTGTCCCAGCTCATTTGCCTGTATAGGCCTTGGTGCAGCAGTAGGGTGGCAGTGTGTCCCCTCCTCAGATGTTGCATGGTCTTGGCTGCTGGGATATGCATGCACTTCCACTGGTCTTCAGCCCACACGAGGAATGTGCACTCTCCATCCCTTGTTGCCAGCACAACCTCAACCATGCAGGTAGAGATTGACTCTAAGAAGATGTCAGAGGCTGGTTATCTTTCTGGATGTGTGAAGCCCAAGAGGAAGACAGTAGCTCTTTCCTGCCCATGTTCCCACCATCTGGGATAGAGAGACAAGTTGCAGCAGATACCTGAGCTACTATATAGCCATAATGACTAGTAGCTATTAATGCCTTTGCCTTCCATACAACCTCCCAGAGAGCTTCAGCCATTGAGTGGCATAGAAAAGAAAGAAACAAACAAACAATTCTCTCTATGCACACACTATATCCCTTGTGAAAGCTGTCTGAGGTTGTGGCCATCACCACATCTTGCAATCTTGCATAGAGAATTTCACGGTTTCTCTGTGAGTTGTATTTCTCTGCTTGCTTCTGGCTTGCCTTTGATGTGCAGCAGCCCACACTACACGTACTTTGAATGATCCCCTCCGTTCTTGCCAGCATGTGCCTCCAGAGTATAGGAAGCAAAGATATAGGTATTTATTTTATTTTATACTGTTCCCCAACCCCCTTTCCAATCTGTTTTGTGGTGCATGAAGGAATTTTGTGGTGTTGATAGTTCAAACCTAGCCTCTGCCAGGCATTGGCTGGCATTCCTTATGGTCACAGAAAGAAGAGGCAGGCAGAAGGATGCACTATTGTCATTGTGAGGCTGAGCAAATAGAATGATGGAAGGAAGGATGGGGAGAAGATGAGCCAAGCTGCAGTCTGAGATGGCAACAGAAAAAGGGGCTAGGGTAGGAAATGATTATTGAAGGAAAATAGGAGAGAGGGCAGGAAGGGAAGTGTTAGATTGCCAGCAGCTCAGAAAGGGTGAGGGATTGTCTATTGATTTGCAATAAGTAGCCAAACCTTTGGCTGCAAGCCTCTGGTCACCACAAGCCAACCACGTACATATATATTTTACATGTCTAAAAATACAGTTTGAAAAAACAAATGCCCTTAGTATGTGGTTACTGTGTGAGCTGGCTCTTAAAGAGCCCAAGAGACATGTTGACTCATGAGCCAAGGCGAGCCCTTGCTGGCCCTTCATTCATCCTGCTTTTTGTCTGGCTGCTTGGCTGTGCCCGTTCAGTCTTTTAATTGATTAGGAAAGAAAAAAGAAAAGCTGGTCTGTGATTTCATGGACCATATTGTCAGCCAAGGGCTGGGATCTCCTTGATGCATCAGTGAGTACTGCTATACCTGGAGGCTTATATGTCCAGAAAAAAAAGCTGGGTAACCATGCTCCCCACCTCACTCATTTTCCTCAGTGACTCCTGCCCATTACCTCGCCATGGATCGGATGAAGAAGATCAAGAGGCAGTTGTCCATGACTCTGCGGGGGAGCCGGACAGTCGAGAAGAACCTCAACGAACCCATCAATATTGAGGAGAACAACAGCAGTGATAATGGTGAGTTCTCCCCTTCTCCTCAAGAACATACCTTTAAAAAGAAAACATGGCAAGACACAACTGATGTGGACCATGGAACAGAGATCATGCAATGGTTGCCATTTGTTATCCAGTATATCCTACACAGGTTTAGTGTGGGACCACTTTAGAAATAGATCATCAAAACACTTGAATGTCAAAACATGCACGCATACACACAACACAACAGGAAAGCAGAAGCCAATTGTCAACACCAATTTTTGCTCATCCTTCCTTTTAGAATGATTGTCTGAATAAGAGAGACTTTACTTTGTTACTTCAAGATGCTCTTCTTTTGTTTCTCCTCACCTCCTGATTATTAGAGCAGTCTTCCACAAAAGGGTGTTTTCCAAGTGTGTTTTGGGACTACAGGCCTCATCAACCCCACCCAGAGGGGCCTGGGAGGGGTGATATGCCACAACCTGTTGCTGATGAGAGTGGTAGTCCCAAAACACTACACACTGGCTTGGGGAAGACTATTAAAAAGGGAGAAGATGAGGGAAAGCCACAAAGAGTTCCCCCCACAGATACTTTTGCTGTTCAAAAGTGTAGGATTTGTAACCTGGGGTTTTGGAGTTCTGTGCTACATTTAAGGTAACACAGATGTGATGTGGATAGGGGCCCTTCCTTTCAGCAAATGTCTCAGATTGTTCAAAGACCCACATATGAAAAAATGGCTCTGTAGATCCTGCTACCCTAACATGGCTACACGACCTGTGCAGCTAACCCTGAACAGAGGCAAGGAGGCCAGACTGACTTGCATCATTCCCCTTTTCCTTTTCAAACAGTCTCAAATCTTCATACTCCATGTATATGTTTTAATATTAGCAACACAAAGCTGCTGAGTTTGAAACACGGTGTAACCAGGCTTTGTTAAGTGATCCTGGGTTTGCGCTGTTTCTCAAGAACATAAGACATGCCTGTTAGGATCAGGGCAAGATCCTCCTTGCCTAGTATTCTTTGCAAGAATCTCAGCTCCCTGCAGGTAGGGGGTGGTTTGCTGGAAATGAGCTCTGGTTCCCCAACCAATTACATCCTCCCTTTCACCTGGCCCAGAAATGGATGTTAGCATTTGCTACAAGATTGTGTTATTTGTGCTAAGATTAGGCACTATCTTAACTGTGAAAGAGAGTGATAATGAAAGGGAAGCAAGAATCATGGGTGCATAGGTGGGGGTTCTCTCTGTGTCATGCTGAGCATGATATAGGCAGAAGCAGCATGAAGAGACCTGGGCTGCCTCTACCTGCACTGAAGACCTGGAAGAGACCATACCTCCCAGCTCCTCTGGCCCTTGCAGACAGCTGAGGGGAGCAGAATGTTTGACTGAAGAACACAAACAATAGCTTGTGCAGTGATTAAACCAAAGCATTTGACCCTGGTCATGGAATATGGAGGATTGTGGGGCAGAGGAGAAACAGAGACAAGTTGGGAAATAGGAGTGGGCTAAGGAGAGGAGGGGCTGCAAGTAACAAACACATCATTCTGTTTACCAGCGATCCCTTATGCAAGCATTCCATAGATAACTGCTGAGTGAAGGTTATCTCTGCAACCTGAAGACTAGAAACATGATCCTTTGTTTTTAAGAATGAAAGAACTTCCTTGAACTCTAAGGAATTGGATAGATGCATTGGAGAGCGGCATTAGCAGCCACACTTTGTGATCTGAGGCTGTACTGTTCCCTTTTCCATATTCAGGAGCCCAGATGTAGTTTGGCTTCCAAGTGAAGGAAATAGGGGAATCCAACCAGTCGGTCTTTTGGGGTTTATTGTATCACTGTAAAGGACCTGCCTGTCAAATCATTTGGGTGGGATATTTCCAGTTCTTCATGGTCTCTGTGCATCACACATAATGGGTACTGTGCCTGCGCAGTGCCTGTTGTCAGCCAGAATACCCAAGCTGCAACAGTTTTTGGCGGGAACTCTGCACCCCTCCCCCCTGGTGCTATATAAGGCTGAGAGCCCGCCATTTTCCTCAGTCTTCTTTCGACTGCTGATCGCATTGCCTCGAGCCATTACCTTGTCTTCTCGTACTTACTAGTTTGTTCTGGAATCGTTCTTGCCTGTTGAATCCAAGTTCTTTTCCCTTGTTTTCCCGGTTACTACTTCTTTACTATTCTCTCTCTCTCTCTCTCTCTCTCTCTCTCTCTCTATATATATATATATATATATATATATATATATTAAAAAAATAGTATTTTCCTCTTTTTTCCTCTTATCTTCACTATTTTCCTTCTGCTCTCGATGGCTCAGCATGCGGCATTTCGAAAGTGTTTGAAATGCGGGGCTAAAATATCCCCAGCGGACCTACACAAGCTCTGCCTCCTTTGTCTAGGACAGGGGTCTCAAACTCAACTTACCTGGGGGCCGCTGGAAGTAGAGTCTGGGTGAGGCTGGGCTGCATCAAGTATTCCACTACTGCGGTGGTGGTGGGCCGCTCATCCGGAGGCCAGCCCGGGCGCCGCTGGCGCTTTGAAGGCCGCAGGGCCCCTCCCCTGTGCCCCGCCCATCTCGGCAATTGGCCCGTGGGCCGCGTGTTTGAGACCCCTGGTCTAGGAGAAGGGGATTGCACCGACAAGTGCAGGCATTGCCTTGCTTTTACCAAACAGGCTAGGAAGAATCAAGAGAATAGGCTGAGAAAGATCCTTTGGGATCAGGCCTTACTAGCCTCTGACGAGCTCGCTGCTCAGCCTGTGTCAGCTGGACCTTCTATGGTAACCTCCCCTCAACCATCCGGGGGAGTAGCTTCCGAGGAGACATCTCGCTCCTCCCACTACTTACTCAAACAAAAGGAGAAGCGGAAGCATTCGGACCACGGGGATCTGTCGGTCCTGAAGAAGGCCAAAAGGGATAAGTCGGGCAAGGCTACTAAGAAACGTAGGCCCACCCCGGAACCACAAAGGGACTCGGATTTGACCGCCTTGTTGGTCCAGACAGCGCCATCGGTCCCGACAGCCTTGATAGTGACACTGAGAGAGATGATGCAAGTCACGCCGCCGGGATCCCCACAGAGAGTTGAGCTTGTGGACCTGGTTATGTTACATCCACCCAAACCGATCGTTCATGGGTCGATGTCGGATGGAGAGATCCGTGTCTCTCCTCCAAGGTCCTTGCTGTGCCATCAGCTGGCCCATTTGCCGACCCCGATGCCATTCTCCCTGGAGGCTTCCAGGAGGACTACGGCGGTTGAGCCCGACCAGCAGCGTCGCTCATTGGGACAGTCCACCAGGTCATGGGTACCGATGCCGTACGAAGGACCGGAGGCATCACAGCCTCAATACTGGGGACCACCCCCATACAGCTACTATATGCCAAGGGACAACGGTTGTCGGTCCCGACAATCAAGGGCGGAGGCCCTGTCTACTTCAGCGCTGACGACTTCTTGCCATCCTCCTTCTCTGGCACATTCATCCTCAAGCCCACCTTACCCATATGACTCAGACTCTGAGGACTCAGATGACTGTTCTACGTCTCCTGTGGCAGTTATTTCCACCCAGGGACCTGGGTCACCCGAAGAGTCCTATGCTACCTTCGGTAAGCTTATGGGTAGACTGACAAGAGCCTTGGAGATTGAGGTTGAGCATCAAACCAACGTTAATAAGGACAATTTCTATGATATTGTCTGCAAGGAACAATCGTCCACAATCACCATCCCACTGATTACAACCTTGTGGGAGGCTATGGAGGATACATGGACCTCTCTTGATCAACCACAATCAACATCGCGGAGATATGAGTCCATGTATAAAGTCAGAGAGCAAGACATTCCCTTCCTTTTGAGACACCCAAAGCCCAACTCCATCATGGTCGGATCATCCCAGGGGTGAGACAATAGGGAGCACTCGGCCCCCAGGGACAGGGAAGGAAGAAAGATTGACCTTATGGCGAGGCGAATTTATGCGGCGATGGGTCTGGGCTTGAGAAGTTCTAACTACGAGGTGACGAAGGTGAGGTATCAGTATTTTCTGATGTAGCGGCTGGATGCGATTACCTCATTCTTCCCAGAGCAACAACGTGACTTCGCACGAGTTTTCATTTGAGAGGCAATGCAGCTGACAATCCAGCAGCTCACCACAGCCCACCATCATGTCAATTGCGATTCCCGCGCCCTGGTGGGCTCAGTTCACTCTCCGAAGACATGCCTGGCTACACTCATGTAACTTCCCATAAGAGACCAAGAAAAGGATCGAGGGGATGCCATTTGACGGAACAGGCCTCTTCCATGATCGGACGGACCACAAGCTCGAGCATATCTATAATGCTTGAGCTACCGCCAGGAAGATGGAGATCCCAGGCTCGAACCGTCATAAGTGCCAGCATTCTCGATACCCTAGATACCAACCTTACCACCTGTACCAGCCACATCAGCAACAATTCCCGCAGCAACAACAGCGGAACCGTAGGCAACCGGCGGCCCAATATCAACAGGGCCGCCGCTGCCAACCTGCCAATAAGAGGCAACGCTGACGGGCACTGCGAACCGATCCTCTCTCTCCTATACCCCTCCCCCCTCCCTATGGGGGCCGGCTGCAAAGATGACTCCCTCTTTGGGAGACCATCACATCTGATAAATGGGTCCTTTCTATAGTCGAATTTGGATACAGAATCGAGTTCGAAGTCATTCTTCCTTCGGGCCCGATGTTATACACCGCCCCATTGAAAATTCTTAGAGCAGAAGTATCTCTGTTACTCCAGAAACGAATGATCCACCAAGTCTCCCACTCCGACGGACCTTGCAGTTTCTACTCGAGATATTTCATAGTACCGAAGAGAGATGGTGGCTCACGCCCCATACTCAATTTAAGGGGCGTCGATGCCTTTATTACGACTAAAAAATTCTATGTGACCACCTTACAAAATATTCTTCCTCTGCTAGAGAGAGAAGATTGGTTCACGTCCATTGACCTGAAGGATGCCTACTTCCATATCTGCATCCACCCATTTTATAGGAGGTTCCTCCGGTTTACAGTTGGTTCTGACATTTTTGAATATAATGTGCTCCCTTTTGGACTTGCCACAGCCCCTAGGGTATTTACAAAGTGTATGGCTCCGATACGTGCTCACCTTTGCCAACGAGGTATTCAAATTTATCCATATTTGGACGATTGGCTTATCGTCTCCTCTTCTCGGGACCAACTCATTACAGAGGTTGGCATTACATGCACTCTTCTAGAGGACTTGGGTCTCCTTATTAATACCGAAAAATCCTGTCTCACTCCTTCACAGGTCATCGAAATCATAGGAGCACAACTCAGTTCGGTTCGAGCACGGGCATTTTTGCCATGGACCCGTATGGACAGACTCTGCTCTGTAGCCCATCGGGTCCAGAGAAGCGGGCGAATCCAGGCACTGCTCGTACAAAAACTGTTGGGCCATATGGCATCAACTATCGTAGTAGTTCCGAATGCCAGACTACGAATGCAGCCACTCCAGTTGTGGTTCAATGCGGTTTTCCAGCCTCTCCGCGATTCCCCAAGATGACTTCTTCTTCCTCCCGCTTCAGTTCGCCAAACGCTGACTTGGTGGATGAACCCAGACAATCTCACAGGATGGGAAGCACACTGTTCCAGCCTACGAACACAGGGCACCTGGCAAGCACACGAGAGGCTCAATCGCATCAACTTTCTCGAGCTGCTGGCAGTTTTCAAAGCACTACAGTCTTTCGAACCCGCGTTATGGAACTGTTCGGTACAGGTAGCATCCGACAACACGGTTACTGTATTTTACCTAAACAAGCAGGGAGGTACGAAATCGGTACTGTTCGCTCAGCTATCCATGCAGATTTGGGACTGGTGTATCCCCAGAGGGATTTCGCTAATGGCAATCCATCTGGTGGGAATACACAACCAAGAAGCGGACACCTTGAGCAGGAAAATGTCGTCGATCCACGAGTGGGAATTGGACAATCAAGTTTGCAGACTTGTTTACCCGGTGGGGTACCCCGACTCTGGACCTGTTCGCAACAGCGTTGAATTCAAAGTGTGTGACCTACTGCTCCAGGGCAGGAACGGGTTCAAACTCACTAGGGGACGCCTTAATGGTGAGTTGGTTGGATTCATTCCTATACACCTTTCCACCAATCCCGTTGATCACCCGTACTCTGGAGAAGGCTGCCCGGGACCGAGCACAGCTAATTCTCATTACACCGTGGTGGGCCCGCCAACCCTGGTTCTCGACTGCGCTCAGACTATCAAGGCGCACATTCTTCTGTCTGCCACAAATCCCTCACCCGATCATGCAGGGGAGGGGGATGATTCTTCACCCCGACCTCAGCACTCTCAAACTCACCGCGTGGCTCCTGCACTAGTTACCTCCACCGATTCCTGCAGGCTTCAACAAAATTCCTCAGTCCTGACACCAGAATGCCAGTCAGTACCGAGGGACCTCACCCGACTATCCTCCGATGCTACATCATCGCAACAGGAAATCGATTTTATCCTGCAGTCCACTCTTCGACAGTCCACTCGTCGGTCGTATGAGGCAAAATGGAAGCGTTTCACCATATTTGTGGGAGCTAACCGTTTTACTCCGGAATCAGCTTCCATTAATAATAATAGCCTTTCCTTCTTGCTTTCGTTGCATCAGTCTGGACTTAAACCCACTTCCATCAAGGTCTATATTGCAGCTATATCGCATTTTCGCAGCCCTATCTTGGTCTCATCTGTGTTTTCCCATGCACTCATCCGGCGATTCCTTAAGGGACTTCAAAATCTACATCCTCCAATCCATCCATCGGTACTGACTTGGAGTCTATCTGTTGTTCTCCATGTGTTCTCCTTTTTGGTTGCTATAAATTCAGCAAGAAGGGCAAGCGAACTTTCTGTCCTACGTGTGGACCCACCATACCTTAATTTCCACAAGGAAAAAGTGGTTCTTTGTACTGATCCGGCGTTCCTCCCCAAGGTGGCCACACCATTCCACGTTAACCAGGACATTGTGCTTCCAGCATTCTTCCTGTCCCCATCCATCTCAATAGAGAAATCTCTTCATTCCCTTGATGTACGCTGATGTTTAGCTTTCTACGGGTCGCATATGGAAAGCTTCAGGAAAACTAAGCTCCTGTTCGTCAAATACTCCGAACCTGAGAAGGGCTCACCTCTCTCTGCACAAAGACTATCGAAATGGATAGTGCAGACTATTGAACTAGCTTACCAACTGGCCAAGATAAATCTCCCCATTCTGCCCAAAGGTCACTCCACCAGAGCAATGGCAGTTTCCTCAGCCTTCTCGTTGGGCGTTCCACTGCTGGACATCGGTAAAGCAGCCACATGGACAACTCCCTGTACCTTCACCAAGCACTACAGGCTGGATGTCTGGGCCAGACAGGATTGTTCCTTTGGATGGGCCGTACTATCATCCATTCTTCACTGATGACACTGACCCACCTTCGGTGAGTGAAGCTTGCTAATCACCCATTATGTGTGATGCACAGAGACCACGAAGAAGAAAGTCAGGTTACTTACCTGTAACTGTTGTTCTTTGAGTGGTCATCTGTGCAGTCACACAACCTGCCCTCCGGCCCCACTCAGTGTTGAGGGACAGGATGTTAGTCTCTTTTATAGACTTCTCTGGTGAGTGGCACGCTCCGCTAGGGGGCAATCTGCCGGTCTCCAGGGACTGAGGAAAACGGCGGGCGCTCCGTCTTATATAGCACCAGGGGGGAGGGGTGCAGAGTTCCCACCAAAAACCGTTGCAGCTTGGGTATTCTGGCCGACAACAGGCACTGCACAGGCACAGTACCCATTATGTGTGATTGCATAGATGACCACTCAAAGAACGACAGTTACAGGTAAGTAACCTGACTTTCTCACAGCTGTGGGGAACAGGCTGTGCCTCTCAGATAAGTTCTGCCTCTCCCTCATCCCCACTTCATGCCACTTTGCTGAGGGCTCACTTTAAGTTAGATTTCCATTCTGCTATGATTTTTCTTTTGTTTTTCCTTCCTTCATATTTCTCTTTTGTTTTCCCTGCTCTTTTCTTTTTGTGTATCTGTTTATTTCCACTTCCCCTCCACTGTGGTGCTGGAACTCCCCTCTCGCTTGTGTGATGGCCACTCCCTGCCCCTTTGTGGGTTTGGTTTCTATTTTGTCTGCTTTTTGCTTGATCTTTTCCTTCCCTTTCCTCTACCGGTGTGCTTTTCCTTCCTTGATGTGCACCTGTTTCTATGTTACCTCTTTCTCTGGAGTATGCTTGTGATTCTCCTTCCTCTCCCTTTTACTTCCCCTCTCACCAATATCTATTTCCCTTCTTTCCTCAATTCCCTGAACCCTCCTTTGTGGTTGGGTGGTGGGGCTGGGATGGTGGCGGATATTCTTATCTCGGTCCCCAATTTTCCTCTACTTGGATCACTCCCTGAAATCCCACTACCTTCTCTCCCCATTGGCTGCTTCTGCTGCTGCTTCTTACTGGTGTCTCCCCCCCCATTACACCCTTTCTTCTCCTTGTTGATTTCTGTTCTTCACCTCTCACTCGGCACATACCCCCTCCATTTGTTTCCTCCACACCCCTTTATTCCTGCACACTCCATATCCCTTCCATTGTCCACCCTGTTTGTCTGTCCATTTGTCTCTCCATGGGATTCCCTTTTCCCCTCCCCTCCCTTCCTCCTCCCCCCCCAGGCCCCACAGTGAAGAGTGTGCGTCCCAGCACCTCCCGCAGCGTTCACGCCTTCCTGCACCACTACGCAGGCTCTCTCCGCAGGCCTCGTCTGGCCATCAGCTGCAGCCTGAGTGCTCACCTCAACCGTGCCGCCCGACTAGGTGACTATCGCACCTCCCACTGTGCCTGTAATGACTCCCTCTTGTGGGTTGAGGCCTCTGCCAAATCTGACCGGCCTAAAGAGAAGGTTTCTGGAGCCAGGAGTAGGCAGAAAATAAATCTCCAGATAATTTGGACTTCAACCCCCAGCCATATGGGAATGTTGGCCACACTGACAGGGGCTTCTGACAGTTGAAGACCAATGTGTTTGGAGACTTACCTTCTGCCCACCACTGGATGATGTCCTCGGGCCTCTTGTCACCAAGCTGGGCTTCCTTAACATTGGAAATCGCTTAAGTGAGGAGTCTAGGTAGCCCAAGGTCCTGAATTTCCATTGCTGGCTCCAGGAAGACTTTGGTTAGGGTGCTGGATAAGAGGGCTTCTGGGTCTTTTTGCCAGTGAGCACCCACTGGGTGCTACAGACATGAACCTTAAGGTTGGTGTTAGAAGAAGTGTGTCAGTTGCACCTTTTGGCTGGTTTACAAGGTTTTCTGTTTCATGGTAAACCTCCTTGGGGAAGGATAACGGCTTAGTGATAGAATACATGCAGGAGACATTGATCTTTGGCATCTCCTCATAGAGCTGTCTGAAATCCTGCAGAACTGTTTCCAGTCAGTGTAGATCAGATTTTCCCCAAGCTGGTGCCCTCCAGGTGTGCTGAACTGCAGCTCCCATAATTTTCAGCCAGTGTGATCATTGAGCTTCATAGCCAAGTGGGGACTTAGAACCCAGATCCCCTGAGTCCAACACCCTAACTACTGAGCCATACTGGCTCAGGACCTTCTTTAGCCACAGGCTTCTTGCATGGCCACGGGCAAGTTTCTATTTCTGAATTTCTAATTTTAAAAATGAGTCATTAAAAAGAGCTTTGGTTGTTAAGCCCACAGGCTTGCTGTTGTTTAAAATCTGTGCTGGACGTTTAGCAGACTTTTCATATGAAATCAGGATATGAAAATGTTTTGAAGTAACACAAATAATCAACCCCAGTTATTGGAACTGGTTGATGATTTTATTGGATTGCAGGGATGGGGTGAGAGGAGATTTTTTTGGGCATGGTAAGCCAGATCCACTCCTGCAGTAGCACAAGGTGGCCAAGTGGGCTGTACAACTTCAGACTATGACTGAAGGATACAGCCCATGAATTCTTCAGCCTTGTAAATTTGCCTGCAAACTTAGAACGCCAGGAAGAAGTTCTAGCCTTGGCCTGTGCACCAGCTGGGCTGCTTCTCTCTTTATAGTGAGTTTTTAATACAGCAGAGTGTTCAAAAAATGTGGCCAGCTTACCAGTTGTAGTCTGGACTGGAGCAGTCTAATCTGTCACTGCTGGACCTTATTCCTGCTTGTGAGAAGAAAGCCTGGGAACAGGCTGTAGGGAGGGGGTTTCCAAGAGTAAAAGAGAGGGCCCTTCCAGCCTTGCAGTTGCTGTATGCACAAAATTTACAAAGTTTTGCATCAAACTAAATCAAGCTCCTCTTGCTCCCCAAAGGTTAGTTTTATAAGTATTAGAGGGAATTGAACAGAAAGAGGCCCATTTGCGGTATTTCCATTGCTGTTTCTCCATTATGCAGAAATCGTCCATGAAGACCTCAAGATGGGCTCAGATGGTGAGAGTGACCAGGCATCAGCGACCTCATCTGATGAGGTGCAGTCTCCAGTCCGGGTGCGCATGCGGAACAATCCAACGCGCAAGATCTCCACTGAGGTGCGAGTGTTAGAGACAGCAGTAAAAAGTTTGGGGCAGTATCAGTTGAGGTGGTGGTGCATGAGAGGATTGCTTCTCCATCTCTTTTTTAGCCTGAATTTCTTTTTGGAGAAGATTGTGGAAAGGATATGTACAGAGATGGATTAATTCACACACTGCTTTTTTCTTCCCACTAAAGAGCAACAGGAGTGGTAAAAGATACGCAAAATCTGCACCAAGAAGTTTCAGATAAAAGCATGCAAATCACTAAAGTGCCGAAAAATGACAGATTTTGTCCATGTTTCCTCCATTAGCCCTCTGCCCTTCATTATGACCTCTTTGAAATCTCACGTGCAGGGTTCTTCCTGAGAAATCAGGTAGATGAAACCCATGCCTGCACCTCCAGAAGTCCCAAGGAAAGGAAAAATTTCTGCTGTCCTTCTGAACATACTAACAGGTTCTGATGAGAATGTCCCTTAGGAAGATACTCCTGTGAAATGGGCACTCTGGCGCAGCTTGCCTCTGCTGGGCAGGCTGTCTGAGCAATGCAGCAGTACTTCACTGGGGTTTTACAAGCTCTGGCTGTGTCCCTCAGAAATTGGACCTAATTCACTGCTGTGTTTCACCACACCTGGTTGCCACTGAGGACCAGAAAATCCATGCAGACGAGTGATCAGGCTGGCAGTGGAGGGAGACTTAGTGCTGGCTCTCTGCGATCAGCTTATTTGGATTCTATACTGCTCACAGCAGAAGGAACCTCCCATTCTCCATGTGGATACAACAGACCAGCAAAGCAGAAACAGAGTGCCCTGCTTTTCCTTCACCAGCCCACTGCACTTCTAGCATGGACTTCCTTTTTTATCAGTCTGCTTTTTATTCATAGGGGAGGCAGGAAAATTTGTTTTTGTAGGTGTGTAACTTTGAAGGACTTGGTAACAAGGCTGCCCAAATTTCTGTCCCCTCCCCAGGACATTAACAAGCGCTTGTCCCTCCCAGCTGATATCCGGCTGCCTGAAGGCTACCTGGAGAAACTGACCCTCAACAGCCCCCTGTTTGATAAGCCCTTGAGCAGGCGGTTACGTAGGGTATCTCTGGTAAGTCACAGCCCTAACCCCTTCTGCTGCCTGCTGTGCCCCTGTAACTGGAGTCAGAACAGGGGCAAGAGCTTCAGACCCACAACTGCTGCTCCTGCTGTCTCTCTCTAGCCCCCTGCCCCATCCTGCCCTGCCAGCAGAGGCTGCCTCTCATACACTGCTTCTTTGTTTTCTTGTGCAGTCGGAGATTGGTTTTGGGAAGCTGGAGACGTATGTGAAGCTGGACAAGCTAGGAGAGGTGGGTCCTGTGACCATCCTTGTGAAGCCTGGGCTTGGGCAGGAAGGACGGAAGGACAGACAGACAGAAAGAAGGGCTTTCTCAGGAGTCCAGTCTAGGAGGAACTTGCCCGTCTTATCTTAGGACACTTGAGAAATCTCCTTCCTTGCAATTATTTTTAATTATAACTTTAGGTTGACTGGTTTGTGTTCTGCTTTTCTCACAAGCTCTTCCCTCTCATAATTGTATCTTCACAATAATGCTGTGAAGTAGGTTAGACTGAGAAAGAGTGGCTGGCCCATGTGATCCCAAGCAAAGATTTGAACCAAGGTTCCCTGAATCCTTACCCTGCACCTCAAAGAGCAGTAATCCTGGCATATTTGCCCATTGATCCTAGTAAGCTTCCGTCCGTCCTTCCTTCCTTCCTTCCTTCCTTCCTTCCTTCCTTCCTTCCTTATCCCAGTACATGCATGTAGAACGGTCAAAACACATAGTATCTGATATTTTCCAGGATTGCAGCTAACCTCCAGAGCTTATGTTCACCTGTAACTCAGTCTTAATCCTTTATCTGTAAAATGGGTCTGTTAATGACCCACTTCAGGGTGGTTGAGAGGATGAATGAGAGAAGCGGATTCCATTAAGGACTCTGAACACTGTAAAGTCAAGAGCAATTAATTCTCCTCCACTTCAGAATGGAGCCTCCTGTTCCCAATTTATTTATAAACATTTTTATTCCACTCTTAGGCACGACAGAAAAGAAAGGGGATTTGCAAGGGGTGGTGGTGATTCGGGTACTTGATTCTTACATGTAAAGTTCAGCAGGTTATGTACAGTATATCACAGAAGTGAGTACACCCCTCACATTTTGTAAATAGTTTATTATATCTTTTCATGTGACAACCCTGAAGAAATGACACTTTGCTACAATGTAAAGTAGTGAGTATACAGCTTGTATAACAGTGTAAATTTGCTGTCCCCTCAAAATAACTCAACACACAGTCATTAATGTCTAAACCGCTAGCAACAAAAGTGAGTACACGCCTAAGTGAAACTGTCCAAATTGGGCATTATTAGCCATTTTCCCTCCCCGGTGTCATGTGACTCGTTAGTGTTACAAGGTCTCAGGTGTGAATGGGGAGCAGGTGTGTTAAATTTGGTGTTATCGCTCTCACTCATACTGGTCACTGGAAGTTCAACATGGTACCTTATGGCAAAGAACTCTCTAAGGATCTGAAAAAAAGAATTGTTGCTCTACATTGCCAAGACCCTGAAACTGAGTTGCGGCACGGTGGCCAAGACCATACAGCGATTTAACAGGACAGGTTCCACTCAGAACAGGCCTTGCCATGGTCGACCAAAGAAGTTGAGTGCACGTGCTCAGCGTCATATCCAGAGGTTGACTTTGGGAAATAGACGTATGAGTGCTGCCAGCATTGCTGCAGAGGTTGAAGGGATGGTGGGTCAGCCTGTCAGTGCTCAGACCATACACCACACACTGCATCAAATTGGTCTGCAGGGCTGTCGTCCCAGAAGGAAGCCTCTTCTAAAGATGATGCACAAGAAAGCCTGCAAACAGTTTGCTGATGACAAGCAGACTAAGGACATGGATTACTGGAACCATGTCCTGTGGTCTGAGGAGACCAAGATAAACTTATTTGGTTCAGATGGTGTCAAGCGTGTGTGGTGACAACCAGGTGAGGAGTACAAAGACAAGTGTGTCTTGCCTACAGTCAAGCATGGTGGTGGGAGTGTCATGGTCTGGGGCTGCATGAGTGCTGCCGGCACTGGGGAGCAACAGTTCATTGAGGGAACCATGAATGCCAACATGTACTGTGACATACTGAAGCAGAGCATGATCCCCTCCCTTCGGAGCCTGGGCCGCAGGGCAGTATTCCAACATGATATTGACCCCAAACACACCTCCAAGACGACCACTGCCTTGCTAAGGAAGCGAGGGTAAAGGTGATGGACTGGCCAAGTATGTCTCCAGACCTAAACCCTATTGAGCATCTGTGGGGCATCCTGAAATGGAAGGTGGAGGAGCACAAGGTCTCTTAACATCCACCAGCTCCATGATGTCATCATGGAGGAGTGGAAGTGAACTCCAGTGGCAACCTGTGAAGCTCTGGTGAACTACATGCCCAAGAGGGTTAAGGCAGTGCTGGAAAATAATGGTGGCCGCACAAAATAATGACACTTTGGGCCCAGTTTGGACAGTTTCACTTAGGGGTGTACTCACTTTTGTTGCCAGCGGTTTAGACATTGATGGTGTGTGTTGAGTTATTTTGAGGGGACAGCAAATTTACACTATTATACAAGCTGTATACTCACTACTTTACATTGTAGCAGTGTCATTTCTTCAGGGTTGTCACATGAAAAGATACAATAAAATATTTACAAAATGTGAGGGGTGTACTCACTTCTGTGATATACTGTAATTGGCTCTAAACAGAATGGCAAGGCTGCTGTATGCTTTCCCTCTGATGGCCTCCGAAGTGACAATTAGTAGACAGGAGGCAGAGCTCAGCTGGCCCTCTGCCCAGGTGTGAAGGAGGGCTGCCTGACTGCTGCTGCTGCTTCCTCTGATGGCCTCAAGCCGGTATGGTGCTGAACAACTTTCTACAACAGTATAGACTGGAGAGTCTTGCCTAATGTAATGTTCCCACCTTGCCATGGAAAAGAGTGGCAACCCCTCATATCCCACAGTGACTTTGAGTCAGTTCTTCCTTGTGGCTGCTAAGGGAATCCCTGTGGTCCTGCATGAGATTGTGAAACTAAAATGGGTTATTCTCATTGAATGGTCAAAGCCTATGCATGGGTTATACCACTTCAGACTGTACCACTTCAGACTGGACAGAATGCTCCACATAGTGGAGCACTCCCCTATACAGTAAATTTCCTGCACATAGAAATATGAACATGGAGGAGCAGGATTCTAGCTTAGGTTTTCCCCTGACATGGAGGGGCATTTCACCAGCTCTGCAGACTGAATTGGTACAGCCCAGACACAGTTTTACAATCAGAGTAAGAACTCAGCCAAAGGATTTGCCTTTCTAGCTATATTCCTGGGAATTTTGCAGAGAGGAGGGACATGGTGGAATGGGTGAGGTGAAAGAGAGTGAGGAGTGATGGAAGATGACATGGCAGAAATAAAACCTATTAGAGCTGCAGCTTTGCATCCAATTTAGGAGCTGACGTATATTCTGTGGCGGCACATGGGGTGGCTAAAGGTGAAGTGATGGACAACTTGAGGCTTAGATGGAAGTTCAGGGATTGCAGGGAGTCAAACTGACACGGGGGGTTCGGCTACTGAGCTCAAATGTGTCCCTTCCACTTTCAGGGGACATATGCCACAGTCTACAAGGGAAGGAGCAAGCTCACGGACAACCTGGTGGCCTTGAAGGAGATTCGCCTTGAGCATGAAGAGGGAGCACCTTGCACAGCTATCCGGGAAGGTATGTCACCCTCTGGCCCTGTCTGTGGCTAATTTAGTAAGCCTTTAAGCCCATACTCATTTTCTCTGGGTATTAATTGAAAAGAAGTTGTGTTTTTTTCTGATGTTAGTAATTCAGAATGGTATTTGTTGTAACTGGCTTACTTAAAACACGTTTAAAGTTAAGGTACTTTGATATGACAGTGAATTATCCCAGTTTGTATTTGAGAGGACCACTGTTTTGAAAGGTTGTTGTTAGTCATGAAGTTGGGTCCAACCCATCGCGACCCAATGGTCAATATTCCTCCAGGCCTTCCTGTCCTCCACCATCCCCCGGAGTCCACTTAAGCTCACGCTGACTGCTTCAGTGACTCCATGTAGCCACCTCATTCTTTGCTGTCCCCTTCTTCTTTTGCCATCTATTGTTCCCAGCATTAGGCTCTTCTCCAGGGAGTCCTTCCTTCTCATAGGTGGCCAAAGTATTAGAGTTTCATCTTCAGGATCTGGCCTTCTAAAGAGCAGTCAGGGTTGATCTCCTCCAGGACTGACCGGTTTGATCGCCTTGCTGTCCAAGGGACTCGTAGGAGTCTCCTCCAGCACCACAATTCAAAGGCCTCAATCCTTCGGCTCTCAGCCTTCCTTATGGTCCAGCTTTCACAGCCATATACTGCAACTGAGAAAACCATAGCCTTGACTATACGCACTTTTGTCAGCAGGGTGATGTCTCTGTCGTATGCTGTCTAGATTTGCCATAGCTTTCCTCCCTAGGAGCAAGCGTCTTTTAATTTCTTGGCTGCAGTCCCTGTCTGCAGTGATCTTGGAGCCCAGGAAAATAAAATCTGTCACTACCTCCATTTCTTCCCCATCCATTTGCCAGGAGGTGATAGGAGCAGATGCCATGATCTTAGTTTTCTTGATGTTGAGTTTCAAGCCAACTTTTGCATTCTCCTCCTTTACCCGCATCAAGAGGCTCTTTAGTTCCTCTTCACTTTCTGCCATGAGAGTGGTATCATCTGCATATCTGAGGTTCTTGATATTTCTCCCAGCAATCTTAATTCCAACTGGTGATTCATCTAGCCCTGCCTTTCTCATGATGTGCTCTGCATATAAGTTAAATAGGAAGGGTGACAGTATACAGCCTTACCAAACTCCTTTCTCAATTTTGAACCAATCAGCGGTTCCGTGTCCAGTTCTCACTGTTGCTTCTTGACCCCGCATATAGGTTTCTCAAGAGACAAATAAGATGGTCTGGTACTCCCATCTCTTTAAGAACTTGCCACAATTTGTTGTGATCCACACAATCAAAGGCTTTAGCATAGACAATGAAGCAGCAGTAGATGATTTTCTGGAACTGCCTAGCTTTCTCCATAATCCAGCGTATGTTGGCAATTTGATCTCTAGTTCCTCTCCCTCTTCGAAATCCTGCCTGTACTTCTGGTAGTTCGTGTTCCACATACTGCTGGAGCCTAGCTTGTAGGATTTTGAGCATAACTTTGCTAACAGGTGAAATGAATGCAATGGTGCAGTAGTTTGAACATTCTTTGGCATTTCCATTCTTTGGGATCAGAATGTAAACTGACCTTTTGCAATCCTGTGGCCACTGTTGAGTTTTCCAAATTTGCTGGCATATTGAGTGTAGCACTTTTACTGCATCGTCTTTTAAGAGTTTGAATAACTCAGCTGGAATACTGTCACCTCCACTAGCTTTGTTGTTGCTCAGACTTCCTAAGGCCCATTTGACTTCACATTCCAGGATGTCTGGCTCAAGGTCAGTGACCACCCCATCGTGCTTATCAGGGACGTTAAGCTCTTTCTTGTATAGTTCCTCTGTGTAATCTTGCCTGTTACGTCCCTTACATTTTGGTCCTTTACCATGCCCATCATGAATGTTCCCTTCATATCTCCAATTTTCTTGAAGAGATCTCTGGTCCTCCCTACTCTATTGTTTTCTTCTATTTCTTTGCACTGTTCATTTAAGAAGGCATTCTTATCTCTTCTAGCTATTCTCTGCAATTTTGCATTCAATTGGGTGTATCTTTCTCTTTCTCCCTTGCCTTTCGCTTCCCTTCTTTCCTCAGCTCTTTGTAAAGCTTTCTCAGACAGCCATTTTGCTTTCTTGCATTTCTTTTTCTTTGGGACTGTTTTAGTTGCTACCCCTTGTACAATGTTGTGAACCTCCGTCCATAGTTCTTCAGGCACTCTGTCTATCAGATCTAATTCCTTAAATCTATTTGTCACCTCTACTGTATATTCATCAGGGATATGATTTAGGTCATACCTGAGTGGCCTAGTGCTTTTCCCTACTTTCTTCCATTTAAGCCTCAATTTTTCAACAAGAAGCTCATGATCTGAGCCACAGTCAGGTCCTGGTCTAGTTTTTATTGACTGTATAGAGGTTCTCCATCTTTGGCTGCAGAGCACATAGTCAATCTGATTTCTGTGTTGACTGTCTGGTGATGTCCATGTGTAGAGTCGTCTCTTGGGCTGTTGGAAAAGAATGTTTGCTATGACCATCGTATTCTCTTGACAGAATTCTGCCAGCCTGTGCCCTGCTTCATTTTGTACTCCAAGGCCAAACTTGCCTGTTATTCTGGTTATCTTTTGGCTTCCTACTTTAGCATTCCAATCCCTTATGATGATATGGACATTATTTTTTGGTGTTAATTCTAGAAGGTGTTGTAGGCCTTCATAAAACCGGTCAGCTTCAGCCTCTTCAGCACCAGTGGTTGGGGCATAGACTTGGACTACTGTGATGTTGAATGGTTTGCTTTGAATTCGAACTGAGATCATTCTGTCATTTTGGAGATTGTATCCCAGTACTGCTTTTCCTACTCTTTTATTGACTATGAAGGCTATATTTAATTGAATATATTAAATTAATAAATCAATACTTATTTATCATCACTTCCTTATTAACTCTTATTTATGTTTCAGCTAGTTACATGAAAACAGAGAAGGTCACAGCCAGTTATAGGAGTCAAATAGCTGTAGACCCAGAAAAGTTATAGACTGAAAATTTAGATCAGGGGTATGGAATCGCAGGTCCATGATCCCAGTCTGGCTGGCCAGGTTCCACAGGTGGTGCTGCACCTGGTGGTTTCTTGGCTTTTGTGCACATCTCCCCAAATTTTTAAACAGCCAAAATGCTTCTCCTCAGGCTACCCTCATGGCAGTTAAACTGTTAAGTTAAAATATGCTGGCAGTTTTGGTATTTTGGCCACACCACTTTTGGCCCTGTTCCTCACTGGAACATGGCCCTCGGGGTGAAAAGTCTAAGTCTAACCATATAAGAAGTTTGCACAGACAGGAAGAATTTTTAATCATCAGAAATACAGAGGAATCCATATGGGGCAGGCAAGGTTCTGAGTGAATCAGGTGTGGCAGAAAGAGGTCAGAGCCAAAAATAACATTGTCATCGTTCTGTCTGTTAGCTGTGTTCAGAGGTGCCTGCTGGTCCTTTTGTAACCAAAACAGCACTGCCTGTGCACAAGATACCAGCAAGGTCAGTGGACTCTTGAGGTCTAGAAAAGTAGGGTTTTTAAAACACTCCTGGGGTACTTTCCTTGTTGAGATGGGAACTGAAGAGCACCACAGAGAGTTCCAGGTGGAGCTGGAAGCCAGGCAAACTTGTCTGCATGTTGTTCCAACAAGCAGCAGCAGACTTAAACTGAGCCTCAAGTAGGGCTTTTTCAAGTAGGGTAGTTTAAGCAGCCTTAGGACACAATCGTGTGCCAGGTTTAGGCAGGAAAATAGACCTGAGCCGTTCTAGCCAAGGAATACTGGTGTAGGATGTTTTTCGTGCTTAGACGTGGCACGGGATTCTCCCCTTGGACTTCAGGCTGTGATGATGTGGGAATGGCTGTGAGATGCAACTGTCCTCATGGTTGAAGCCTTCAGAGTCCAAAGACAGAACTGGACTTCCTTTTGATATTAGGAACCAGGTCAAAATGGGTCCTGGGAAGATGGAAACTTAGCAAGGCCTTTCTGCAGCCATCTTCACCCTGCACACCCAGTGTAAGGGAGGGGAGGAGCAAATTATTTTGTAGCAACTCCCACTTGTCTGTGAATACAAGTCAGTTTCCAGCCTCTCATCACAGAATCACCTGCAGGGCCAGAGCCGTGAACATGGCACATGGGGCATGGCAGTCAGTCTCTTCCTTGACTTGTGTACTTTGGGCTCACAGGACCTTTGAAGTTACCTTATTTTGTGCCGAATGTGATCTGCTCTTCCAAAGCACGGAGCCTGGAAATGGTTGCATTAGACCATTAGTGCAGATCTCACCACATTTTCATCCCTTCTCTTCCTTTCTCTTCCAGTTTCACTTCTAAAAGATTTGAAACATGCCAACATTGTGACCCTGCATGATATCATACATACAGAGAAATCCCTCACGCTTGTCTTCGAGTATTTAGTGAGTAAATGGCAGAGGGGAGGTCGGGGTGACACAATATACTGGAACTTTTCTTCCTTTACAAGTTGACACCCAGTTCCCAGGACTCTGCAGAAACTTGAGCAACCCACCCTCACTCACCCCCAGAAGAGAGCCAGCAAGTTGGTTTAAACAAGATGGTGTTTACATGGCAAGTTGTCATGGCTTCCTCCCAAGAACTCCTGGGAATGGTAGTCTTGTGAGGGGGCTCAGGAGCTCTTGAGGGAATTCTCAATAGCGCCCTCATCAAAAGCATCACTTCATTGGGAATAGCCTAGCTGGGACCTGGTTCTCTGAAATGCTGAATGTTCCTAATAGTACTTAACTTTGGTGCCAAAGTTTTCTGAGAATACAGAGTGCTTCACACTCATGATCTTTAAGGTGGGTTGTATCTCCCTATTTTAGGCAAGAAGGGTTTCTTAAAATTTATTTATACATTTGTATGCCTCTGCCTACTCTAAGTGGAGTCTCTTCAGTGTGGGCCATGATACAGTGGCTTGCAGTGCCTGCCAGCCACCTAATAAGTAAGGATTATTAGGAAACTTCCAAGCTCATAATTCCCACTCTTAGCCACTGCGAAGTACCAGCTCAGTTTTTTTTGTGGGATAGGCATGGCAAACAATTTATTGTGGGAAAAGGAAACAGAGAGAAACACATGACACCTCATATACAAAAGGCAGCCCTAAAGCTTTGCATTGCAAAGGCCAGTTTGGATCAGCGCAATTCAACTGGAATTGGTTATGCAAATGTCATGATCTGTGCAAGCACGAATGTGGCACCATGCATAAGGAGGGTTCCCCTGTTAAGTCCTGTCCCCTGCTCCCCGTACTGCATGTGCTTTTTGCATTCTGGGTCTACATGAAGATTGGGAGGTGCATATGCTCCTCCTGTCTTTTTCCTTCTGATCCAAGCTACTCTAGTTTGATGAGTCTGCATTGGGATGAGAGAGAGGATGGGAGGAGTCCATAAACCTTCTAATCACTGGATTGGTCCAGCACGAATACCTCACTAGGCAAGGACATTCTGTTGACTCCTGCTGCGAATCCTGCACCTGTGAATGCTATGCCTAATTGCCTTAATAATAAGCAATGCATCTCAGGGCGTATTTAATCAGAATCAAGATCCCCTCAGTTCAGGGGGACTTTCATTCACTAAATTATGCGCAGCATTGCTGCATTAATTTTCTCTCTCTCTCTCTCTCTCTCTCTCTCTCTCTCTCTCTCTCTCTCTCTCGCCTTTCTTCTTGCAAAGAACTCAGGGCAGCTTACATAATCCTCCTCCATCTTATCCTCATAACAGCCCTGTGAGGTAGGTTAGACTGAGAGTCAGTAACTGGCCCAAAGTCACCCAATGAGATTTATGGACAAGTGGGGACTAAAACTTGGGTCTTCTAAGTTCCAATCTAACAGTCTAACCACTATACCACACTGGCTCTCTGGTAAAATATGTTTGAGGGTGTAATCCTATACATGTTTAAACAGAAAAAGATCCTACAACTCCTGGTATGCCCCAGGAGTTATATGATACTTTGCAGTCTAAACATGCATAGGATTCTGCCATGAGTTGCTAAATTGGAGAGAGAGGATGCCAATATTTTCCTTTCTCCCTAGGATAAAGACCTGAAACAGTATCTAGATGATTGTGGCAACGTAATAAATATGCACAATGTGAAGGTAGGTGCTTGATCCCCTTCTTTTTGCCTGGGTTTATCACAAGAGACTTCACTGATACAGCCAGTAGCTTGATAACACATTCCATATAGGATTCCATTTAGGCAGGGACAGGTAACATGGCACCCTCCAGGTGTTTTGGACAAGTTCTGTAAACCCCACATCTGGAAGGTACTGCATTGCTCACCCCTTTGGGTATTTGATAGTTTTACCGATGTTCTTCCTATCATGTTGAAATATTTTCAGTTATATACACACATGGATAATCCCCAGTTTTCCTTTTGACTTCTACTGAGTTAGAGCATTTTGGCCTATTTAACTCAGTACTGACTAGTGCTGGCAGCTCTGCAGGAATTTTTCCTATCCCTGTTTGGAAGATGCTGGGAATTGAAACTGAACCTTCTGCATGTAAAACAGGTGCTCTTGCTGCTGACGTGTGGTCTTTCCTGCCACCCCCATGTCCTTGTCCCTCATTTATAAACATTTACATTTATTTGAACAATAATAATGAAATGAATTCATAATGAAAGATTTGTGTTGTATGTGTTGGTATGTGTGTGCATGTGCATTTATATATATACATAGGTGTGTGTGCGTGTGCATGTGCTCCCTTGAAGAATCTAAAGATGGATATAACATATACATATGCATCATACAATTAATTTATAATGGAAATGTCTGTAATTCATTTTCCCTGCTAGCTTGATCCAGATGGCACCTAGACTTTTATAGCTCCAAGAACCCCTGCTCCCACAAAGTGCTTTCACAGTTTTGCAGATTTTCTCACCTGCCAGATGCTCTGAGGAGGCTTGTGTTAGTATTTCTTCCACTCATCTCTCCTGGTTCTTCAGAGACTGACACTTCCAGTGTCACAAGGTCACATGCTGAGCGACTAAAAATGCTCTGCATTAATCCTGTTCTTCATTGTGGCCTCTGTGCTGGGCCCGTGCAGTGCCTGTAGCCGAGAAGATTTAAAAACTTAATGGTTTTGGCGGGAACTCCGCGCCCCTCCCCCCCCACAGTATAAGAAGGCGGAGTGCCCGCCATTTCCTCAGTCTTCTTGCGACCGCCATTCTCTGTGCCTCAAGCCTTTCGTCTCTCAGTTCGTCGCTATATTGTGTATCCTGTTCTCCCTTAAACTGTTCTCTTAGCTTTTCTTGTTAAGATTTCCAAGTTATCCCTCCCCGTTAGAAGTTTTCTTAACATTCCCCTTTTTCCCTGTTAACACCCCCCCCAAAAAAGAAAGTTTTTCTCTTCTTACATTTCTCAGCTTCGCTATCTTCTCCTTTTTCATTCTTGATGGCTCAGCTTGCAGCTTTCCACATGTGTTCTCAGTGCGGGTCTAAGATGTCTCCTACTGATCCGCATGACCTGTGCCGCCTTTGTCTTGGAGAAGGGCACAGGACCGATAAATGCGGCCATTGCCAGGCCTTTACCAAGCAGGCGCGGAAAAACCGCCTGCGCAAACTCCTATGGGACCAGGCCCTGCTTCAGTCTGACTGGTGGGCCAATCCACTGCACAGCCCTCCTCTTTGGATGCCCCTCTGCCCTGCCCATTGGCTGATGGGGCTACTCTGCCGGCAGGCAAACGCTCCTCTAAATCTCCTCACAAACAAAAGGAGAAGAGGAAGCACAGTGGATCAGACGAGTCCTCGGGCCATAAGAAGCCTAAGAAGGATAAGGCAAACAAGATGGTTCATAAAACCAAGAAAGCCTATCAACCCCGACATCGTGATTCGGGTTTGTCTGCTCCATCGTTCCTGACAGCCGCTTCAGTACCGACACCAACTGGACCGGCTCTCCAACTGATGATGGAGGTGACCCCGCCAGGGTTCTTGGGATGGGTCACTCCTTCCATCCTGTCCTCGCCAGAACACCAGGAGGCAGCCATGTTGGGACCGATTTCCAATGGAGAGATCTGGGACTCTCCACAGATGGCTCCTCCGATGGCACGCTCACCTATACCGCAGCCATAGCCTGAGGCTTACCTGAGGGCCCCACCTCAGCAGGTGCGATACCAGTAGCGTGCCTATCGGTCCCTCTAGAGAATGGGTGCAAGCGCCTCATGGATCTGCTCATTGTGAACCATGGGACGACTATGCACCGTATGGGTGCTATCCATCGGTACGCCGCTGTACTCTTATCTCTGGTCCTGAGGGACGTTTTATCAACGTACTGCACAGCTCAGTCTTCGCCGGCCGACTCCTCCTCCAATCCTCCGCTCCATTATGATTCTGAGTCAGAGGACTCGGATGTAATATCCACTTCACCAGATGTGGTGATCACCACTCAAGGTCCCAGCTCACCTGAGGAGTCGTATTCAACATTTGGGGAACTGATGGCAAGATTGGCAAGGTCACTGGAGATCGAAGCCCAGCACCGCTTCGATCTCAGTACCAACAAGTTCTTCAACATTGTCAAAAGTGAACAATCCACCGCCATCATTTTGCCACTCATCACCACACTTCGTCAGGTGATGATGGAACTGTGGAACTTCCCCAATCAGCCGCAGCCGACTTCACGACGTTACAAATCCATGTATCGAGTTCGTGAACAGGATATCTCATTTCTCCTGCGTCACCCGAGACCAAACTCGATCATCGTGGAGTCGTCCCAGGGTCACGAGTCGAGGGAACACACCACTCCTTGCGACAGAGAAGGGTGGAAAATCAACATGATGGCCCGCCGTATTTATGCCGCCACAGGTCTTGGCCTCTAGATTTCCAACTCTGAGGCTCGTTACCAGTATTTTCTCATGCAAAAACTGGAGAATATCACAGTGTTGCTTCCGGAGCAGCAGAGGGACCTGGCCCATATTTTCACCAAAGAGCTAATGCAGGTGGCGATCCAACAACTTTCCACAGTGAGACATCATGTCGATCCCAACTCAAGGGCCCTCGTTGGTGCTGTAGCCCTCCATCACCATGCCTGGCTCCGGAATTGCAACTTTCCAGATGAGGCAAAGCTCCACATTGAGAATGTGCCCATCAACGGCTCAGGGCTGTTCAATGCTAGGACGAACCACAAGATGAAGACGATTCACAAATCATGTGTGACAGCTCATTGAATGGAAGTCCCCAACCAGTCTTGACGTAAGTGGTCTTGGTCCCGTCCTTCGTACCGGTATCAACCGTATACGCAGTTCTCTGGCCGGCAGCAGTTTCAGCCTTGTCAGCAGCACCGAAAGCAACCACCGTAGTGCATTCAACAGAGCTGTCACTGCCCGGATTCAGATAAGCACCAGCATTGACGGGCTGAGCGAACCTTTTCTCCTCTCCTGAACCCACCTTCCCCTCTTCCTTTTGGGAATTGACTGCAAAGTTGACTTCCCATTTGGGAGGCCATCACATCTGATCAATGGGTTCTATCCGTCATGGAGCACGGTTATAGAATCGAGTTCGATACCGTACCCCTATCAGGACCTATCTGATATACGTCTCCTTGATCGGTTCTCAAAGACGAAGTTCAGCAGCTTCTTCATAAAGGAGTGATCCGACAACTCTCACGCTCCAAGGGGTTACACAGTTTCTACTCAAGATATTTCACGGGTCCTAAACGTGATGGTGGTCTTTGTCCGATATTGGACTTACGTGGCGTCAACAAATTCATCAAAACTAAGAAATTTTGGATGACCACCCTTCAAAACATCCTTCCGTTGCTCAGGAGAGAGGATTGGTTCACTTCTCTGAACTTAAAGGATGCTTATTTCCATATCAGCATCCACCTGTCTCGTAGGCATCTTCTTTGGTTTACGGTCGGTTCCAACCTGTTTGAATACAACGTTTTACTGTTCGGACTGGCTACTGCTCCACGGGTCTTTACTAAATGCATGGCCTCTGTATGTGTGCACCTCTGGCTCCAGGGAATTCAAGTGTACCCTTACCTGGACGACTGGTTGATTGTCTCCTTGTCTAGAGAAGGCCTTCGATTATCGATTCGGACTACAGGTACCCTCTTAGATGACTGTGTATTAATCATGAAAAATTGTGCCTTATTCCTTCACAGATCGATTTCATCGGAGCCTGTCTTGACTCTACAATTGCAAGAGCCTTCCTTCCTCAAGGACAACAAGACAATCTTCGTGCATCCATTCAACAAATCCACATGAACAGAACTGTTTCAGCACTATCGGTACAGAAACTCCTCGAACACATGGCTTCCATGGTCTCTGTGGTCCCACATGCCAGATTATGGATGAGGCCTCTCCAAACCTTGGTTCAACAGCCTCTTCCAGCCTCAATGAGACTCACCTCACCAACTCCTTTATCTCTTGGCCTCCGTTCTCCAGACCCTATCATGGTGGACTATACAAAACAATCTGTCTGTTGGCATTCTGTTCCGTCCGCCTCATCCAGCACTGACTTTGTTCACCGATGCCTCCCTCACTGGTTGGGGAGCTCTGTGTGCCGGCCTTCGCACTCAAGGCACCTGGGACCTTCACGAGGCTGCCAAACACATCAATTATCTAGAGCTACTGGCAGTCTTCAAAGCCCTTCAGTCATTTGAGAATACTCTTCGGGGACAAGTTCTTCAAGTGGCCTCCGACAACATTGTAACTGTATTCCATATAAACAAACGGGGCGGAACAAAGTCTGCCTCCGTAGCTATCTAGCTATGAAACTGTGGGACTGGTGCATTCCGAGGGAAATCACCATCCTTGCCGTTCACCTAGCCAGTACCGACAATGAGGAGGTGGACACCCTCAGTAGACAGATGTCGAAGACCCACGAATGGGAGTTAGATCGTCAGGTCTGCCATCATCTTTTTCAGACCTGGGGCCCTCCAGACATAGACCTGTTTGCCACTCATGCGAATACGTTATGCAAGACATACTGCTCCCAAGTGGGCATCAGCCTGGGTTCAAGAGGGGACGCTCTAATGATCCCGTGGATGAACACATTCTTTTATGCGTTCCCTCCGATACCGCTCATTACGAGAACTCTCACCAACATCACCTTCGATGAGGCTCAGGGAATTCTTGTCACTCCCTGGTGGCCCCACCAACCATGGTTTCCTACCGTTCTCCACCTGTCCAGCAACACCTTTCAGCAACTGCCTCTCATACCTCATCTAATAACTCAGCAGAACAAGGCGGTATACCACCCAGGCTTTCATTCGCTCAATCTACCAACCTGGCTCATTCGATAAGTCACACTACTCCATCGGTACCAACGGCTCCCATGGTCCTGACACCGGCCTGATGGTGTCTGGACACTGCTGCTTGTCCTTCCTCGATACCGATGAATGCTCCATTGGATTTGAGCACTCTGCATCCTGATATTCAGTTCATTCTCCAGTCTGTGCTAAGATCTACGACTCGCCGCTCGTATGCAGCTAAGTGGAAACGCTTCACATCTTTCGCTGAAACCAATCACTTTATTGCTCATTCAGCCTGCATTGAAAGTATTCTTCAGTTTCTTTTGGCATTACACCAGACTGGACTGAAACCTTCATCCATCAAAGTTTACATTTACATTGCAGCAATCTCTCACTACCATGGCCAGGTGGCAGGCTCATCGGAATTCTCTAATGTCCTCATTTGTCGATTCCTTAGAGGATTACAGAACCTTCATCCGCCGATTAGGTCAATTGTTCCGACATGGAACCTTTCTGTTGTCTGTTTAGTGAGCAAGTGCTCACTAAACCTCCTTTCGAACCCTTGGCGACTACTGACCTATGTCTTTTGTCATGGAAGACTACTTTTCTCGTCACTATCACATTAGCCCGAAGGGCCAGTGAACTCTGTGCGCTACGTATAGACCCTCCTTATCTCAATTTCCACAAGGAGAAGGTCGTTCTGTGTATGGACCCGGCATTCCTACTGAAAGTCATGTTACCCTTTGTCACCGAAAGTAATGTCAATCAGGACATTATCTTACCAGCCTTTTTTCCTACTCTGTCTACACCTATAGAGTGCTTGCTACACTCTCTTGACGTTTGTCACTACCTCGCTTTCTACAAGTCTTGCACAGAACCTTTTTGCAATACCAGACGTCTTTTCATCAAATATTCAGAACATGACAAAGGGTCTCCTATTGGATCCCAAAGACTCTCAAAATGGATTGTGCAGACCATTGAGCTGGCCTGTCAACTTTCTAAATTGGACTTACCTGTCATGCCCAGAGGCCATTCCACGAGGGCTGTTGCGGCTTCTGCCTTTTCTGCTGGCATTCCGCTCCATGACATTTGCAAGGCGGCCACTTGGACTACTCCTTGCACTTTTGTCAAACATTACTGCCTCAATGTGCATGCCAGACAGGATTGCTCCTTTGGTCGTGCAGTCCTTTCTTCTGTTCTTCAGTGATGACACCACCCCGCCTCCAGGTCTGCTAAGCTTGCTAATCACCCATATGTATGATGCACAGAGGCCACGACGAAGAAAGGCAGGTTGCTCACCTGTAACTGTCGTTCTTCGAGTGGCCATCTGTGCATTCACACAACCCATCCGCCGGCCCCACTCGGTGTCAGTGACCGGGTTTCTACGGTACCGTGTTTCGCTTGGTGGCGGACCCGTAGAAGGGTATCTTCATATATATGTATATACATATATGTTTGCCTTAGTGTTTCAACATGTGCTCTGTAATATTTTATGCTCCTGCTTGGGGGCGAATGGTCAGTCTTCAGTAGACTGAGGAAATGGCAGGCACTCCACCTTCTTATACTGTGTGGGGGGGTGTGGAGTTCCCGCTAAAACCGTTAAGCTTTTAAATCTTCCTGGCTACAGGCACTGTGCAGGCGCAGCACCCATATGTGTGAATGCACTGATGGCCACTCAAAGAACGACAGTTACAAGTGAGCAACCTGCCCTTTTCTGATTATGACTGTGAGTCCAGTCAGCTGATGTCTATCCAAATAGAGTGTGTGTCCCTTGAAGTTTGTAAAGGAGTTAAGAAAGATGTTTATCCTGGTGCAAATGCTGGGCCTCACTATTGGACAGTCCCTCATAGATATGTTCCCAGGATTCTGCCTCTTCAGCATTTATTGGTGGCCATCATGTCCCATGTTTGAAAGTAAACAGGGGTTCAGTAAACTGGGATTTGATATTTAATCTGCATATTCTTCTTTGATGCTGTGATGATAGGAGATTATGCTTTTTAAGAAAAGGTTATATTCCTAAAGAAAACCCTGTTGTAATGAGCGACTTGCACAAATCAGATGCATTTTCATAGACACTGGTTTTGCATGGGAATTTGGTGAGCCATGACTAATTTGCCCCATTGATTAGAGTTGGTTTGCTTTTAACCTAAATTAAGTCTAGATCCATTCCATCCTTTGAGTTAATGAATACAATAAAAATGCTTTTCTTGGTCCTGTAGAATAATACCATGCAAACACAACTGGTTGGGGGAAAAGTAGCATCCCTGGAGAAACCCACCCAGGTGCTCTTGTTCCTGCTTGCAGTTGTTCCTGTTCCAACTGCTGCGTGGTCTAGCCTACTGCCACCGTCAGAAGGTGCTGCACCGAGACCTCAAGCCCCAGAACTTGCTCATTAATGAGAGAGGGGAGCTCAAACTAGCAGATTTTGGTGAGTACAACTCAGCTCTTCTCTTTTGCTCTGCAGAGCAGCCCTGGCTTTTGTTAATAAATACATTTGATTTTGTTTCTGCTTTCATTCTTCCAGGACTAGCCCGGGCAAAATCCATTCCCACCAAGACTTACTCGAATGAGGTGGTAACACTTTGGTACCGGCCACCTGATATCCTGTTGGGCTCAACTGAATACTCCACACAGATTGACATGTGGTAAGGATTCAGCAGATTTCCTCTTCCCTCAGCCTAATGATTGCCTCTTCCTGCAGGAGTATGTATAGGGTAAATTCCCTGGTCCAGGTAGACTTTATTAGCTCAGCTGCAAGAGCACAAAGTGTGCAAGCTTCCAAGATATACAGGTCTCTTTCTCAAGAAGGAAACTGTTACAAAAAAGCAGGCTGGGAGCAGGGAATAGAAGAAAAAGAAAAGCCTGCCTAGAATCAAGGCATCTTGTCTGGTTCATTCAGGATGGAGACAGTTTGGGGTTAACAGCTAGATTTATATTCTTTAAAAATAGAGGATCAACCATTGTCTGTGCCTTTTCTCCTTCCAGTTGTCCTTGGGACACTGAAACTGAAAGCATTACATCATTTGACACAGACTAACCTGAATGCCTTCAAACACTCATCCCTTTGTGTCTTGTTTTAAGAGTCTGGAAGTGCAGGCATTCTAACTAGAAAAGTCAGCTAGCCCTCCCCTTTACTCCCACATCATCCCCACCAGCCTGCTTTGTGCAACATCTTCCCTGATGAGGGGATCTGGAGAGCTCAAAAGCTTACTCATATTTGTGTGAGTATTCAGTTGCCTTAATAAAAATATTACACCAACAAGGATTTTGGAATTTTTCTTAAAGCCAACACGGCTACATTTGTGTTTTGTATGCTAGAGATATGCTTTGTCCCCTGGATGCCTTCATGCCTCCCCTCCCCAGAATTCCCAGTTTATTCTGGTTACACAGTAGTGATTCCACAATTTACGTCAGGGCTCATTCACATGCCACACCATAGAAACCTACATTCTGTGCCAGCAATTTAAATTTACTCAAGTAAGAAACATATATCCTTGATTGAAATGACATTTTCCTGTTTTCCCATTTGTTCGGCAACAATCATTTGAAGGAAACTGCTGCCATTTTTTTTTACATGGTTTGACTTTTTTCAACACAACCAAGGTTGTATTCAGTAATTCCTGGTTCAGTAATAAACACACATAAAGTGGCCTGCTTGGAGCTCAGGGAGGAAGAAGCTGCAGATCAGAAAAAAGGAGACTGATACTGGAGGCAAGCAAATATAGGAGGAAATGTCTATAATTCCTAATATCCCTTCCACCAGCTATGATGGTCGTCCGTCCGTCTGTCCCCCCCCCCCCCCCCCCCCGTTTAAACATGCATAGGACTGCACTGTTTTGGACCACTAGCATCATCATATAGTCCCCGTGTAGCCTTGCCCAACTCAGGCCCCTCCAGGTATTTGCTGTACAACTCCCATCACCCCTGACAACTGGACATCCGGATGGGCACACCAGTCTAAAAATACATAGGGAGTTCTGCTTTTGCTGGTGCAGAATTTTAGATCCCTCAGGACAGAATTAGGGGTTGTAGGGGGGTTTTTTAAGTAGTGCAGCAACGCACTGATGGAATACCATAATGGAATTAAAGCAAAATGAGAGAATGCATTTTAAAGCACATAGGATATGGACCTTGCAATTATCCGCTGCTGACAGTAACACCTGGGTGTATGCCTCCCTTTCACAGGGGTGTAGGCTGCATCTTCTACGAGATGTCCACAGGACGACCGCTTTTCCCAGGCTCCACCGTTGAGGAGCAGCTGCACTTCATCTTTCGGATATTGGGTATGAGACTTCACACAGTGGCCTTGCAGAAAGAGCAGCAGGGTTGGCAGTGATGAGAGGGCCAAAAGAGAAGGCTGTACTTGTAAGCCTACAGGGAACACTTTGAGCTGCTTTGTCAATTCTGCTCAAAGAGCAGCATAACAAATTAATCAAGAACAAAGAACATGAAGTAAAATATTTAACTATTTTTTATTAAAAGCATGTTTACCCTGATCTTTAGCCAAAAGGGATCCTATTGTGGCTTATAGATCCATGTCTGTCCCTAGCTTCAGGCTCCCAATCTGAAAGGTGCTGCCAAAAAGGAAAAAGGGAGCGGGAGGGAGAAGGCAAACTTGGACATGAGTTCTTACAGTTAGCAGAGCTGTTACAGGGTGAGATGGAATCTGTTCAGGGAGAGGAGCCAGAAGGAGCTGGACTCTCAGTAGAGCTGGTAGAGTGGCCCTGCTCACCCCCACCCCTTTCTGTCTAATGAAATGACTGCCTCTACCTGTCACAAACATAGCATGGACTTGGATGAGCCATAAGCATTCCACTTTAGTTGTAGGCAATGCTCTGTTGTCCAGGGACTGATGCTGCCTTGCCATTTCTCATAGTTGTGCCTTCTCTGACCTCTGTTCCACCTCTTCTTTGCCAGGGACACCCAGTGAAGAAACCTGGCCTGGAATCCTGTCCAATGAAGAATTTCGAGCCTATAATTACCCCAAGTACCGTCCTGAGGCCCTGATCAACCATGCTCCTAGGTGAGCATGTAGCTCATGGGATGTGGAGGCCTCTGAAAGGCAAGAAGACAGTATGGGAGGTCAATCTGGACCTGCTAGTAAACCTCTAGGCAATTTACAGTTGATCGGCCAAAGTTTTCTAGCTCCTAATAAGTTACGAATAACAGCAAGACAAAGACTTTTTGGGCAGTACTAAATAGAGATGCTTAAAAGGGGGGAAAGCTTGGGGGAGGTAGGAAATTTGGAGTGTTTATTGTGTGAAAAGACTGTGAGTTTGATTCTTCAACAAAAAACAATTTCCTGGGCTCAGCATGTGCTCAGAGGATCCCTGTTCCTTAGTTCTGAGAATATGTCCAGCTTCCAACCACCTTCCAAAGCACAACTTTATACATGGCTTTCATAGGATCTTGGTTCAGATGAAAAACCAGATCTGTCTGCCTGAAATTTGCCTGCCTCCCTCTGCACCTTCTGAATAAAGGAGAAAGCCTGCCATGCCCTCAGGGGAGCTGGGATATGATGCTGCTGAGAATGCCTCGGATAGTGCCAAGACTTTCAAATATGTCTTGGTAATCATTAGAGCTTTAATCTCGATTTAAAAAGAAAAGGCAAGCACGCATGTACTCAGTGTGCAGTCATAGCTAGTCCAATCTCTCAGTGTCTATTCTTCATTCATAATGGAATCATGTTGGCTAGACCAACAATCTTTGTGGTTCTTGTTCATACTGGGTCATGGAGAGAAGAAGGGGCTCCGTAAGGCCTTCTTGTGGGTCTCAGCTCTCAGGGGCCTAGGCCATGTTGTTGGCCCTTCTATCAAGTTCCAGGTATGGCTCTTGTTTAAGACAGAATAAAAATGGTTAAAAAGTACATTGCGTGTTACTAGTAAGCACTAAAAAGATGGTGGTTATCAGCAGAAGCACGAGAGCTGCAGCCCCCAGGAAGCAGAATCTCCATTTCCCTGAAGGCAGAGTCTCAGGTCTGATTAATTATTTCTTTACTGGATTTTCACAGACTGGACAACGATGGGGCTGACCTCCTAGGGAAGCTGCTGCAGGTGAGAAGTGTTGTCCATGCAGTTGGCACATCATTCTCCTCCAAGATAACACCCTTCTCCTCCTCCTGCACCATGACAAACAGGAACAGCAATCTCATTTTACAGGCTTTGAACAAATAGATTTAAAAACCTGAGTTGAACAGCATTGTCCTGTTCTGGGCCAAGTTAGACACTTGTATGGCTCAGTACCAAGCAGCAAAGCAGGCCAGAAGTTGCAGGACCCAGGAGAACTCCTAATGTTCAAGTTGTTCGGACCAAGTCTGAGATCAGGCAGAAGGCTTTTAGGCTAAAGTTCCAGCCTCCACCCGTCTCTACAAAATGGAAGCCTTAAAGGGACAGGCCTGCTGTCTAGCACTTTTCTGTCTTTTCAGAAGATCTTGCCTGACATCCTGCTGGCATTGGCGCCACCACTCATTGGAATGTGGGGCTTTTGTAGAAACAAGTGCTAGTCTGGAGCTGAAGCTAAGCTTGGGGGTTTCTTGTAGTAACTCATGGTGGTACTTGGACCTGTTTTCTTCTGTTGGTACCACTGGTTCCTTGGACTAGGAACAGTTGGCAATGTGGTTGTGCTGTGCAAATGGATTCTGCCAGCCCTTGGAAGAACAGCTCCTCCTCCTGAGTCCCCTGCTGCCCATGTTCCTGCTCCTATCTCCAGTCTGAGGTTGGAAGTAACACTGGTGATCCCTCTTTGAGTTTTGCAGGCTGAATGAAGAATCTCCATGGGTTGTGTTGGATTAGGCCTGCTAGCTACTGGCTCCTCATCTCTGTATTAACCAGCAGTGGCTTAATTATGTAATGTGCTTGCCATGACACTCATTGTTGTCTATGACTTCATTCTGGAGAAGGATGAGGAGAATTCCACTGCTTATGTGCTTCCCTGGGGCTTGAATCAGGTCAAGACGGGTGGCCCAACTCTCCTTGCCATTTGGCAGGGGCCTTCTGGATGAGCCTGTACAGATGACTAAGAGATCCCAGGGAGAGCTCAGCAGACTTCATCACATGCACATCCGATGCTGACATGAGATGAATGCTGTGGGAGAACCTGCAATGAAATAGCTGTCTGGATCCACTCAGATGACTCTCTCCTATAATTTACTCCTCTATAAAATCTCCCCCTCTTGTGGGAATGAAATTCATGCAACATTTTAAGAGGAAGGGCATCCCTAACCTCCTATGAGGATTGGGACTTGGTCTGGTATTGGCCTCTGACAAGAGCTACAGAGTTACATTTCTCTTAGTGAAAATGGCTTCCTTAGTGGGAGCAACAGGGCAGTAGTCCACCACTACCAGTAGCTGTGGTGGACTACTGGTGTCCCCCTCAATGTTTCAGCCTACAACTCGCATTTGTCAGTGGGAGCTGTGGGTGAACAGTGGGCACTGTAGGCTAAATGTATGGAGGACCATGAGTTGCCCACCTATGTTTTGTTGCCTTGATTCCAATAGTGATCTCTCTCTCTCTCTCTCCCCCCCCCCGTCTCATTTTCCCTCCCCCTCTTCTCTCCCCTGATGCAGTTTGAGGGCAGGAAGCGGATCTCTGCAGATGAGGCCATGCGGCACCTGTTCTTCCACAGTCTGGGGGAACGAGTCCTCAAACTCCCAGACAGTAGGTGCAGGCTGGGGAGGGTGGCCAGTGCCACTGTGGGTGTTGGGACAGGCAAATGAGCACAGGCACTGAGGGAAGGGGATATGGCATTGGCACTTCAGTAAGGATTTGCATGAGGAGGGACCTGTAGATTTGCTTACAAGCTGTGATCTGTCAGTTCTTGGCCTACACAAGCCTTCCATTCACTTCTCCCTCCACACCTGGCCAATTATTAAGGAATCCTACAAGCTTTAGTTGATAAATTGATCAACTAAAGCTTTGGTTGAATAAGTGGGGAAGGCAGATGTTACTTAGTGGGGGCAAAAGGTATGGCACACTTGCTTATTTTTGAAGCTGTTTTGCTTCTGATGTCTTAAGGCAATATTGAGAGCCTGGTGCCTCCACATGGATTAGATTTTAGGTCCCATCAGTCCCAATCACTTGGCCAGTGGTGAGCAGTGCCATTGTCCAAAACAACAAGAGGGAGGCCAGGTTAGTTCAATAGAATCCTAAAATCCAGAAGCCTGGTGCAAAATAATGGCCATGTTGTTCAGTGTGTGAAATTCACTCATATTTCCCCTAAGTTTACAGTCATAGTTTCCCAGTGATGGCAGATACAGCAGTGGCTAGACTGTCCACTCCTGTGTGACTCTTAAAGGGACAGGAGTTAGGAGTCATCTCAGGCCCTACACCAGGGGTGAGCAGCTTGCGGCCCTTTGGGAGTTCTAGCCTATAGCTCCCATGAACTGTCACCACTGGCCATGCTGGCTAGTACTGATAGGAGTTGTAGGCGAAAACATCTGGAGGCCATGAATCGCCCCTCCACAATCTAGACTGAGCAGCCCTAGTGTCACAATCCAAAACATTTTCTTTTGCCCATCCACTTTTCTTAAATTCATGTATCATAGTCCACTGCTTGCTCCATCTATTTGTTCCTTAGTTTCCATGTATTTGGGACCACATTACATCTCACTTCCCACTCCTTAGTTTTCCCTTCTTAGTTTCTTCTTTCATTGGTTATGTGAGGTTGCAATCCCAGGCAAACTGGCAGTATCTGTCTCCACAGAAATTGAACTGTGGACCTCCCCCGCACTCCCCACAAGCACAATAAATGACATTTCTTTTTACCAAGTGGTTGTAATGTATAAAAAAACTTCCTTAACTATTTCAGAAGAAACTACTAGAGATTTGAGAAATATGCAAATATATTTAAGTGAATCACTTAATTCATTAATCAACTAAATACAATATATTAATCAACTAAAATGCATTCAAACTTGCACACATTTGCAAAGTTTAAAAATCCAATTTGGAAGGACACTTAAGTAGTTATTTATCATTAACCAGGTGTGTAGCTTAAACTATGTGGACTCAAAGATGAAGCAATTTGAATTTTTAAGTTAAGGAACATGAACATTTTGAGACTATCTGCCCATCCCAAAATCAAATTTAGCTACAATGAAAATGCTTGCTCACGGTGTTGTTATAAATTAGTCAGCCCAGTAAAAGGTGTTGTCTCACATGCTCTGTGCTTCTTCCCTTTCTATCTCCTCCTTTTTCAGCAACGTCAATATTTGCACTAAAGGAGATTCAGTTACAGAAGGAGATGGGGCTGCGATCAGCTTCCCTGCCCGAATCAGGTGAGCAACTGTGGATCCTTCAGCAGGAGTCCCGCCCACTTTTGCCCCAGCAATTTCCCAGCCATCTTCAGCTTTCTTACTTGGGAGTCACACAGGAGGTAGAGCAGGGAGTAGAGAGACTTGCTGTGGGGGATAGCTTTTCTCCATTTCAGTGACACTTGTGCAGGAGAACATTCCAGAAAGTGATGTCCCCATGTAATAAAATGGGGGCTGTAGTTGGGCTGGCATTTCTGCCTTGGTCCTGAGCAAAGCTTTACCTGCCCCCCCTTCTGAACAGGTATGCTTGTCCCTCAGCACTGCAAGGATAAATTGTACCTCCGCCAGCCCTTGCCTTGCCTCTTATCCCTCCTCCCCACCAAAGCTCTTGTCCTGTCTTCTGGGGCCACTGTGCCATCCCCGTCACAGATCTCTGTGGTGATGCAGTGAATGGTCTCTCCTCTCCCACAGGCAGCGCCGCGTTCCGGGTAGTGGACACTGAATTTTAGCCTACAGGCCAGGTATCTGTGCCCCTGCCTCCCATTGGCATCCCCTCCCATTCCCGGCATGACAAGCTGGCATCCCCCTTTCCCATCAGCACCTGGTCTTAGTCCTCTCTGCACTCCAAGCACTGACCCAGCTGGTGCACCCCCTTCCACCCTGTGATGCCCACCCCTTGTGGGTGCCATGTTGCTTGGTGTCCAAAGCAAGGAGTGGGAGGCAAGGTGGTGTACACACGGGGCATGTAGAGGGAGCATCTTGCCTAGAACAGGAGTACAGAACCTCAGGCCCAAGGACCAAATCTCAGTCCCTGCAAGCTGCTGCCTCCTTTCCCCCAACCATTGATGGATCACTGGATTCTCAGCATTTGTGCAATGTTTTCTCTCCTATTCCCAAAGCCAACCACTTTTTATCTGAAGGGTTGGTTACTGGCAGTAAGAGCATTAAGTTAAAATAGGATAGGGTATTTTGGCCTTGGCCCTTTTGCCTTTAGCCCTCCTATCACTGGAGCGCCCCCTCCCCCAGTACTCAGGGTGAAAGAGGTTCTGTACTCCTAGCCTTGAGCCTGAGTTACAACCCAGGAAAGACCTTTCTTCCCACCTCCTCTCTGCCACAAGATTACTAGGCAAGTCTCTGTCCCTCTCCCTCTCCCCACCCCGTTCTCTCTCTGTCAGCCCCTGGCCCTATTTGCAAGATGCAATAACAGTTCTGACCTACCTTACATAGTTGTTCTAAGGAATTACTGAGATCAAGCCAGTGAAACTTCTGTTCCTATTCCAGACAGTTGTGGCTTTAGGGTGGGTGATGGGTTATGTGACCACAGGGAGGAATGACCTACTGGGAAAGGAAAGTCTAAAGACAACAAGAGATAGTGATGGCAGATTGTTTGGGGCAGCCTGCCTTTAACCCTTTGCAACTTTTCCTGCAGTAAATGGGCAGAATGGACGACCAAGCCTGCTGCTTTAAAGCCCACAGATGGATCCAGGTTGGTGGGGGCCAGAAGCAAAACCAACTCCCCCCACATATGCGGACATCCCCATCAACTGCTTCTTTATAATGAACTGTGGAGTGAGGACTTGGGATTTCGCAGGGGTGAGGGTGTCTGTACGCGGGGGGCCTGATTGCTCAGAGCTGAAGAGAAGCACGACCTGCCCCCAGGCATCCAGGCCAGGCACTGATGCCTTCTGCTGCTGGGATGGACTCTCTCCCTCCCACCCCCACACACATGGTGTTTCATTTTATTTTTTAAGTTTTATTTTTTCAATGCAATATTATAAATATTATATTTGCAGATATCTATAAAGAGAGACACCCCCGCCCTTACCTCTCCAGTGGTGGAGAGTGTACAGTATTAACAAGGGAGCCAGCACCCAGCCCACCTCACCCTGGAGCAGGGAGAGAGAATCACAGAGGAGAGAGAAGTCGCCCAGGGGGATTGGGCTGCTGACCATCCTCTGCACTCCATTCAGCAGGAGGAGGAGGTGGCAACAGCAGCGGGGGATTGGGCTCGGGGTTCCATTGCTGTTTTGGGAGGTGGGTGGATTTCTGTTTCCCCTTTCCCTCCCCCGGTTCCAGTTGCCTCTCTACAGAGCTGGGCTGGCAGTTCTTCTGATGCAGATGGTTGCGGAGGAGCCCAGTTCTTGGGAAGGCAAGCAGGAATCCTTACAGGCCTCCCTGAATTGTAGGGAATACAATCCCTCTTTCCCTGCTCCTTCACCTTCCCCATTGTTCACCTGGGTGACTTGCCAGGCAGTCTCCCCATTTCCCAAGCTGCTTTGGATCAGGTGTGTCATCTGCGTGTCCCTCGTTTTCTCTTTGCACCAAAGCCAAGTCTCCCTGGCTTGTGTCTTCCTTAGGTCTCAGTCCATGCCTTGCTCAGGCTCTCCCCACATACTGGGCCAGTGCTATCCATTTCAGTTGAGTTGCTCCATCAATCAGTCCTGCCTCTTTCATAACTTGCTTTGTACTCAGGGTTTGCAATCACTCCTTTGCCTTTGCAGGCACAAGCGCCCGAGCACCTGCTGCACCAGCCCCCAACTGTTCTGGCAGGGCTTGTGTAGGGGATGTCCCTGGTGGTTTGTGCCTTGTTTCTCCCTTACTCCCTTCATACTGACCATGTCCTATGTTCCTTGGATGATCACTCCCTGTTCTGAAAATCCAAAAGATAATGTTTTTCATGGCTCCCATCTGGACCCTTCTCAGATGTTATGGTACTTACTACATAGATGAACAGTCTGTGGTCCTCCAGTTGCTGTTGGACTTCAACTCCCAGCAAGCATGAGCTGTGGTCAAGGGTGATGGGAGTTGTAAGCCCTCAAAATCTGGAGGTCAACCAGTTGTCCACCACCTCTGCCTTACTTGGTCTTCATGCAGATATTTGTGTTCCATTTACCTGAATCCTTGTTTCAGTATTCTTTAGGCTTCCACATTAGTCTCTGCAGGCTAACACACTGACTTTCCCTGGAAATGGTTTCTCAGTCCTTAGACAGTGACTGAGTCCCTTTGGCCCTGCCCTGTATTAAAAGTAAACCAAAACCTTTTCTGGAATTAAACCAACATCAGCCCTAACTCACGGGGCCATGAGCAACCCTTCCTGAGAGCTGCTGGAAGGTTAACTGGTCTTTTCCTGAACTGTATTAGCACTCTCAAAGATGAACCAGTTCCTGTCCAGGCCTCCTTGAACAAATTCAGTCCCTCTTGTTTTATCAAACATCAGGCTGAAAATTACTCAGTCCCCAGGGCTGTGTTTTTATGCAGAATTACTACCTGTGGCTTCTGCTTGGTAACACAGATCAGCTCCTTAAATGTGAATCAATCCTGGCTTTTTCTCCTTTCAGAAAGGCTTCCTAGTCTCTCCATAGCACCAAAAACTCGGTGGCTTCTGGATGTGGCCAACTAAAACTTTCACCATTCTTGGACAACTGGACATGTGGGGGACCTAGTTTGGGATGAGGGGCACTGGGATGGGGGAAACTGATCTGGGCATAGAAATGCCTGAGGAATCCTGCTCGGACATGGAGATCTCCACAGATTTCCCTTCCTTCCAACTTGACTCCTGAGTGGCTCCTCAGAGGAACCTGGCAATGTCTCCTGCGCTCACCCCCAGTTTTGGGAGCCCACCAGTATCACGGCTCCCCATTTGGCCAAGATTGTTCCTTTCAGCTCAGGGCACAGTGGCCTGGGTTTGCAAAGCTGTAGGATGTGGATCCAGATCCTACATTTGCTTGCCGTGTGTGTAGACAAGGTGACACCCAACTTTCCTCCCTTTGATCTATCTATCTATATAGTACATATATAATGTGTGTTCGTGTGTATATATGTACATATGTAACCATTTTTATATGCAGCATGAAGTGCTTGTAAGGTTCACAAATCTTCCCCTTCCCCTAATGAGAGCCATATTATTATTCTGATTATTATAACCCTCAGGCAACGTAAAGGATTTCTGAAGGTGCCTCTCTATAGAGGTCATGCAGAAATGTAGCCTGCCTTATGCTGGGATGCAAGGAACGAGTGGTGCATGAGAGCTTTTGGCTTGGCACTCAGGTGCAGCTGCCTTTTGTAGGGGAGAAATCTGAGGACTCTGCCAACATACACAAGGCATCCCCCAATGGCAAAGGAGTTCCACCACAAAGAGGCCCAGGGTTACCATTGCTCAGGGGATAGAAGAGGGTTGTGTTTACAAAGGGGCCCTAAGAAGCAAGAAAGACCCACCCCTTCAGTGGGTATCCTTTTCAGCCCCCTAACCTGCCTGCATGACCCTCCCTTCTGCTCCTGTCTGCTTGGATCTGCTCTAAATTCTGACCTCGTAGTTCCTTCCCAGCCCCCCCTCACTCTGGGTTGCACCTTAAGACCGAAGCACTTGTGATAGTTCAGGGCTAGGCAACTGTGAGGTGGACCCATTTCTTGATCGCGTTCAATCATGTGTGCCATCTTTCTGCCTAGACCTGCTTCTTGCAGGGTGTTGGGTCTTCAAGGTTCCAAAAGAGTCTTGCTGCCCTCTCTAGGGTGGAAGATTGCCCTGCCTCTAGCAGGAGCTTTCTATATGGGGTATGTGTGCGCATTCTGTTGTTCCTTTTCCTGCACTCCACCATGCAGACAGGGTGCTTAACTGTGGTCAAGCACTAGTCATGGGCTTGTTGCCTTAACCTTGATTAAGTTGCTGGATGTACAGTGAGCTACAGTTTAATTTGCATGCTAAATCCTGCACCTACAGGAGCATGTAAACATCAAGGTAAAGAAACTGCCTTAACCTTGACTTGTCTGTGAAAATATAATGGATATCCACAGGTCATGCAAACCATGGTTTGTGAGCCTCTCTGCCAACCATGGTTTCAGATCCTGATTTGTGGTCCATTCCTTAACAATGGTTTAGGCATCAAGCCATAGTGCTAAACCATGGTTAGTTCAAGGTATGTCTGCTTTGGTCCTGTAGGAGCTCATGTTACAGTGTAGTATGAGTGGAAGAGCAGAAGGACACTGGCAAAGATACATGGTGCTGATTCTTTTTGGTCCAGAATCCAGTCTATTTAGGTTTGTGAAACTGCTTCCTATTTCATCTGCTGCTGGAAGAGAAGAAACAGAGTTCCCCAGTACAAGAAAATGTAGCAAAGGTGGATGCAACAAGAGATACCTCTATTTTGCAAATAGAAACTGAGTTGCTGGGACTTCCCAGAAGGAACTGTGGGAGTTGTCAATTTTGAGGAGACTGCTCAGTGTGTGGTTGAGGTGTAGAGCCTGTAGAGAGAAATTGGGATTCTCAAGATTTGAAACAGGGCCAAATGCCAGGGCAACTAAGTCAGTTCCTTTCTAGCCTAGATGTATTCTCAGTCCACACACATGAGGAAGGAGATTGGATCTTTGCATGAGAGGGAAGCCCAAGATGGCCTACTGGACAATGAATATACAGCGGATCCGGACTTCACTTTTTTGTGGGGGGAAAGGGGAAATCCTCAGAACCTGTTTCTGGGCTGGATGTAATCCACCCTTTCTTGCAGCAAACAGAAACCCTGGAATGGATAATCATTAGCCTATGGAATGGACTATCTCTATGTGCTCCTCCACTTTTCCCTCCACCTTTGATACAGAGATAAGTTCTCCCAGTATGGAAAAGGAAACTCCTGTTCTTGTACATAACTTGAATCAAGGGAGCAGTTTTTGGATGAAAAGGTCAGAAATGACCACAACAGACCACAAAGTCCCCTGGGGAAGGAAACAAGCAGAATTCTCTCTCCCAGATGCTCCCTCCACATCCCTATCCAGGGTGAACAAATGCACCATATCCAAACGTACAGAACTGATTAAAAGTCTCCAACAATTTCAGGTAGTGATGTTTCTCATTTGGACTTGGGCAGCAGGGGCAGTCTGTGGCTTGGTTGGGCTTGCTGAGTGGTATTTTTGTTAAAAGGAGAGTGCTTTTCCATTCAGTCCTGGACCTCAGACAGTTCTTTTTGAGGAATGGTGGAGGGACTCCTGCACCTTCTTTCCAGAATATTCTGATCCCTGCCACCTATCTCAGAGGGGATAAAATCTACTTGTAAACAAGCAGCCCACTTGCCATGTGAAGGGTCATGCTTGGGGGTCCGTACTTAAACTGATTTACCTGCCTAGGAGGCTTAGAAAAGGCCCTTCTACAGCCAACAGTTCTGCTGCAGCATTTCAAGGCATGCTTGTTATCTGGCAGGAGAAGGCTTTGCTTCAGGCAACAGACAGGAGCCTTCCATGCTTATAACCTACCACATGAGCAAGCTGCATGCAGTATGTGTTCATGACTCAATCTGCTGAGTCGATCTGCCCTAGTCAGCCCGCAGATGGATAAGAGTCCTGAAATCTTTCAGTGGAACATCTCTCAGGATGATGTAAACCATCTGGAAAGCAATGTGCAGAGGGAACAGTATATGATTTTTTAAAAATAAAAAGCATCTGGGGAGCCTAGTCCTTTCAAAGGAATTCGCTTTCTTGTCATCACATCTGGGAGTGGCACAATATGATTCAGCTAATCTTTGGTGCAAATAGCAGCTTTCCTTGAACCTGGGAAACACTCTGGTGCAAGTAATACTGTATAAGAATAGGTGATGGGTGTGGTATGGCACTTTGCTGCTGCAATGCACTGGGGCAGGTGGTGATAGCAGTGGGGAACGCTGTATCGCTTGATCCTGCATCTGCTTATGTAGGAATAAAGTCCCCGTGTACTTTCCAAGGAAGCATGCAAAGAGGTGGCTGATTAGATACATGGTAATGTGTCAATGAGCAGGGAGGAACCCTTGATTGGTGTTCTCACCTGCCAGTAAATTTGCTCAAGCCAACACAAACTCTGGGGAATGTTTACTCTTGATTTGCACAGGTTTAACTGCAGGTCAGGCTGGTGTTAGTTCAGAAACCTCCTTTAAGACAAGTGGCCAGTTGTTAGATTCTCATTGCTATTAGACCTAGCCAGCTTGGTCTGTAATGACGGGTGGTGTAGTTCAACACCCAGAGGACCACAGGTCTCCCCCCACCCTTTTATAGATAACTTTTTAATATACCTGCCAGACAAGTCACCCCACTCTTCCAACATTGTCACATTCTAGTGCATGGATCCACGGCCAGGGGACTGGATCCGGCCTGCCATGCCCATTTGGACCCGGTGTGTGCGCCCACACGCGCACTCACTGCCGCCCATCTTGCCCCGTGCACAGGAAGGCAGCAGTTTCCTCTCTTGGAGAAAACGATCTCCAAGCGAGCAAGTTGCTGCCTTGTGTGTCCACCTCGCGGCACGTGCCCATCCCTGCCTCGCTTCCCCTCTTGCACGCCCCCCCCACCTCCCCTTGCTGGGCATGCCCATCCTTGCCTCGCTTGCTGCCCCCACCCCCGCGCAGCACCACCTTTCTGGCCCACACCCCAGCACTGGCACCTTTCAACTGGCCCCCCAGTTGAGGACCCCTGGTCTAGTGTGACCAAGTAGCAGCACTTTGGACAGGGCTGTGCAAATAGGAGCTGGATTGAATCATTGCAGTTCCCACTGCTTTCTGGGGAAGGACAAAAATCATACCAGTTATACAAAGTAGCCTACTGATTACAAGGGGCTGTATTTTCAGACACACAAGAAAGGAAGTGTACCTGAAACGTTAGATGTGAAGTGGACCTGGTAGAAATAGATTTGGGGCGAAATCTGCTGATAAGGGCCTGGCCTGTGTTCCGCATGAGGTCTTGATTTAAGCAATAATAGCTGACTGCTCTTTGTTGTTGTTGTTAGTCGCAAAGTCGTGCCCAACCCATCGCGACCCAATGGAAAACATTCCTTCAGGCCTTCCTGTCCTCCACCATCCCCTGGAGTCCACCCAAGCTCACACCAACTGCTTCAGTGACTCCATCTAGCCAACTCATTCTCTGCCGTCCCCTTCTTCTTTTGCCATCTATTTTTCCCAGCATTAGACTCTTCTCCAGGGAGTCCTTCCTTCTCATAGGTGGCCAAAGTATTAGAGTTTCATCTTCAGGATCTGGCCTTCTAAAGAGCAGTCAGGGTTGATCTCCAGGACTGACCGGTTTGATCGCCTTGCTGTCCAAGGGTCTCGCAGGAGTCTCCTCCAGCACCACAATTCAAAGGCCTCAATCCTTCGGCTCTCAGCCTTCCTCATGGTCCAGCTTTCACAGCCATACACTGCAACTGGGAAAACCATAGCCTTGACTATACGCACTTTTGTCAGCAGGGTGATGTCTGCTTTTTAGTATGCTGTCTAGATTTGCCATTGCTTTCCTCCCAAGGAGCAAGCGTCTTTTAATTTCTTGGCTGCAGTCCCCATCTGCAGTGATCTTGGAGCCCAGGAAAATAAAATCTGTCACTACCTCCATTTCTTCCTCATCTATTTCCCCATCCCTAAGTGAGAGGACTGGATGCCATGATCTTAGTTTTCTTAATGTTGAGTTTCAAGCCAACTTTTGTGCTTTCCTCCTTCACCCACATCAAGAGGCTCTTTAGTTCCTCTTCACTTTCTGCCATTAGAGTGGTATCATCTGCATATCTGAGGTTGTTGATATTACTCCCAGCAATCTTAATTCCAACTGGAGATTCATCTAGCCCTGCCTTTGTCATGATGTCCTCTGCATATAAGTTAAATAGGCAGGGTGACAGTATACAGCCTTACCGAACTCCTTTCTCAATTTTGAACCAATCAGTGGTTCCGTGCCCAGTTCTCACTGTTGCTTCTTGACCTGCATATAGGTTTCTTAAGAGACAAATAAGATGGTCTGGTACTCCCATCTCTTTAAGAACTTGCCACAATTTGTTGTGATCCACACAATCAAAGGCTTTAGCATAGTCAATGAAGCAGCAGTAGATGTTTTTCTGGAACTCCCTAGCTTTCTTCATGATCCAGCGTATGTTGGCAATTTGATCTCTAGTTCCTCTCCCTCTTCGAAATCCTGCCTGTACTTCTGGTAGTTCTTGGTCCACATACTGCTGGAGCCTAGCTTGTAGGATTCTGAGCATAACTTTGCTAGCATGTGAAATGAATGCAATGGTGCGGTAGTTTGAACATTCTTTGGCATTGCCCTTCTTTGGGATCAGAATGTAAACTGACCTTTTGCAATTCTGTGGCCACTGTTGAGTTTTCCAAATTTGCTGGCATACTGAGTGCAGCACTTTTATTGCATCGTCTTTTAAGATTTTGAATAGCTCAGCTGGAATACTGTCACCTACACTAACTTTGTTGTTGCTCAGACTTCCTAAGGCCCATTTGACTTCACATTCCAGGATGTCTGGCTCAAGGTCAGTGACCACCCCATCGTGCTTATCAGGGATGTTAAGCTCTTTCTTGTATAGTTCCTCTGTGTAATCTTGCCATCTCTTCTTAATCTCTTCTGCCTCTGTTAGGTCCCTGCCATTTTGGTCCTTTATCATGCCCATCTTTGCATGAAACGTTCACTTCATATCTCCAATTTTCTTGAAGAGATCTCTGGTCCTCCCTACTCTATTGTTTTCTTCTATTTCTTGGCACTGTTCATTTAAGAAGGCATTCTTATCTCTTCTAGCTATTCTCTGGAATTCTGCACTCAATTGGATGTATCTTTCTCTTTCTCCCTTGCCTTTCACTTCCCTTCTTTCCTCAGCTATTTGCAAAGCTTTCTCAGACAGCCATTTTGCTTTCTTGCATTTCTTCTTCTTTGGGATGGTTTTAGTTGCTACCTCTTGTACATTGTTGCAAACCTCCGTCCATAGTTCTTCAGGCACTCTGTCTATCAGATCTAATTCCTTAAATCTATTTGTCACCTCTACTGTACATTTATCAGGGATATGATTTATGTCATACCTGAGTGGCCTAGTGCATTTCTCTACTTTCTTCAATTCAAGCCTAAATTTTGCAACAAGAAGTCTGAGCCACAGTCAGCTCCTCATCTAGTTTTTACTGACTGTATAGAGTGGGTTGCCATTTCCTTCTCCAGTGGATCACATTTTGTCAGAGCTCTCTGCTATGACCTGCCCGTCTTGGGTGGCCCTGCACGGCATAGCTCATAGCGTCATTGAGCTACGCAAGCCCCTTCACCACAACAAGGCAGTGATCCATGAAGGAGCTGACTGCTTGTGGAATGTACAAAAGTGGCAACTTTTCCTGCCCTTTGCTTATTTCTAAAGGGAAAGTTGTGGTAGGTTCCTGAAGCACAAACAACAATCCTTCCATGTCTTAAAGAACAGTGGTTACAGTAATACTGTATAAGCTTTCATGGACTACTCCATCAGATGCATAAAGTCTCCTAAACTGCATGGTGGTTGTGCACACTTTGTTGCAAGCTGTGAGGTCAGAGGGAAATGAAATGCTTCAGGCAATCTTATTAATAGTGATAGCTCTCAAAATGGTGATAACACAAACGTAGCATGCAGTGTAATAAAAATCTGTTATCCCAATCCAATTTAAGCCTCAGCAAATTGACATAACTGGGGTTGCTGGCAGTTTTAAGTCCAGCTGCTGACATTCATAACCAGGACCATCCAAACCTGATCCTGGGGACGAGCTCAGCCAGTAAATTTTGTCTGATTGCTTACTCCATAGCCCCAAGATCTACTTATCAAGCCTACCATTTCCCAAGAGTGTCTAATATCTCACCTTCAACCCCCACCTACAACATGCCCCCCATATTTTTCCTAAGATGATCAGATAAAAAGGAAATTGTTTAGAAGGCATTTAACAGACAAGTTAATGTGTAGTTGCTAACATTCTCTTCCATTTTTAACAAGTAAAGGGCCCTTTTTGCATTTATCAACACACACTTCAATATTGTTCTGTCCTGTTCTATAACTGCATGTTACTTTGTCTTAACACCTCTTTACTTCACTACGCACACCCATCCATTTTGGCTGTTCACAGCCTGATGCACTTTGGATGGGACTTGTAGTCCAGCCCATTTTCCCCAGCCTGCATTGCTAATGGTTCTGTTGGTTGGAGATAATGTAAATTGTAGCCTAACACCTCTGGAGGATACCGGCTTAAAACAGGCTGATGCGGTCCATTTGCAAGTTATGTAGAGAGCCTCTCCTGCAATTATGTGTGCAGCCTGGTGCAGCATGTGAGGAATCTGGTGTGCTGTCCTGACATAAGGCGCTGAAAAGGAAATCAAACAGCCCATTTCCAATCCCAGCCTCTTCCCCAAATGACACACAAGGATCACACTTCCCATGACATGTCATTTCAATGGAAGTTTAAGGTGGATAATGTGTGGCCCACTGGATATTTCAGCCAGCAACTCCATTCCACAAAATTAGCTCTGTTGACTAGGGAGGACAGAAGCTGTAGGCCAAAAGATCAGGTAGGCCCAAAGCAACCCATCTCTTTTAGTCTCTTACTACTAACTCAAGATGATAATAAAAACCCATCAATCAGCCTTCTAGTGTGTACAAAGCCCTTTGCATACCAGGTTTTGTAATCCCAAAAAGAACTTGGGAAAGGGTAGATCAATGTTATCAGTGCCTCCAAATGGAAGGTGAGATTTAGTCCTGGGTCTACAGTATTCCCACCGATCTGTCTCTTAGCCCTCTACTGTCCCCACTGCCTGTGTCTCCAGTCGTTATTGATGGGCCTCATCTAGTCCTATTTGAGCTTCACAACTGCTGGTCCCAGATGCAGATTTGCATCAACATTACACCCATAAGAATAGAGGTCTAGCCCATTTTCTGAGGTTGGGGGTGGGTGGGAGGCTAATCAGCAGTGAAATATGGAGATTTGCCACAGCATCTGCTCCCTGAGCAGAAAGCGACTTCAGCACACAGATCTCACTTGCTGCACTGGGCTTCAACCAATGCATGCTTTTCATTGATATGTATATTTTCCCCTTCCCAGAATTCTAGGCTCATTAACTTTATTTGTGCTGATAAAGATCAACTGTGTGCAATGCCGTTGGAACACACATCCTAACAGTTGGCCAGGAATTATGGGAATCACACTCCAACACATCTGGAAAGTGGCCAGTTGAGGAAGGCTGTTCTAGTATGTTTTAAGGAATAATTCCATTTATATAGCATTTAGGGCTTTAGTTCAATCTTTACTGCAGAAGTTGCCAGATAACATCCCAGTATCTCCAGTTAGGGCTGTAAAAGCAACCTGCTTGCTTGAAACTTGGCAAGGTGCCACCAATCATGGCCGATAATGCTGAGTAAAGTAGGTCAATAGTTGGACTCACTTACAAAGCAGGATCAGAAGGAAGCCAAAAATGTAGTTCAGAACAGTGTCTGAAGTAACTGACATTGCTTGTCTGCCAGCTGTCTGGCAAACTGGAATCAGCAGTTTGAAGTGAGTGTGCAAAGCATGGATTGTGCTAATCACTGTAGCTTGTTGTGCTCCTTGAATTGACAAATGGCTCTTGCCCCCCTGCCCCAAACACACACTTCTGCAGCATGGAGACAGAATTGGTTATCAACATATTGAAACCCAGTGTTGCAAGAAAGGAAAACTAAAGACAGGGATTATTTTGCTCTCTTGTATGTTTGGAGCAATTCTTGGTTGGGATTTCAAACTTCGTTAAGCACAAACTATATTCTGAATCCAGCCAACACTGCAGTCTTCTGGAAGAGAGAGTGGGTCAACTTGACCCTTTCAGGAAGTAACCAGTATACAAGCGGTAATATGAGCATGTTATGTTTAAGTTTTTAAACCAAAATTAACACTGCACCCAGGTGCACAGATGTAGTGTATGATAGTGCAATCACACAAATGCTGAACAAGAAACAAAGGGCAAAACAATTGCTTGGATGTAGTATGAGTTAACATTGTTCCAATCATGCAAAGCAGTCTATTGATTATGCATGACTATACTGTTGCACAAGAAAACCAGTGCTGCACAAACAAACGACAGATCGTTGGATGTGGAGTAGACTTGGTGAAAATTGCATCTTGGGTGAAACTGCTAATATGGGCACAATCTTTGTGAAAGTGTGACTTGTACAAATAGTGTTTAAATTCAATTCCCAAAGAAGCTTGTAGACTAAAAAGCCTGTAAGCTTTAGGATGAAATCCTATACATGCTTAGAAAGAAAAAAGGACTACAGCTTTCAGTAAGGCCCAGCTAGCCAACACCACAAGTTTTTTTAAATTTACAGAAGGGTCATTTCCAACCAAAAGCTTCCACCACGCCTTTCTTAGCGGAATTCATATGAAACTGTAATGAAAGAATTAAAAATCCTTGGTGGATTCCGTGGTAAAATAAACAGATGGGGTCCACACCAATTCAAGGATCTTCCCTGCGAACTTGTTGCATTATGAAGATGGTAAGAGCAGCAGGGTAAACAGACAAATACAAGCTATAACGCCTTGCAAGTGTCTTGTGTTTTCTTCAGTTGCCAGAAAAGAACATATCCCAATGTTTCCCTACTTATTCAAAAGTTCTTTGCTCTGAGCTGCTTTGCCAACTAATAATTCGCGTCCTTCCTTCTGTCCTGAGAAAAGTTCATCTTTATTGGGCTTTAATGCCAACCCATATGCAAAAAGTGGGTCATTTCCTTGAATTATATAATTGCTTTTTATATATCTATATAGATGGCCTTTTCCATCCCGTCTTTTTGTTTACATAACAATCTCAAAGGCTCAATTACCTTCCACTCCGCCCTGCTCCTCAAATCGCTAGGGTTACGCCCGCCACTCCCAACATGGCGTCTCCTTCAGTACCGATTAAAAACGAAGGCGCCGCTAAAGATGGCCGGCTGCACCAATCTTAGGTAGGGCTCCTGCCCATAATAAACATGGTGGCGACAGCATCGAAGGAAGCGTATCCCAGGTTCTATCGCAGTCGCGCATTACTTTACATTAGGGTTTTTTCTTTTTTTAAAGAAATACGCGCGTCCAATCTTCGCAAGGAAACCCTGCTTGGTCCTGCGTTTAATTTCTAGCGCCACGTCCAACCATCATGGCGGGAGAAACTGACGCATGCGCTGACGTCCTCGCACTTTGCCCTGCTCAACATGGTGCATCTCCGTCTCCCGGGCTCACTTGCCACACCTATCATGGCTGGACGGAAGCAGGTGGGCGGGGCCGCGAAAGAGCCGGGAGTGGGAAATAAGGTTTCCCTGCTTCTCGTTTCCGGGCAGGCGGCAGAGGGGTGGGAGGAGATGGCGGCTGACCGGGGGCTGCCGGGGCTCGAGGCCCAGAGGGAGCAGGTGGAGGGAGAAGGGACCAGTCATCTGGGGCGGCAGCGGCCGCTGCGAGCGGGAGAAAAATGGTACGCAGAGGTGATGGCGTGGGGAGGGGGCCCATTCGGTGAGGGGGAAGCAGTCTGGTGGGGCCAGCAGAAGTTGGGGTCAGGGGTTGTGCGAATGGGGAGGGGGAGTTGTAGGTGGAACAAGAAGGGGTGTGCCGTGAGGGAATTCCTCTTTACATCCTTTCCGCTGAGTTCTTGAGAAATTCGGGGTCCCGTAGAAACCCACCTCTAATCCGGGTTAGAATCCCAATCCCCTTCCGTAAATGCTCATTGGTTTGGGGCGGGTAGCGCTTGGGAGGGAGGCGGGTTGGTGACAAGAGAGAAAATCCCTCGACTTTCTCCTCTTTCTCATTAACCTGGATCAGGGACAACTCGGCTTGGAGTTGTCAACGGGTAACAGATGCAGTAATTATGCACTTTTGCACTGACTATCCTCACCCGCTCCGCATCGCTAGAGCATAATGAGACGAGCGCTGAAATTTTGTTGTGGGTTGCCTCCATTTGGCCTTCGGTATGCTTGGTGCCTTAATAGAGTAGCATAAATAAAAATTCAGGTCCTTTCTCTGATTTGCTGGAGAGTTCATGCTATTAGACTTAATGGGACCTACTCCCCAGTAAGTATAGGATTAGACTGTCTGGCATCCTGTGTACTTTTATTTATTTATTTATTTATTAAAACATTTTTATGCCGCCCCATTCGCCAAAGCCTAGGGGCGGCTTACAACAGTACTTTTACTTACTAGGGCACAATCGCTGTTGTGCTTGGTAGGTTTAACTTTTGAATAGAATTGTTTCCTGTTCCTTGTCCATTCTTGCATTTTTTCCATGTCGAGTGGTAGTAGATACTTGAAGCTCACATTGTTCAAACTCATTCCCTTTAGCAGATTTTTAAAATCCTTATGTTCCTTGGTGGCTTGATTAAAGATGGGAATTCTAAAGTGCCTTAGTTGTAGGGAAATAGACTCTGGGAAGGGATGTTTATTTTGAATCAGCTTGAAGCTTGAGTGCATGTTCACGTGTCTGGACACTGCTGGTCCACCCCGCCCCCCGGTCTCTTTTTTGCTTCCTTCTGTGTATTTGGTATCTTGATGTGGACACATCAGTGACATTTCCTGAGTGGCACTAATTCCCACTGCATGGTGGCTTCTTTTAAAATGGATTTCCTCTTCCTGAAGACTGTCAACATTTGTGTACTTTGCTCTTTCATTTATGTACGTCTACATGGAAACTGGTTTGAAAATCATATAGCTACTTCCTGAATGGTGGCCAGTTTTTGCCAGACTAACAGGATTGATCACTCTCCCTCGCCTACTGCCCAGGTCCTGTGTCTTTTACAGTTGCATGACAGGCTGAATTTCAGTAACTGCAAATTTGCCTGGAGAAAAGTGGTACAGATTTTCTCCCTCTTCTTGGGAGGCTAAGGAGCCTTAATTCTCTTTTAAATAGCAACCTTAGTTTCGGAGAGGTGTTATTCAATTGTTCCATGCTATCTAACCACAATTAGTAACTCTGGATTAGGCTGGCCATCCAAGTGCAATTTAGTTTTGAGTTCTTAGTCATCCCAGCTCAGAGGCTAAGTGCATATTGTCAACATTGCTGTCTTTTGCTTTATTGTTTGGCCAACTGGCACTTTCTGTGTGTGGCTCTATCCTGCAAAGAATAAGTTTCAGTTTCACTTTTGATAAGCAGGCAAACTCCCTGTTTTGTGGAGGCCATATGCATTCCCTGTGTCAGTTGTTTCAGCTTTCCTCATGCCCTTTGGTGCAGGGGTTAGAGATATTTTGCTTCCTGTCTGTTGGTTGCTCTAAATTTTTACATGCTAACTTGCAAACATATCAGGGGTGAGACAAGAGATCAGCAGCTCAGCTGCAAAAGAAACAACTGCACTGTGTTGTCACAGAACAAAGAGCCAACCTACCTCATAAGGCTGTAGCAAAGTATGCAGTCTAATCTTACACATCTTTATTTGGACGAATACAATTAGACTGTGTTCACTGGAGTTTCTTTCCAAGTCTATGTGCTTAAGATTGCATTCTAAATTAGATGAGAATGGTAAGGTGTGTGGTACAGTGAATAGTGCCTATAGTGGTGGCTATGTTCATTAGCTTCCAGTTTCTTTTTAGCTTTTAAAACTTTCTGCCATACTGACATGACTTGTGTGCCCTCCACTCCTCATACGTTCATCTGCTGTTCTCTCTTTTACCACCTCAAATTGCATGCTGAGGCAAAATAGCCGCTATCGAAGGTTGTACTTGTGCAGATTCCATCTGCTACCTAGATCTTTTGCCTTTCTTTCTCCAGCTTCAGCTAGCCAGTCCTGTGCAGCAGTAAATGAAGGGGACCACCAAGATGTAATTCCCTAGGAATCTTGTGCACACTCTCACCAAGGACAGGGTGCTCAGCTAGCTAGCTGTGATGCTGTCTGCATCCCAAGAATGCAGATTGGGAAGTTCCAAGAGATGCTTCTTCTGTGAGTTCCCCCTGACTAAGAAGGAACTGGGACTGTTGTCAGCGTCATTTCTGTAAATCATGCATCTTGATTGGTGCTGGGATATAGAACAGCAACCTGGGCCTTGGTTAAACTGAGCCTGACAGACTGAAGTTCTGTCGAACTCCAAAGCATGTGCACTATTATTTTGTACCCCTTTTCTGTGGGTAAGAGACTTCAGGCATGTTTAAAGGATGAAAACTCTAAATTAGATTGCATGGTGCTGAGCTTCTCAAAGTGTGGCAAAGGGCCTCTTTGGGGCAGATCCCAAAGCATGAGAAGTAAGACTCTGGGATTGATTTACTACTGCTGAAAGATAAGCTGCAGCTAATTGGGGTGGGGAGGTGTTTCCTCCTGCCCCTATGAGATCCCAAAAGGAACTTTGACAAATAGCAGCCTGAGGAATGAATGAGCTCTTGGGTCCCTGACAGAACCTGCCTTCATGAAGCAGCTGTCCAGTGCTGAGCTCAGTGGAAGAGAGTGTGGCACTGAAGCTAGGCAAGAAGGTGAGGACTGAAGGGAAGAGAGGAGTATTCCTGTTAACTCCTAATCTGGAGAAGCATTGAGAAACCCTTAAACAGCTTGGAAGCGTGTGTAGTGTAACAGCAGCCTGCTCAGAGAAGAATGGGGCCTCATTTCTCCTGTGTTGCTGGTGGTCAGGGACTCAGAGGTCGGTATGACCAACACCAGAGGGTCAGCCTTTTAAGAGCTCCTAGCCCCTGACCTCAAAGAGATGTCATTGCTCTGCATAGTTCTGAGGGCCAGTGTGTGATGCAGCTGACAATGGAGATGGTCAAGCTCGTGAAAGCTGACAGATGAATTCACAAGCCACTTGCCCATCTAGCTGCATCTAGGTTGCAAATTTAAGTCATTTGTGCTGTCCCCTCAGCTCAAAAGAGGGGAGGAAAAAGAAGCTGCTCTCATCCAGTCTGCAAGAAATGTCTAGTCACTTGGAGACCATGATTCTTGCAGGAGGCAAATGGCCATTTACACAATTGGTTTACATGGCAATATGTTTGCCTATCTTGTAAGATTCTACAGAGCTTTTATTGTCAGTAGCAGTTATGAGACTTCCAGAGATGAGACAGAAGGATCTGGTGGAGGCCCCTCTGCTAGTTCCAAAGTGTGGTTGACCTACATGGGGACTGCCTGTTGCCTTCCACAGGCTTTGGAGGTTGTTACCACCGTGCCCCAGGGCAATATAGGGAGAAACCGTTTTGGCCAGTGCACCATGTGTTTCATATTCTGAGCCAATTGTGTTGAAAGGGATGCTATAAAGAGTGAACCACTTTGTGGATGGGATGGAGGTGTTATTTTTTTCCTTCTGCTGGGTAGCAAGGAAGGAAGAGAATTATGATCAAGGATCTTGGTTCACTGCCCAGCAAAAAATTAAAACTGATTTTAGAGATCAATCCACCTCAGCAAACTGTTTTCTTGGAATATATTGTGCATATCACTGAGGCTCGGAAACTTAATCCTTATAATTGGAAGGGAATGAAAGTCCAAAACACTTCATATATCTTATCTGAGAGAGGCATACAATAACCATGTAAGGAAGTTTTTTTATTTTTTGTCTGTTTAAACACTTTTTTGTTTAGTGCTAGCAGATTGGAGTGGGTGGTTTGAGCATGAAGGGCAAACCTTGCTTGGGCAGGAACAGTTCACGACTAAAAGCTGAGATTTAGAGGAAGAAGAGTTAGTGGGCACAGTTTAATCTGTGGGGCTGTGAACTGAGACATGTTTCTTCCAATAAGGAGCAGCTTTTTGTACTTTCACAACATTTATCTGGCAGCTCTTTTAGTATCTCCAAAAGCCATGCAGATTGAGGTGTTAGTAATATGGTGATATATTTAAAATTTGCTTGGATAAGCTCTTTAATCAACAACTTATTTAAATTGGCATATGGCTTTCAGAAATATCGCTCTGGGTTTATTTATATCAATATATTCAGCTGCACCTCTGCCTTCAGCCCAAGAAGTTAACTGTGCTGCCTATCCTAACTACCCTGAATTTCAGGGAGAAGGGAATAAGTAATGCATCTTTGGCTATTAGGAAGCTCTAGCAACTTGGTACCAGGCCTAAGACAGGGAATGCAGTGAGTGAGAAGCATCTCTTGCTCAGAGTGTCAGAAGCCCTTATCTCCTTCTTGCCTGACCCTTCAGCTGATGTTGCCTTCAGCTTTTGAAAGCATATTATGCCAGACTGGAAACTTGCTCTTCAACTCAGGATAGCTGGAATTTTTTGGTTTCAAGGTATATAAGTGGCCAGCAGAATGTTGGAATTTGTGAGCCAGTGCCCTGGACTAAAGGATGTAGTTTCCTGGTAGAGGAGTGGGTGTTGTTCCAGCTCTCATTTTTGTATCTTACAAGGCCATTCTGGTGCAGGATTTGATCTCTAGGCTTCCTTGCCCAGGTATCTGCTGGAGAATCACTGGTACAAGCAGTGGAAGGCCTATGTGGAATCTGGAGACCAGAATTCAAGCGCTTTCCCTGGACGGATCAACAATGCTGAGCTCTTTGAAGGTACAGCTTCCTTTGCCCTAATGAGTTGCCTTGCGATTTCCCCCTTATCTTTTGAATAAGTCTCATAGCTGATTAATATATGAGAACTAGATTAACATTTATTTCTCTGTTTTTAATCATATCCTTCCTCCAAGGAGTTCAGGGTGGCATAGATGTGTTCTAACAATTCTGTAAGGTACTAGAAGATAGTGACAATTCACGGTTGCCCTTCAATCCCCCCACCCCGCCCCAGTCCTTGCCTGACTGGCAGTTTTAACAATTGCACCTTCCTGGGGCCTTAACTTCATTGCTGTCTCTTGGAAGTGGGTGTGTGTCAGAAGTTGGGAAGCTGCTCTCCTGTCCTGCAGCAGGGAGTTCTGGACCTTGGCTCCTGTCTCCTGCTGAAACTGCTTGGACAGCCCTTACTGTACAGCTGTCTTCCCCAGAAAGGCATCCCCCAAATTGGACTTGTAGTTGAAAGCATCTGGAGAGGACCAGGCTAGCCAAGGCTACTGTAGAGCTTCTGGTCATTCTGGAAGGGGGTAACTGTCCTCCTTGATTTCAAATTCTTTCTTTCTTTCCCTCCCCCCTCTCCAGATTTGAAGTCCTACCGGTTGAAGGACCAGCTGGTGGAGCAGGAGGAATATGTTCTGGTGCCTGAGGAGGTGTGGGACAAGCTGGTGAGCTGGTATGGCATTGAGCATGGCCAGCCAGCCATTGAACGCAAGGTGAGTTGCTTGCTGCTTTGAGGCGCCGGGTTCCCCTGGAGCCTTGCAATTGCAGCACAGCCCATTGCAATGAGGAGATGGAGCAGGGGGGCTGGAGGTGGACCCTTGCACAGACCTGTGCCTACACTCGCTGTTACACTGACAGCTGTGATGAGTAGACCTGGCAGTGGGGGTGGGGGGGGGAGAGGGAGGGAGGAAGGACTGAATGGATGTCAGAGGGTAGGCAAGAAAGAGACATTTTCCTCTCCTACCCCTCCCCCCTCAAACACTATATGTACAATACCTGTGTGAAATTCTATACCTATGTAGAATAACCCGTTTCCACCAGGCATTTGCCCTCTGGCAATGCTTCCCTCAAGTGGATGTCCTTCAGAAGTGTTTGGACTAGAGTCCCCATCATCTCGGCATGCAGTTTGGGAATGCTAGGGGTTACAGTACAACAGGCACCAGGTTAGGAAAGGCTTGTCTGGATGCTGACCCCCCATGCCAAGTTTCTCCATCTCCCTTTCGAATGGGATATTGTTTCCTGTTTACATCTCATATCTCTATCCCCCCATTTTTCCTGCAAGGAACTCAAGGCTATTTACAGTCCTCTTCTCCCTTTTATCCTCACAACAGCCTTGTAAGGTAGATTAGGTGGAGAATCAGTGGGTGGCCTGAAGCCGAGTCTAGCTCCCTAGCCATTGCACCACAGCGGCTCTCTCATGATTCGCAGGTTGTGGAGCTTCCGAGCATGCAAAAGGTGGAGGTGTACTTGGTGGAGCTGCTGCTCTGCCAGCACAATGACATGGACAGCCCTGTGGTCGCCCAGTTCAGCCGTATGGACCTGATCGGTAAGAGGCCAGATGCCTGAGTGGAGGCGGAAATGGAACCCCTGTGGCAGTGGCCATTCCCGCTGAGGAAGGACTCCTCCTCTGCTCTTGTGTCTCCCCACCACCCCACAGACACGGTGCTGAAGGAAGCACGGCGCCAGTTTTCTGTCCCAGCAGAAGACGAGACAAGGCTCTGGGTGAAAAATGCTGATGGCTCCTGCGAAAGGCTGCGGAACTTGCAGATGACGGTGCTGGATGCTTGCCTCAGTTCAGGGCAGGTAACGCGACTGCAGCCAGGCTCAGGGCTGCTGCGTACAGGGGAGGTGCCCGGATCAAGCACCAGCCTCTCCTGCAGAAAGCTACACCTTGCAAGCACGAGGTGCCCATCCTCCTCAGCCAATGTGGTGGGGGTTGTGTGGCAAGAAGAAGGCACCAGGCTGGGCAAGGCAGACCTGAAGGATTTCTGTCAGTGAGGCTGAAAAAGATCTCGGAGATATGCTGCCCACCCAGTTGAGGTCCTCAGAGCTGATAGGCTGGCTTGAGCTAGGTGGGCTGGCCAAAAAACATACTTTTTAACTCAGTCTCACCCAACTTGCCTGCTCCATTTAGAAACTAGTGCTGAGCATTTACAACATACTTGCCATAGCCAGAAGAAAGGACAGGGCTAGCGTTGCATAAGTTTATAGAGGACTGAATGCAATGCAAAACTGAGGCCTCAAACTTAGTTTTGAATGCTAGATAAAGTTTCAAATCATTTGCCATGGTGGGAGAGGGTTCCTCCTTGCATGTCCAGAGGGTCTTTCCCTCTTCACTGAATAACCTTTTATGCAACCTTTGTGCAACCTTTTCCCCTTGTACAACTGGAATTAAGGAGAGGCCTCCCTAGTTGAAAATCTGGCTTCCAGGCCTCATGTACTTCTTCCTCACCTTGCACACTTGAGCATTCTTCCAGATGTTTTCTTTTGTACCAAAAAAGAGTCTGCCATGTAGTAACTGAACTGTAGTGGGAAAAGTTATATGTAGTCACACCTGGCAATTGCTGAAGGGTTTATTTTGTCATAATGAACCTGTGCTTCTGAGAGTGCAGCAGCTTATTTTATGCCACCCGCTGAGTCAGTAACTTAAAAGTGTACATTACTCGATGGATGCCTAAGATCAGAAAGTGTGTCTGCTGGAAACAGATATGCTGTATTTTTTGCAGTGCATCAGATGCTACTTCTGAATGTATCATGCAGAGTGCTTCAGCTAATGGGCAGTGTAGAAATGCAATAATTACATAAAAATCAATACGATGCTGTAATGGTTGGGATTTTTGTAAAAAACAAAAACAAAACAAAGTGCTATACAGTAGTATTCTCCTCAGGGGGCGTAATTGTGTTGCCCTTCTGAATACTTGTTTTGTACAGAAACCTGCACATCAAATCAAACTGAAATGACAGGACAAAAAATACAGCACAGCAGTGGATGAGAAAGGGAGAGAAGATGCACAAGGGCAGAGGGAGGAGAGCAAGTGTGTTCGGGAGAAGGAGACTCTCTTGGACACAGGCAACGACTCTTCCCCTCTGGGGTGCCCGTGCCAGCCTTTTTGCCCAGGTCTCTGTGCTACCCCAAGAATCACCTGCTTCCCTCTCCCTCGACTGCCTCCCTCCCTCTCCCACAGAGCACATACGAATGATTAGTGGGACAGCACTGAGTGTGCAGGTCTGACTTTGCACCAGTACAGTTGGAGAAAAGGGAAAGGAGGGAGAGAGTACTTTCGAGAAGGAGAAAAAATGGATTGCTTTCAGATAGACACCTGCAGAAGACTATCAACCCCAGTTTCACTGCTTTCTTGTAAAGCACATCAATGCTGGTTAATCAGTTCCAAAGGAAGTGGAATTATCACCACTTGGCACTTCGATTTGGTTGATTACTTTATTTCCTACCATTTTTGGGTGGAAGACTGGGAACAGCTGTGGGTGATTTGCCTGCTGCCCTCTAGTTAATTCAGCCCTGTTCTTTCCTTTCTTTTTCTTTTGTCCCTCTTGCCCTGCCCCTGTTTGCACATCCTGCTAGGTGGTGATAATGGAGACACGGAGTAAAGATGGCACTTGGCCCAGTTCTAGACCACTTATCATGTGAGTATTTAACTCTTGACATTCATGCAGTGTCAAAGGAACATATGCAGGCTCTGCATTGCGACTGGTTCTCCTGAGTTTCAGAATCAGCATCTCTTCCTTAGAGGCAACTGCAGCTTGGCTATGGAGTGAACCTAAACTATAGCTGCCTGGGGAATGCTGGAAGTTGTAGAGCAGTGCTTTTGGAGGGCTCCCAGCTGGGGAAGGCTGGAAATGGAGGAAGGTTAGGATCTGCTTCCTGTTGTTCCCTTCTTCAGCAGATAGCTGTTTCACCAGCCACCATTTTATCCATTTCATCAAAGTTTAAATGGTGTACTTCCATATTTTTTCTTTTTTCTTTGCTGTTATTCTCTTATCTAGCAAGATTTCCCTTTAGTTAATATCGATAGGTATGTACTTCTTGTAAGATACATAAAATGAAGAGATGCGTGTCAGCATTTTGGCACCTGCTTTTCACTGCCTGCCTTTCCTCGCTTTCCTCAGGAAGAACTCAACCGACGAAGAGGAACTCTACCAGGGCCAGCCTGGGGTTTGCGGCCTTACCAACCTGGGCAACACCTGCTTCATGAACTCTGCTTTGCAGGTAGGGGGGGTGGGATTTGGCAGGAAGGGGTGACTGTAAGATGGACACCAAAGCCCCATGGCTGGGGAGAGCAGAACCCTGAGTGGGATGCACATTTTACTAATGTTCTGCCAACATGAGGTGCTGCTGTTGCAGTTAAATGTTTCCCCACAGGTGGGCAGTAGCGGATCAAATCTTGCCACTCACCATTGGAATGATTTAGTACAGATGTTGATAGATCTCCAGCTGCTTGGGATGTCAACTGCTAGAAGCCCCTGCCAGAGTGGTTCTTGTTCAGGATGCTAGGAGTTGAAGGCCCAAACATCTGGAAATCTACTTTATGCCCACCCTGATTTAGAAATCTTAACAGTTTGGGGAGAGCCAGAGGAGGGTTGTTATTTTCTTGTTTCCATTGGAAAGGAGATAGAGACATTGGGTGTGCTGGCACATCATGGCAGCTCACCCTGTGGATAAACGATGCAGAGTGGGGGCTGCATGAAACTATCCACAGTGCACCCGACAGGCAACTAGGCTAGTGTGGGTGTCTCACCACCCCTTTCCCCAGAGTCCTCCTCAGAAATCCTAGGGCAAGACCTTCCTCGTCTGCCTCCTTGCCAGGACGGCAAGCCACTTTGTGCTCACCATGGCATCTTTGTGCCCTTTGCCCATTCTTTTTTCAGAAATTATTTGAACAACCTCTTCAAAGTGCCCAAGCAGTGCATTGGAAGGATTGTCATGAGTTTGTCATCCCAATAAAAAAAACCCAGCTCCAAATATGTGCCTTTATTTTATTTGGAATGTATTCATCTATTTATTACTATACTGCTCCACAGCCAAAGTTCTCTGGGTGCACTTAAGTATAAATGGGGAGTCTTGCCTGGGCAATGTCTAGTGAGGTGTCTGCATTCAGAGTGCAGCAAGACACCTCATGAGCATGACCAGAGAGGCTCCCAAGAGCTTTATTTTTCATGTTGGTTTGTCTTGATAGCTGTCAAAGGGCAAACTGTCAAGAGATACCAAAGTCAGGAGGCTGCTGACTTGCATGCTCTTGCCTGGGTGCAAGGCTCTTTGGATACAATGGCTCTGACTTCTGAGGAAACATACATAGATTTGCAAAATAAAAATGTAGGATTCACAGAATGGGAAGAGGGCAGAGGAAACAACTGAAGTGATAAGCCCTGCTTTGTTGGAGGAGGAGTGCACCCATACCTTTGTGGCCATACAGTGAGTACTGAGTGGCTACTCATGAGCATAGGCAGGATACTGGACTGTGGGGGGATCTGGGCCACCAGGCACACCTACAGCGAAGCAGCCTCTGACTTCGGTACAGTCACACTTGGCACTCAGATGCGCACTGCCGGGGCAGGGCTGAGAGCACAGCCATGCTCTTCCTTTGGCCTGGTGCGGAAGCAAGGGGGTGCTGGCATTATGGATGTTTTGGGGGTTGAGCTGGGGAGCTGCTCAGCTCTCAAGCTGCACACATTAAATCAAGGTACTCATCCCTCTCAGGAATGAGTGAAGGACGAGTTGGATCAGGTGATGTATTGAAGAACTCCATAAAGGAGGCTTCCATCCTGGCTGGGTGCATCCCTGAATCTTTAACCAAAGCCAAGTCTTCCTGCTGTAATGAGTAACATTCTGCAATCTATGTTACAGGCCTCCCTATACCTGCTTCAGTCTGATTTGGTTGTATGAGGATGGAAGGGAGCATTTAAGCTTTGCATGCTCCTTGCAGAAATCTTGCTTAAACCATAGTGACCACTCCCCAGCTTCTGAGATTTCACTGCATACTTGGAAGCCAGTATTCACAACATTAAAAGCTAGCAGTTGCTTCTTCAAAAAAAAAAAGCAAGGTTCTCAGGATGCCAAATAAGTGTTTTTGCTCACTCACAGTTCCACTCCACAATGGTTGGGCTCATCCCACTGCGGAACAAATTTTATTTATTTATTTAGAAAGCTGCTATGCCCCCCCATTTGTTGAAGCCTCGGGGCAGCTTACAACAATAAATAAATAATAACAATATAAAACAATATAATATAATTGGAGATGTCCTGGCCATAAAAATAAAATAAATAAATAATGTTAACAATTAAAATGGCATTTGAATAAAAAGGTCTTTGCCTGGTGTCGAAAAACAAATAATGACGGTGCCAGGCGGACCTCTCTGGGGAGCGCATTCCATAGATTAGGCGCCACCGCAGAGAAAGCCCTCCTCCGAATACATACCCTCCTAATATCCTTCATGGAATGTTCCTGGAGAAGGGCCTCTCCTGCTGATCTCAAGGGGCAGGCGGGCACATATGGACGTAAGCGCTCCTTTAGGTAACCAGGACCCAAGCTGTTAAGGGCTTTATAGGTCATAACCAACACCTTGAATTGGGCCCGGACTTCAATGGGGAGCCAGTGAAGCTGATGGAGAACTGGAGTCATGTGAACAATTGAACCAATTTTTTTGAACCAATTAAAGTATCCGGACCGTCTTCAAGGGCAGCCCCACACAGAGCGTGTTACAGAAGTCAAGTCGGGAAGTCACCAACATGTGTGTCACTGTCACCAGGCAGTCGTTCTCCAGGTAGGGACGCAGCTGATGGATCAGCTGAAGCTGAAGGAAAGCGCTCCTTGCCACCACTGTCACCTGATCTTCCAATGAAAGCTCTGGGTCGAGGAGCACTCCCAAGCTGCGGACCTTGTCCCTAAGAGGGAGTGCAACCCCATTCAGGACTAGGTCAAGGTCCCCTACTACTCAAATGCTCCTACTGAGTGTGGCCTATTCTCTCCTTCAGTGTCTCAGCAATGTGCCCCCCCTTACCGAATACTTCCTCAACAATTGCTACCTGGACGAGCTCAACTTCAGCAATCCGCTGGGCATGAAGGGCGAAATTGCAGAGGCCTATGCAGACCTCATCAAGCAGCAGTGGTCTGGCCACCACCACTCCATCGTGCCCCGCATGTTCAAGGTAAGCTGCACATCTCTTGCTGTTTCTGTTTCCCTTGGCTTTTTCCTTGGGGCAAGAGACCACTGTCCTGCATTCCTCCTCCTGCAGACCAAAGTGGGCCACTTTGCCTCTCAGTTCCTTGGCTACCAGCAGCATGACTCTCAGGAGCTGCTCTCCTTCCTGCTGGACGGGTTGCACGAAGACCTCAACCGTGTCAAGAAGAAAGAGTACATTGAGCTAAAGGATGCGGCTGGGAGGCCAGATGAGGTGAGCAGAGCATGCCTGTGTGTGTGGGAGAGGGAAATTCTCTAGCTCTCCCCACAACTGCAATGTTTGGGTGTCACAACTCCAATGTTTGGGTTTGAGAGAGAGAGAGAGAGAGAATGAGAGAGAGGAATATTGGTAGTTTGAAAGACTGCAGACACAAGTAGGTGGTGATAAGAGCACTGCCCTTTGAAAGAGCTGACAGAAGGGTCTACACTTTCAAGAAAATGGAGTGGGGGCAGTTTCCATGCTAAACATTGAATTTCCTCATTGGGCCAGCTCCTGCTTGTGGTTAGTTTGATTTTGGGACTTGTGGGCAGCAGAGTGTGCTGTGCAAGATGGAGAGAGGACTGTCCCTTCAACTTGTCCTTTTCCCTCCAGGAAGTAGCGAATGAGGCATGGCACAACCACAAACGCCGCAACAACTCCATCATTGTTGACATCTTCCACGGACTCTTCAAGTCCACGCTGGTGTGCCCCGAGTGTGGCAAGGTTTCTGTGACCTTTGACCCTTTCTGCTACCTCAGTGCCCCTCTGCCCATCAGCAAGGAGCGGGTGATGGAAGTTTTCTTTGTGTCCATGGACCCCTGCAAGAAGCCCAAACAGGTATCAGCAAGCCCTTCTGGCAGGGCTGTCTGGTTGACCGGAAGGGCAGGGGTCTATCTAAACTGGGACTGACTGCAGGGAAGCATGATAAAGTATCTCTTCTGTGTGCTGGATGCCCCAGGTTTAACCACTAGCATTCCTGGGAATGATGGGGAAAAGCCATGGGTAAAACCCCATTCCCATCAGGCATGTCCCTGTGCTTTTCTTAGCTGCTGTGCGTGCAAGCGGAGAATACCAAGGTGCTCAGCCAAGGAGGTGGCAGATACAGACAGTATCTGGCTGTAGCCTGCAATGTTGGCTCCTCCACTGGGCATGGATTCCATCTTCTAGAAATCTGGGTTGGGTTGGCGTTTGGATTTTGTTGCAAGGACAGAGTGCTAGCAATTTCAGCCTCCCCCTCCCACTAACAGCCATTTCTATTCACAGCACAGACTGATTGTCCCAAAAGCTGGAAAGGTGCTGGATCTCTGCCATACCCTGTCCAAGCACACTGATGTTCCCGCTGAGCGGGTGAGTTTTGGGGGCATGGGTGCTGCTCTGCTCCCACAGAGTGTGGGAGTGTCTTCCATTCTTCCCTCTGTGCCAACTCCCTCTATACATATGTGTCTCTCTCTTCCAGATGATGGTGGCTGATGTGTTCAGCCACCGCTTCTACAAGATCTACCAGATGGATGAATCCCTCAGTTGCATCTTGGATCGGGATGACATCTTTGTGTGAGTATGGAGACTGGAGTAGCAGGGCAGAACAGAGGGCCAGTGAGCCAAACCTGGCTGTCCTGGGGTCTTGATCTGACCCTGCATGACTTCCCCAGAAGGCCATGGTCCGTTCCCCGCCACTACTTGATTTCCTGTTTTTTGCAGTTTTCCCTCCATTCTAGAAGAGGGAACAATTCTGCTTAATTACAGGCAGCTAAGAGCTTAAGTATGCTGCTATTTTGTCCCTGCCTCTTTTCCCTTCAGTCCCACTCACCATGGAGAGCTTTTCTGATACAGTATTGGCTGGCAAGCTACAAGAAGTTCAGCATTCCTCAGGCAGAGGACTGAGTCCTCTGGGAAGGACAGGAGAAGGACCTGGAGAATGATCCTGTGGGAGCCTTGAATCTTTGGAACCACCTTCCTGATGAAGTTCAGCCCACACTGACAGCAGTCTTTGCAGGGCCGGGCCAGGCCATCTTTATTCAGCCAGACCTTTTTGTTTCCATTGCTTCTGCTTGCAGTATTCTCCTACCACCTGCCTCTTAGTCTCATCTAGCTGGTCATTACTGTAGTTTTTATGCTTTTGGATTTGTAAGGCCAGCACCCACTTGAGTGAAGGAAGTTCTGTTCTAGATGTTTTTCATAAAGACTTGGCTCCCCTTTCCCCTTCACAGCATGTCTCTCCCCCCCCCCTCCAGATATGAGGTATCTGTGTCCACCCTGGAGGACTTGGCCACCGCAGATGCCGTGGTGCTGCCTGTGTACCTCCGGGAGCGCACTCAGGGCCGGGACTACAGTGATACCTACTGTGGGGTGATGCTCTTCGGCCACCCACTCCTGGTGTCCGTGCCTCGGGACCAGCTCTCCTGGGATGCCCTATATCAGCTTCTTCTGTGTCGGCTCTCGTGAGTGACTTGTGTTTCTTTGATCTCCACTCTGGCCTGTTTGCTCTCTTCTTACCTTGCTATGAACACGAAATTTTGTTAGTGTATTTCTCTAGAGCCGGAGCAGAGGACACATGACCCACTGTGCAGTTTGGCATAGAATTCCCATCATCCCTCTCCATCAGCTGTGCTGGCCAAGGCTGGTGGAGTTACAGGCCCCAAATTCTGGGGAGGTACAAGTTGCTCACCCCTACCAAATCCTCCATTTTTCATAAAAAGCCAGGACAGGGTAGGGAACTCAACAGAACAAGGGTGTGGTTCCTGTTAGGCTAGGAAATTCACTGGGTGGGTTTGGGCCAGTTGCTGACTCTCAGCCCAACGTACCTCAGGAAAGGTTTGTGAGGATGCAGTGCAGGGAACAAGGGCTAGTGGAGCTGCCTTGGCTTCCTCATGAGGAGAGGAGAAGTGGTGCAATAGAGGAAGAAAGGAGGGATATAAATGCAAGATGAGGATGAGAATGACGACTAACCAATTTAAACAATGAAATGGCTCATTCTGCTCAGGCCTGCTCCAGATGGTCACAATGGGTTACCTTGCTTCTCTTCTCCCAGCAAACGTGTGAATTAGGTTATGCCAGCAGTCTTGAGCCATCCCAGGCCCGGGATCAGAACCACCTTTTTAGCCCAGACATTGATTTGGGGAGCCACTGGTGCAGCCCCACTTCACTCATGGTGAGATCTAGTAGTGGTTCCTCACCCCCCCCCCACACACACACCAGTTGAAGATCAGTGGGCTTGGCTGAGGGCTGCTTCACATATGGAGGCACATGCCTGCTCGTGTGCACCAGCCTGGAGTGATTTGGGCACAGGCACAGAGGCAAGCACTCCTGGTTGAGCAGAGATGTGCACAGGGACCTTCCAAATCAAATCCTCACCCATGGCAAGACATGGCTCCTTCTGCTCCACAGATTTGAGGTGAAAACTTCTCTGACTCCTTGAGTGCATACAGCGACCACTTCCAGCCTGGCACGTGGCACATGTTGGATTGTAAACCCCATCAGCCGTGGCCAGTGGTCAAGATGTCTGGAGGGCACCCAGTTGGGATAGGCTTTCTAGGCAAAGTGAGGGGCTTCCTCCACTGCCACAGTGACTCTCCTTCCTGTCTTTTCCCATTGCACTCGCACATTCAGAACATCCACTGCTTGCCTTTTGGTTCAGCCCTGCTCCAATTTGCACCCCTTGGGTTCTGCACCTTCAACCCATCTCTTCCTTGAACTGCCTCTGTGATGCCTTGGCTGCACCACAAGAGTTAAATTTGCTATTGTTCCAAGATCTGCATTTCTGCTTATAAGAAGTAATGGAAATTCAGGATTTTGGGGATGGCGCAGGGAGTTCTAGTTTGGGTTAGATGCCTGTTTTCAGGCAGGTCAAATTCCAGGAGGTGAATGGGATATCTTGGCCTCCAGTCAGCAAGGAGTGGGAGAGGAGAGCAGCATTTTTTGTTAGGGGGACTGCCTCTGAGCTGGCTATGGGACTGAGTGCTGTGCGGCCCTCCTGGTTAGACCAGAGGCAGAGTCTCCCTTGCTCAGACAAGTGCCCCCTGCTTGCTTTCTTAGCTAGCCCAGCAGCCTCCAGATCACCCTGGGGCTGGCAAAGGGTCAAGTGCAGAAACCAGAGAAACATACTTCTAAAGGGTGATTCCCCCATTTAAATATACCCAAGGATGTTCCACACAGGCCTAACAACCTGTGGAGGTGAACAGAACCTGAATCAAAAACCTGGCCACATCTCCTTTTACATTTTTTTCTCAGCTACATTTTGAAATGTCCCCCTCTCTACTCCAGGCCACCCAACAGAGAGAGTCACAAGGACTAGATCTGTCTTGTCAATTGCAACTCTCTTTCATTGCTTCACTGCCTCAAGGGAGCTTGCTGTGACAGGTGCTTCTCTGCTGCCACTTTGGACTAAAGATGCCGTCTCCCTTTCTCTCTCCTGCAGCCGCTACGTGAAGCAACCAGACTCTGAGGAAGAGGAGGATCAGAGTGGGGAGGAGGAGGACAAGGAGGACGAGGAAGATGAGGACGAGGACCTCTACAATAAGAGACCCAATGGGCTGAGTGAGGGTGAGCACACAAGAAGACCCCTCCTGAATCAGCCCACAGATTCTGGAATGTCTAGTTTGGCATTCTGTTCACAAGGTGGCCAGCTGCTGCCTTTAAGCATAAGATGGCTGAGAAGGCAGAGTGTCTGGTTGGTGTGATAAGAAGGTCTCTCTTGTTTCTGTCTGTCTTCTTCCCCCACAATATGTAGGAAAGGAGGAGGAGGAGGAGGAGGAGGAAACAGCAGTGGAAGGCTCCACCAGCCAGGAGCCCAGCTTGGAGACAGAGGAAAATCCCTCAGACTCATTGAGGAGGGAGGACATGGCTGGTGTGGCAGGGAGGCACAGCCCCAACCCATCTCCCCACCAGTCAGTGCAGTCCCCTCAGACTCCTTCTTCTAGCCCCAGCCCCCCCACAGCCAACCAGGCCAAACGCAAGTGCTGTCTGCCACAGAAGCGGCGGAAACTGCTCTTCACCCTCCAGCCCGTCAATTCTAATGGTACCAGTGATCGGTTGGCCGGCCAGGACGAGGGCAGCGCCATCTCCTTCAACTGTGAGTCCCTTCTCTATGGAGCTGTGTGCACTCTTGTCAGAGGCCCTTGTAGAGTGAGAAAGGGGTCAGTGAGCCCCTCCAGGGAAGGAATGGCTGAGGCAGTGCTTGCCCCAGTGCTGGAACAAGGCAAAGCCTGAAATTTCAGGGGTGCTCAAGGCCCCTTCGCTACAGTTCTCAGTGTGAATGTTGTTTTTGAACGGCTGCCAAGCTCAGATGCACAGGTAGGATTCTAACCCATGTTCCCTAAGAAGTAATCCTGCACTCACCTTTCAGATTTATTTTGTTGTTATACTTTGACTTTTTTATCTCTTCCCTCATTCCTCCACTTTTTTCCTTCTTGTAAGTCTCAATTGGCCTGTAAATCAAGGTGGCTTACGAGGTCCTCCCCATTTTATCCCCCAACAATCCTGGCCAAGTGGGGACTAGAACTGAGGCTCCCCATTCCCAGTTGAATGCGCTTAGTCCTAGGCCCTCTCTCAGTGCTCTGGCAACAAATGCCATGTTGCCATGAAGATTTGACCTATTTTGGGCTTCCTTGTGTGAACAAAAAAAGCTGCAATACAAAATCAAGTGTAATGTGTATTCAACTTTATTAAATGAATACTACTTGTGTTTAGGTCTTTGCTGTATCACATGGACTTATGGTGACCCCTCAGTTGTACCCTTAGCATCTCCATCCCCTGTGCTTCTTGCTACATGCCTGGTTCAGAAGTGAGATCCCTGGGTAGGTGGTTAGGAAGCCCCAGAGAAAGCTACCAGCATTGCATCATTGATCTGAAGAGTTTGCTAAGGAAGAGAGACCAGGTGGACAGCTTTTTATTCTGTGTTGCTTCACAACTGGGGATTTAATTGCTATATGCCTTGAGGACTGTTCCCCCACTTCCAGTCATATTTGCTGGCTGAGCCCTCTTCCCTTGCAGTTTTGTGGTTTATGTCATCTAGTGATGCTTGCTGTAGGGCACCTTTGCGTCTGACAACTTGTGCTCATTCACAGGGGCCTGCAGTGTGTGGAGGGCCCCTCTCTTAAGAGTTGTGGCTGTCTTATGGCTCACAAAATGTAGCAGAGAAATGAAATAAATAGAATGGCCAGGTTCAGGCTCTTTCTGGGCCCTGGGATTTTATGAACGACACCCAAACATTCCCAGACACACATACTCTAGCACATTTAAAGGTGTGCAACTTTCAGAGGTTTGGGAGCCATTTGCCCCTAGAATTCCATTATAGGCTACAGTGCACATGTCCCCAAAGGACCAAAGTTATTGCTTTGCCACCAAAATTCTGCAAACAACTGCTTTGTGGTTAACTTGCTTGTTTCCAAAAAAATGCAACCTTCTACTGCTATGGAGCACTGTAGTTAGTGGCTAAAGTGGAATCTGGCCTTTTAGTTGCTATAGAACTGTTAGTGGATGCCTGTTTCTTTCATTTTCAGGGGCACACACATTTAGTGGGCTGGCAGGGCCGCATTTTGCCCACTCCTGCTTTTAAGGATTGAGCCCTTTAATCTCTTGGGATACATGGAAAGGAAGGCAATTACCACCTGCCCCCTTGGGATACACAATGAAGGGTATGCCACATCAGAGACACCTCCAGTTTCTCTGGCACCCAACTGTGCCCACTGTGCTCAACACAGCACACACACCACTCTTGTAGCAGCTTGGCAGCCCTGTATCTTTCATCCCTGTTTCTTCTACTTTGCACAGCCCAGCCATACATTGCCATGGATTGGGACTCCGAAATGAAGAAGCTGTACTACAACGAGGCAGAGGCTGAGGTGGGTCGTGTGTGAGAGGCTTTTCCAGCTCCCTGGCTCTCTGTTCTTCTCTCTCATCCCTCTCTCCTTTCTGGCTTGGGTGAGCTGACACTCCTCCGTCTGCCTGCTCCCTCCTCAGAGCTACGTCAAACATGACTGCATGGGCTATATGCCAAAGAAGAACCCAGTCCGGCTGCAGGAGTGCATCGAGCTGTTCACCACTGTGGAGACCCTGGAGGAGGAGAACCCCTGGTGAGAACTCTGAGGGCTGGGCCTCTTTCCACAGGCCTCCTCAAAGAGAAGGGAGTGCTGGGAAGGACACCTCGCTCTCAGCTTCCACTATTGCAGCAAAGAGTGTCTTTGCCTGGCAGAACCATCAAGCAGATGGCAGGAGTTGGCCATACTCACAACTAACCTGGCAGAGCCAAACTGCACTACAGCTGGGACCATTGGCTGAAGCCTGGCTGGAACCTTTTTCTTTTTCATCTGCATTATGTGGAGGATTGTGTGTGGCATGATCCTATGTGCTTGCCTGCATGTTAGGAGGTTGCAGGAGCAAAGCCGCCCCCCAGGTCTTTACTTAGGTTCTTACATGTGCAATGTGCTTCCATTCATGAGAGGTATATGTGGCAGCCTTCTAGTTGTTGGCTGAATTGAGGTGCCAGACTTTTCAGTGGGCAGAGGAAGCAGGGGATGAACTCAAGTGTGTTTGTGCTGGCCCAGAGTCAAGATGTCAACCCACAGAAGCATATTATGTGGTGATTGTCAGTTCTCAGAATTGCTCCATCTGGCAGAACACTGAGTCCTTATCTCCTTTTCCCCCTTCCAACACCCTAGTTCCTGCCCTAAGGTATCTGGCTTAGAATTCTTCCTGAATGTTCAAGATGGGTTGACTGCTAGTTCTCATGGAGGATGAGGCATCTTCTGCATGTCAAGCTCACATCTAGTTCTTCTTGTCCAGGTATTGCCCCACCTGCAAAAAGCACCAGCTGGCCACCAAGAAGCTGGACTTGTGGTCCCTGCCAGAGATCCTGATTATTCACCTCAAGCGCTTCTCTTATACCAAGATCTCCCGGGAGAAACTTGACACCCTTGTGGAGTTCCCTATCCAGTAAGCCAGTTGATGAAAAGGAAGGGGTGAAGAGAAGGTAGATCTCGAGGTGTCTGGGACTTCATCTGCCAGAAGTCTTGACCAGCTTAGCCACTGGTCAAAAATATTGGAAGTTGAACTCCAAAATATTGGAAGATTTACTCCTGGAGAGGAGTGAGGAGGGAAGATGACATGGAGGATGGCTTGTGCAACCTTCTGCAGCAGAGGATTTCTGTGATGAGGGCATCCCTGTGCTAGTTAAACATGCAGAATCCCAGAAACCAAAAATTGATCCAAGGGCTTTGTCCTTCACTTTCCTGGAAATGTGCTTTAATGCAGCTCTACACATGACCTGTGTGGTGCCTGCTCGGTTCTCATGGCCAGGCCTGCATCCCCTGCCAAGCTCCTTCCTCTGGCTGGAACATCTGGCTGATCTCCCGGTTCCTCATACCGCCGATGATTTTTCAGAAGGCATATGAGCCATGGGACACTCAAGGCAGTGGTGCTTGGCCATGGGTGGCCCACACTGCTGCTCATGTCTGCAGAGATAGCTGTTAAAATGAAGCCCTCTGGAAAGGGATTGCAGAGTATGTTCTAGTAGTGAAGGTCCTAACATGTATAAGCAGGAGGCAGCTGGCCTACCTTACATACTAGCCGGAAGGATTACTGGGAGAAGGTACATGAAATACCACAGGGAAGTTAGCTTAACACCCAAACATTAGTCTTATAACTGGAGATGCACATAAAAGCGATGGCAGTCTCTGTTGCAAGCATATTGGTTCCACCCAAGAACTATGGAAAGCATGACTGGAGGACCCCACTCCCAATCTGCTTAAAAGACTGCCTAGAAGAACTCCTGTCTTTTGTACTCTCTTTCCCATAGGGACCTCGATTTCTCTGAGTTTATCATCAAGCCACGGAAAGACACTGATCCTGCACTGTACAAATATGACCTCATTGCTGTGTCCAACCACTATGGCAGCCTCCGAGATGGCCACTGTATGTATGGTTTTGGGACTGAAGGAGGTGGTAGGGCTGGGGAACAGTGATAAAAGGCAGAATTGGAGCAGCTGTACGTTTTGAGGAAATGGTGTATGTTTGGGTTGTGGGCCTTTGGTGCAAATCAGTGCAGCAAAGGCCAGTGTGGTGTAGTGGTTAAGAGCATGGGACTGGGACTCAGACGATCTGGATTCTAGTCCCTGCTCAGCCATGGAGCCAACTGGGTGACTTTGGGCCAGTCACAGACTCTCAGCCCAACCTATCTCACAGTGTTGTTGTTGTGGGGATAAGATGGAGGAGATGTAAGCTGCCTTGAGCCCTTTGTAGGAAAAAGGCAGGATATAAATTGAAAAATCAATCAATCAGGAATTTGCTGTCCAGGTCTAACCCTTGTCAGACTGAAGAAATTATGCAAATTGTTATTTTGCTTATTTATTGATAAAGTTTATAATGATGTTCCTCAGTTTAAAAACAACAATAATCCCCCAGGGATGATTCACTAAAATGGCAAAAAAATTAAACCCAATATTAAAACCCCAGAAACCTGCAAATAATTCTGGAATCTATAAATATTGGAATCTATAAAATCTATCTATAAAAAAATTAATGGTGACATGCTGGGAGGCCTGCATACATTATGTGCCAAAACTAAAACAGCAACATCCACAAGAATGTTCATCCAGTGTGGCTCATCTTTGGTATCACTGAACCATGGCTTGTTGCAACATGTGATTATAGCCCTTACAAGGGGCTATGGGATGGCTGCTGCCACTTGCTTAGACTTGAAGCTAAGAGGAGCAATGATAATAAGCTCCTCCCTGAAGCACCCATGAGAACAGTCCAGGAATAAAATAATTTATGGTGCAATTCTGTGCATGTTTAGATAGAAACAAGTCCTGCAATTCCCAGCATTCCCCTGCCAGCAAAAGGAGTTGCAGAATGTTTGTCTAATAAGGCATAGTATTGCAGCTTTAGCATGGAATGTACTGATCTTAAAGAAGGGGATGTGCAAACAAATACTGGCTGTTGGTGGGCAGGGCTGGCTAAGAGCTGGAGTCTTTCAGGAGCAGAATCATTCTGCCCAGTGCAAATCTGTTTCCCATCTATTGGAAGGCCTCCCTTATACCCTTATTTATTTCACAGCCTTTCTTTAGCAGATGCTGTCTTTATTTAAAAAAACTTGTAAAAAATTGGTATCCATATAGGCATGAAGTTGGACTACTACTTACATAAGTAGGATGTAAGCACAGTGCTACACAGTTGTGGCCTTCTCATAAACCAACATCCCTTTGCTTGGGTGGTTGTCAGAAGAATGTGAGGTTGTGCGTCAGTGGTCTGATCAGTCTTTGATGCTCTCCAGACACGACTTTTGCCCGGAACAAGGACAGTGGGACATGGTTCTACTTTGACGACAGCAGCGTATCTGCCGTTTCAAAGTCCCAGATTGAGGTGAGTAAAACATGACTAGCATCCCTAGATGGTTCCTTCTTGCTCTTTGCTGGCTGGCATCTTGGGCATGCCAGTGGTCTGCATGCTTTGCTGAAGAGACTGTCAAATCTTGTAGAGCAACTCTGGCCCTTACTGGACCTGTGGGAATCTGAGTCAAGCCTCCAGAGCAGTTAGGCTTTTCATTTACTGGGAATAAGTGGACTTTGGTCATCCTATGTAGCCTGCCTTCTCCTGTGATTTCTGCATGTGAAGCCTTTTAAGGGCTTTCTGGGAGAGTTCCCATTGCACTTGCACATTCAGTCAGCCACTGCCTGCCTTTTGGTTTGACCCTGCTTTAATTTGCAGCCCATTTTAAGTGGGAACAAGGCCTGTCTCCCTTAGACTGTTTCCCTTCACTTGCTGGGCCCCTCAACAGAATATTGTAAGAGGATTAGGAAGCCAAATGTCATGGCATGGCATACAGTATGAGAATCTTGGCCTTCATTTTTTAGCAGTTGGTAACCTTTATGGCTCCAAAGATGTGCCCTAAAGCCAGAATGGACAGAAGCACAAGTTTTCAATGTTACTGGGGCAATGGGGAGAGAAACTTCAGTATCCTTGCTCCTCCCAACAGTAGCCAAACCAGAATAAATTACAGAAGTCTTCTGAAATGTTCCAGTTGAATCATTTATAGGTTGCAGAATTGGGCCTGCCCGGGAACAGTATGTGTGCTTATTTGTGTTTGTTTTGATTGATAGATAGGAGAGAAAACATGAACGTGCTATGCTGGGTGTGGGCTCTTGTTTTCTGACCTTGTGAATCGACTTAACTCTGCTGAGAGCATGATGGCTGCTGTCCTTTTGTGGTGCAGTGACATAGTCCATTTGAAACATCCAGGGAAGGTGGGTGGTTGCTGCCAAAAACCTTCTCAGTTGTCTTCCTAGAGGCAGTAAAAACCCAAAGGCCTAACTCTGCCATTACATCTTTACTAGTCTGAAGGGAGAACTGCTGATGGCCCAGTTCTGAAGTTTCTTGATGGGTTATGGGGTGGGTAGGTTAGTTTTTACTTTCTTGTATTTCAAATTTGCTTAGACTGGTATATATTCCTGGTTATAGTTCTATCAGCCTCCACAAAGGGGACTTACCCAACTCCAAAATATCTTCAATATCAGTATCTTGAAAGAGTATTTGTTTTATGGCTGGGGTAAGAATGGAAATACAGCTCTCTCTAGTAATCACTCTGTCTACTGTACCACATTAATTTTTACTGAAGGTAAAAGGCTCTCAGATCTTCTTGCTTCAGGGGTCCCATGAGAGCGTGGAAGAGAACAGAGGCCCACCTGCCACAAAATGATAGCACAAACATGGAACAAAGCACAATATGGTGGCAGATGGAGGTGGATTTTGGCAGCAGCAGCCAGCCATTGATTTTATTTTAGATTGCTTTTAAGCCCTCCTTGAAGTGACTAAATACATTGCCATGGCTGTTTCTTTGTACCAGGGAGCTCCACAGTTTAGCTTGCCTCAAGACAAGTAGACAGGCTGCAGAAGTGTCATGACTCACCTTCCCCATTTCATGCTGTAATTGCTGATCCATAGGCTATACCTGGAAGATTTTAAAGCATCCCTGTGGTACAGGGTTTTCCTCTCCATACCACCCCTGTTTCCCATAGTATTCTTATTGTACTGTCACTTCTACTCTCTTCCTTTGTCACTTAACTCATAACCCCTCCCGGACATGGCCATATTTATTCTTTCCTTTCTGAAGGTACTGGGTTGTTGCAGCATGGAGGCCCACCTGAGAGTGGACTAAGGCATGCTGGTGGTTCTCTGCCCACAGCTTGAGAAGTACTACTCTGATACAAGTTGGTCTGAGCTTCTTAGCTTAAATAAAGTGACACAAAATATTACTGATACTTCATGTAGATCTGTGCAAACCATGAGAATGTACTTTAGTCTTGACCCAGTCTGGATCTAATGCATGCATTAGACATTTCTTATCCTGACCCATCTTTTCTTGCTCATTTGATAGTTCCATGAGTTTGGGGGGGGGGGGGGGCTCCAGATACAAGTTAGACTCATCATCTGTTTGTGGCTTGCCTTCCTTCTCCTGAACTGGGACTCCCACTGGTCCAGCCTTTCCATATGGGCGGCTAATAGCTCACTTGTCATGTTTGTTTTCTTCCACAGACCAAAGCTGCCTATGTCCTATTCTACCAGCGCCAGGACAAAGTCCGCCATCCTGCTCCTCTTGCTGCATCCACAAGCACAGCTAATAGCAGAGATCAGGAGGACTATGAGGCCCCCTGTGATTCCCTTGCCAGAGAGCAAGCAAGTCGGGACTTCATGGATGTGGACTGACGGTGACCCTGCCTGCCTTTCTCCATTTGCAGCAGGAGAAGGAGGCAGGGCAGAAGAGGCATCTTCCTTTTCTCAGACTGAAGCTGGCAGCTGGATTTGAGCCAGTGGCCATGGCTGCTTTCTCAGGCCTTGGAATAGGGTTGGGCAGGGACATAGGACTGGAGAGATTTCCCCTCTGCCCAAAGTGTAGGGTCCTTTGCTTTGCAGAGCTTTCCTACTCTGAAGGGTTGGTTTGGTTTCTCCTCTTGCACCAGGGCCAGTGTCTTGCACCAGCATTTTATAAGCTGCAAAGGGGTGTGTGTGGAGGGGGGGTCTTCCTTTTTTCCTATCTTAAAAGTGGGGAGTCATTCTCAGGACCAGATCTGCCCTGGTGGGGGACTGGCACAAGCATAGTTCCTGGGAGCCCTGCTGTGTGCTGCCCACCTCCCTGACAGCACCAGCTCCTCCCTTCCCCTTCTAGCATCAGGGTCACTGCCCTTGTTCTGCTGCTCTCAGTGTAAGACCCTTGTCTCTTTATTTGGGAGGGCTTTACAAAAGGTATTCACAACAACTGCAGTTTGCAGCCAACCAAACACTGTTCCCTAAGCCTGTGCATCAGTCACTGGCCCCTCACTTGTCTCCCAAGTGCCTCCCTCTTCTCCCTCTGCCCTCCGCCCCCCAACAAAGCAATAACTGCAGGATCCCACCACAACCATCTGTGCCCCTCATAGGCAATATTGCCTGGAGTCTGAGTGAACACACAGACTCCCTTTCTGGGCTTCCTTCTCCCATAGACTCCTGCTTCTGAAGTTCTTCTCCAGCAAAGGGGCTGGTTTAGCCCTTGGGCTGTATGCTGCTTCTAAGTCTTGCATCAAAGCCTGTTTGGGGAGGGGGTGGGGACTGAGTTCCTTTCTGCTTCTAGAGAGGAGGAACTTCACTGCTGGCTACTGCAAGCTGCTCTGGCAGGCCCCGCCCCCTTAATTGCTGAAGGGTGGCAGGCTGTTACAAGCCCATGCCTTGCCCAAGGCAAATGTTGGAGTTCTTCCTTTCTGCCGCGCTGCCGCTGCTTCCAGGCTCAGGGATTGCGCTAGTGTGTAAATATGTTTTTGCGTGCAATGTGGGAGGGATGGGGGGCACCAGTGGAGGCAGCGTTGGCTAAGCACAGGGCACTTGCTGCCTGCAGAAACACATAGTATATCTTCTTGAGGAAATTGGGAAGAAAATCCCTTCACTTGACCCTTGGGGGTTTTTTTCTTTTAAGGATTTTTTTCACACAGAAGAAAATATTTTTGGCATGTGGTAAAACTTGTACATAAAGCAACTTCTTTTAAATGGCTTGTGGCCTCTTTCTCTTTCCCTCTGAGAAATGCACCTGGCCACCCTCTACAGCAAGGGTGAGGAATTTCCTTCAGCCCAGGGGCCAAATTCAATTCCAGAGATGCTATTGAAGCCAGCATTCAAGTGGTGTGTGGGGCAGAAGAGGGAGGGGGTCAAAATACAAGCATATTCAGTCTAAAGCTCTTATTAGCAGGTAGGGGAAATGGTGCATGGCCACTTTGGGAACTGCGGGGGGCCGTATGAGATTTTTCACCTGTTTTACCCTCATTCCCTTCTTGGAAATGGAAACCAGGACCCTTCAGAATCTTCTTGTTCCACTGCTGTTTGAATGAATAAGAGACTACTAGTGTAGCAGCTTTTCCCCCAAAACCAGGTCATGCCACATCAAATCCATACTTGCTTGTGGGAGGGGACAGACTGAGCACAGAAGAGAATTGGTGGCTTCTCTTGCATACCCTGGAGCCATAATTTTGAGAGTACTCCCCCCACTCAACACTTTAACAAAGGAAGGAATGGCAGGCTGTGTGGGTCATGGCAGACTTTCAGCCCTCCTTGCAGTGGTTTGTTTGCTGCACTGAAGATGATGGGTGGGAAAATCAATGACAGTTGACTCTGACTGCGAGTTATCACACTGTGTGAGTAAATTTGGCTTTGAAGGGACTAGATTTGCTGAAGGGGCACAGTTATGGATATGTGTAGTTGCAATGTACATATTTTGTATGAGACCAACATAGCATGCCTACCTCTGATTCAGCAAAAGCACACTCCCCCTAGAAGCTGGTGTCCTCCTTCAGAAGGCATAGCAGACCTAAAAGACTTGATCTTCTACTTTTGTCCCTCTGCAAAGGAGTGTATTTCCACAAATAATTTTCTATTTCAACTCAGCAAGGATGGTGGTGTGGCTATCAAGCCACAACTGTGTTACAGCCTGAGATAAGGACTTGTAGTGTTGAAGCCGTGAATATTGTTTGAAAAGAGAAAGGTAAGTATGGGGTGGCAGGAGATCTAGATTGAATAGGTCTCTTACAGCAGGATGGAGTTAAACACAAGTTCTTGAGCTTGGAAAAGAAAAAAACTAAAGAAAGTTAGTGAAATTTCTTGCTAGTTTTAATTCCTGTTGGACAGCCACTCCCTCATTTCCTTTCTGAATTAAAAACACATGCTACATTTCAAGTTCCCTTGTCCCTGTTTTCTGTGTGCAGCCAACCTATCTTCTCAGCAGTCTCCTGCCAAGCTTAACAGTGTTCTGCGGTGTTCCTTCAAGGTACTATTTTGTGGCTGTTAGTTGCAAAGTCGTTTCCAACCCATCGTGACCCCATAGACAACATTCCTCCAGACCTTCCTGTCCTCCACCATCCCCCGGAGTCCACTTAAGCTCACACCAACTGCTTCAGTGACTCCATCTAGCCACCTCATCCTCTGCCATCCCCTTCTATTTTTGCCCTCAATTGTTCCCAGCATTAGGCTCTTCTCCAGGGAGTCCTTCCTTCTCATAGGTGGCCAAAGTATTTGAGTTTCATCTTCAGGATCTGGCCTTCTAAAGAGCAGTCAGGGTTGATCTCCTCTAGGACTGACCAGTTTGATCGCCTTGCTGTCCAAGGGACTTGCAGGAGTCTCCTCCAGCACCACAATTCAAAGGCCTCAATCCTTCGGCGCTCAGCCTTCCTCATGGTCCAGCTTTCACAGCCATACATTGCAACTGGGAAAACCATAGCCTTGACTATACGCACTTTTGTCAGCAGGATGATGTCTCTGCTTTGTCGTATGCTGTCTAGATTTGCCATAGCTTTCCTCCCCAGGAGCAAGCGTCTTTTAATTTCTTGGCTGCAGTCCCTGTCTGCAGTGATCTTGGAGCCAAGGAAAATAAAATCTGTCACTACCTTCATTTCTTCCCCATCTATTTGCCAGGAGGTGATAGGAGCAGATGCCATGATCTTAGTTTTCTTGATGTTGAGTTTCAAGCCAACTTTTGCGCTCTCCTCCTTCACCCACATCAAGAGGCTCTTTAGTTCCTCTTCACTTTCTGCCATGAGAGTGGTATCATCTGCATATCTGAGGTTGTTAATATTTCACCCAGCAATCTTAATTCCAACTGGAGATTCAACTAGTCCCACCTTTCTCATGATGTGCTCTGCATATAAGTTAAATAGGCAGGGTGACATTATACAGCCTTGCTGAACTTCTTTCTCAATTTTGAACCATTCAGTGGTTCCGTGTCCAGTTTTCTGTTGCTTCTTGACCTGCATATAGGTTTCTCAAGAGATAAATAAGATGGTCTGGTACTCCCATCTCTTTAAGAACTTGCCACAATTTGTTGTGATCCACACAATCAGGCTTTAGCATAGTCAATGAAGCAGAAGTAGATGTTTTTCTGGAACTCCCTAGCTTTCTCCATGATCCAGCGTATGTTGGCAATTTGATCTCTAGTTCCTCTCCCTCTTCGAAATCCTGCCTGTACTTCTGGTAGTTCTTGGTCCACATACTGCTGCAGCCCAGCTTGTAGGATTTTGAGCATAACTTTGCTAGCATGTGAAATGAGTGCAATGGTGTGGACGTTTGAACATTCTTTGGCATTGCCCTTCTTTGGGATCAGAATGTAAACTGACCTTTTGCAATCCTGTAGCCACTGTTGAGTTTTCCAAATTTGCTGGCATATTGAGTGTAGCACTTTTACTGCATTGTCTTTTAAGATTTTGAATAGCTCAGCTGGAATACTGTCACCTACACTAACTTTGTTGTTGCTCAGACGTCCTAAGGCCCATTTGACTTCACATTCCAGGATGTCTGGCTTGAGGTCAGTGACCACCCCATTGTGGTTATCAGGGACGTTAAGCTCTTTCTTGTATAGTTCTTCTGTATAATTTTGCCACCTCTTCTTAATCTCTTCTGCTTCTGTTAGGTCCCTGCCATTTTGGTCCTTTATCATGCCCATCTTCGCATGAAATGTTCCCTTCATATCTCCAATTTTTTGAAGAGATCTCTGGTCCTCCCTATTCTATTGTTTTTTTCTATTTCTTTGCACTGTTAAGAAGGCATTCTTAGCTCTTCTGGCTATTCTCTGGAATTCTGCATTCAATTGGGTGTATCTTTCCTTTTCTCCCTTGTCTTTCACTTCCCTTCTTTCCTCAGCTATTTGTAAAGCTTTCTCAGACAGCCATTTTGCTTTCTTGCATTTCTTTTTCTTTGGGATGGTTTTAGTTGCTACCTCTTGTACAATGTTGCAAACCTCTGTCCATAGTTCTTCAGACACTCTGTCTATCAGATCTAATTCCTTAAATCTATTTGTCACCTCTACTGTATATTCATCAGGGATATGATTTAGGTCACACCTGAGTGGCCTAGTGCTTTTCCCTACTTTCTTCAACTTAAGCCTCAATTTTGCAACCAGAAGCTCATGATCTGAGCCACAGTCAGCTCCTGGTCTAGTTTTTACTGACTGTATAGAGCTTCTCCATCTTTGGCTGCAGAGCACATAGTCAATGTGATTTCTGTGTTGACCGTCTGGTGCTGTCCATGTGTAGAGTCGTCTCTTGGGTTGTTGGAAGAAGTGTTTGCTATGATCATTGTATTCTCTTGACAAAATTCTGCCAGCCTGTGCCCTGCTTCATTTTGTACTCCAAGGCCAAACTTGCCTGTTATTCCAGTTATCTTTTGTTTTCCTACTTCAGCATTCCAATCCCCCATGATGATAAGGACATCATTTTTTGGTGTTAATTCTAGAAGGTGTTGTAGGCCCTCATAGAACTGGTCAACTTCAGCCTCTTCAGCCCCAGGGGTTGGGACATAGACTTAGACTACTGTGATGTTGAATGGTTTGCCTTGGATTCGAACGGAGATCATTCTGTCATTTTGGAGATTGTATCCCAGTACTGCTTTTCCTACTCTTTTATTGACTATGAAGGCTACTCCATTTCTTTGAAGGGATTCTTGCCCGCAGTAGTTTACCTGATGGTCATCTGAATTAAATTCACCCATTCCTGTCCATTTTAGTTCACTGATTCCTAAGATGTCGATGTTCAGTCTTGTCATCTCTTGTTTGACCACGTCCAGCTTGCCTGGATTCATGGATCTTACATTCCAGGTTCCTATGGAGTATAAATCTTTACAGCATCAGACTTTCCTTTCACCACCAAATACATCTGCAACTGAGTGTCCTTTCGGCTTTGACCCAGTCGCTTCATTCTTTCTGGCGCTACTAGTACTAGCCCCCTGCTCTTCCCCAGTAGCATATTGGACACCTTCTGACCTGAGGGGCTCATCTTCCAGCATCATATCTTTTTGCCTTTTGGTACTGTCCATGGGGTTTTCATGGCAAAGATACTGGAGTGGGTTGCCATTTCCTTCTCCAGTGGATCACGTTTTGTCAGAGCTCTCTGCTATGACCTGTCTGTCTTGGGTGGCCCTGCATGGCATAGCTCATAGCTTCATTGAGCTATGCAAGCCCCTTCGCCACAACAAGGCAGGTACTATTTAGGAGGAGGAAAAACCTAGCAAAGTCTATCACCAGCAGCACTCACGAAGACCAAGCACAGAACAGTAAAAAGCAGGGCTCGTTATAGCTGTCTTGCTTTAATAGCCAAAGTGGTCTGCAGCCCACATGTTGCTTTGCAGTACAACAGCCTGAGGTGTTGGGCACATTTCTTTCTCTGAAAGTGAACAAGAAATGTATGCTATGAGTATGCTAGCTCCAAAATATCCACAGTTGCTCTGGGTACCAACAGTCACTTCAAATGGTGCTACTGCCTGCTCTGGCGGACCAAGAGTAGCTCTATGACTTTCACCTCCCTGCTCTGACTAAAGCTTCTAAAGACAAAAAGCCATTCCACACACTTTTAACACACCATGCATGATCAGGAGGGCCACCGGCCCCCTCTCGGGGCTGGGACGGGCACTCCTCTTTGCACAAAGCTGTGCTGTAAAGATTTAGGCCACAGGTCTCACGGCTGGGATCAGTCAGGCCCAAACATCCCTGCCACCTCAAGGTCCCGGCTCATCAGTTGTTCTTCAACATCTTGTAGAGCCCAGTGGTGAGAAACCAGCTCTAGTGCTTCCCATTCAGCCTGAGGGAAGAGAAGGACACCATCAAGATTGAGACTCTGCCACACCTGGCAGGAACAGTTGGCAGACTGGCTAAGTGGGATTCCTGGGGTGCAGCTGCTTGTGCACACCAGCTAAAGAAAGTACGGTGAGGTGAAACCAGTCAGGATCCAAGTCCAGGAGGTGAAGTTAAACTGCATCAGTAAGACACGGGACTGTGTCATCTTCTGGTTGCAGATGGAAGAGAGCTGGGAAAGACTTGCTTAGGGTGCCCCGACAGGTTCAGAGCCAAGGCAGTATTTAAATAGGGCTTTCTAGCTAAGCCAGTACACCAGTTTTTAGACACAGATGACTCTCTCCAGAGTAGCACTGGAATGTAACATGAGGCCTTATGTGCACACAGAGCAGGTAGGGCAGATCATACACAGCCCTGCCACAAAGATGCCATTGTGCCAATCAGAATCTGTATCCAAAGCCCAAGCATATGCAGTCTACCCAAAACATGGGAAACTTCAACCCTATGGGCCAGGGGTACTCAAACTTTTTGAACAGGGGACCAGTTGAAAGGCTGTGGTGACATTGTGGGCTGGTGAGGTGGGGGTGCCTGGGGGCGCGGGCCGGTGAGGTGCTGTCAGGTGCTCATGAGGCGGCGGTGGGCGCGCGTGGCAGTGGCTCGCTTGCTTGGAGATCTCCCAGCGAGCAAGCCACCACCTACCAGCCCATGCTGCAAAGCAACAGTGAGTGCGCACATATGGGAGGCAGGTGGCAGCAGCTTGCTTGCTCAGAGACCAGCGAGCCACCACCTCCCCACCACGCTGCGAGGCAGTGGCAAGCGCGCGCACGTACAGGTGGCGGCTTGCTCGCTTGGAGACCATCTCCAACCAAGCGAGCCACCACCTCCCTGCCCGCACAGGTAGCACACGTGCAGGTGGTGAACAGTGGCACTGGGCCGGATCTGTCCTGCAGGCCATAGTTTGAGGACCCATGCTATGGGCAATGACCAACTGTCCTGGGCCCCAGTTTGGCCCTCTTGAGGTTCCCAGAGGGCCATGCCCCCTTTCTCTTGACCTGCTTAGCAGTTTCCTAGCTTTTGCACCATCCTCCCTACCCCTGCAATTCTCAAAGGCTGGAATGCCTGTCCTAAAGCTCAGCCACTGCCACAAAGTGCTTTAAGCTAAAAGTAGTGAGCCTCTGGCATTTTGGTCCAGCCCCTTACTCCATATCCTTTTTCTCTGAAGCCCCACCCACTATTGCTATGTAACTCCTGAGAGTCTCCAAAAGGCAATTTGGTGTTCAGGCTGGAAGAGCATTCTCCCCCGATCTACTCAGACCCACTCTTTCACTTCTGTGCAACTGTGAGGAAAAGAAGAAGAGCCTTACCTTAAAGGCCTTGTTGGGATCAGGTGGAACAGGTACAGATGGGCCCAGGAACTGATCCTGCAACAGCAGTTGATGTTGCTCTGCTGCTGAGGAGAGAATGGTCAGTGGAAATTACTCGCAAGAAAGAAAACTTGTTTGCACTAAGTCACAAGCAGAAGTGCTCAGGTCAAGTAGATGCTGAAGAAATTAAGACTGTCAAGGTAATGGAGTAGCTACAGGGAATCAAGCACATGCAAGCTCCATCTCTAGCAGACACACTAGCAGTCTACTGTAATATGGGCTCCATTATAACAGACTTAAAAAACAAGAGAGGAGAAGTGAATGGTACAGAGTAGCTGTGCTGGGTAGAATGAAGTAGAGAGAAATCGGGTGCCAACATGTGACCACTAGAAATTCTGAGATGCTAGATGTTGTCCCATGATTGCCCAGTGAATTCCCCCAAGCAGCCAAGGCACCTGTGCTTTATCTGTCAACCAGAGATAACACTGCATATACCTGATAAAGAGGGCTGTAACCCACAGAAATATATGCCATAATAAATACAGTAGCCTTCACAGTGCTATAATACTTTTTTTTTTTTTTGCTGCAACAGACTAGCATAGCTACTCCTTTGAAATAATTTACTTGTAATCAAGGACTAGAAATGCTCTAAGCTTTGAGTTTCAAGATGTCCTGATCTGAGCTAGATACTCAGTATAGCAATTTCACATGGAATCTTGAGCAGGGGTGCAAATGTTTGCAATATTTAGAAACCTGACTGGGGAGCACTGGAAGCTAGATTTCATTTTCTGTCTACACATGAATCGGACTGTGCCCCAAGAAACCTCTAGGAACTAGCCTGCAGGGAGAGAGAAATGCCTGTCTGTACCAGCTGAGAGGAAAGATTCTCATTCTCAATGGTGTGCTCTGATCTCTCCCCCAGCCCTTTCTGTCAGGCAATATTTATTTGGCAATGTTTATTTGAGCCCAAGACTATGAGGACCCTATGACTTTTCAGATTTCAGTGATCTCTGACAGGTACTCTGCACAGGTTCCCAATGGCATCCCTGTGCCACCATGCCCTCTGCTGCAAGACTGGGTTATGGAAATGTTCTGGAGTTGTGCTCTAGGAATCCTTGCCTCAAATTTGGGCATGCTTCTGGGAAGGAAAGGAGTGAATATAAAGGGGAAAATGGGGGGACCCTGAAAATGAGGCAAACAGGCAGTGGGGAAGGTATGAGCAGGAACAGAGGTTGGGGCTGAGAAGGATTGCGGAGGTGGAGGGACAATGTGGAGGAAATAAGAAATGAGAAATATGGGTAAGAAAAGAATGAGAAGAAGGAGACTTGCAGAGAAGAAAAATGAATGACCAACTAGAGCAGGCTAGAGAGGAGGAATGAAATTGCGAGATGAACCAAGTGGAAAGGACAAAAAGAACAGAGACATTTTGAGGGTGGAGAATGCTAGGAACTGGACTTTTCTCTCAAGTCTAAACATGCCTAGGGTTGCGCTCTAAGAGATCCAGAGGGGAAGGGTGTATTTGGGAGAACATGTATATGAAAATTCACTTAAAGAGAGGGGTAGAGTTGGCTCCCTGTTCTCTCTAATAATGCAATCAGCTAAAGCATAAGCGCAAAATGGTTGAACCTTCCCCTGTTCTCATGATCTCCTGAAAAGATAATGGGGTTAGCTAGAGGGTATGTGCAGAAATAACAGAAGAGAAAAGCAACTCTGTATCCAAGGGCATGTCAGGGGAGGCAGAAGCCCAAATCTACAAAAGGCTGCACCCTTGGGAGGTTGAGCATCCTGTTTTCTTTTCAGCCACCATGTCATCAGATCCAATTTATTTCTCTTTTCTGTTTTTGTATCAGTGCTTAAAGTACATTAGGACTTTTGCACCTCAAACAGTATATATAGAAACACTGATCACGTGGTAAATCTAGGGCTAATTCAAGTAGTCCTCACATAGGGTTGTAACTCCAGTTTGAATGTGGAAAGCTGCTGATCCACCCTGTACAAAACTGCCCTCCCCCTGCTAAGGTGGTCTCAGAGGCTGATTGACACAAGGAACCCAATAATTTAATCTAATTATTCCTGGATTGTACAGAGGGGATACATATTTTCAACACTCACCCATATCAAACAATACCTTCCACATCTAGATAATCTCAGACTTGAAAAAAGATGAGCTTTTACCATGTAAATAGCCAGATTTAATATTTGGAGATGGACATGCCCTCCAGCCACTAGGTCATCCTACCCAATGTTGTTGTGCCTCTATCTAAAACAAATACCTAGATGTGCTAATAGAAGGATTACTATGCTATGTCTTTTACTATTGCTCTCTGCCTTACAAGGGACACATCAATTCTGATTAATGCTAGAGGCATATTTGAATAACTGTTGACAGGCTCCAATTTCCTTGTCCCAGCATGTCTTGCTATAACCCATGAATGCTGTTTAGCCTAATTCGTCTGCAAGGAGAGTAATGAATTGCCATGTTAAATACTCTTATGCCTTTAACATCTTATGGCTTCCACCCTGCCTGCACCCAACAATACATTTCTCTCACTCCTGAACATTCCCTCCCCTGCTGCTTGCCTTTTAACACTGAGCTGGAAGGCAACTCCTGTGGGAATCAACAACTGGCTTTGTGATTTTTAGTTGCTCTCATTAAAGCTATTATTGTGCTCATTTTGCTTTTCCTCCACTTAGAAAACTAGGTATGGGGGAGAAGGAGTCTAATGCACCTTTCCTCTTGGCATGGTAAGTTTTTGATGCACTAGATGTGGGGTTTCTTGTTGTTTTGCTGGGGGAACATTCACAGTCATAAGCATAATTAGAAGTGGTGCAGTACAGCAACAACTCTGCAATGTTCATTCATTACATGCAAACCCCACTTACCTTCCAAGGAGCTCAAAGTGACCTATATGGTTCTGCCTGCCTGCCTGCCTGCCTTTCTTTCTTTTCCGTCTGTCCGTCCTTAAATTTGTATGCTGTCCAATTACTTGTGTCTCTTTAGGCCTCACAACGATCCTATGGGAGTAGTTAGGTTGAGAGGGTGACTGGCTGAAAATCATGCAGTGAGCTTCATGGCTGAGTGAGGATTTGAACCCAGTTCTCTCCTAGTCTAACACCCTCTAAGCTGGTGCCCTTCAGATGTTTTGAACATCAGCCCCAGCCTGTATGGCCAATATCAGCGATGCTGGAAACTGTAGTCTGAAACATCTGGCGAATGCCAGGTTGGTTGCTCTAGCCAGAAAACGACAATGGTGTTAGATTACATCTTAGTGTCCCAGCTTACAGGACTGGTCCCATTTTCTCTGTGCTGACAGCACTTTGAATGACAAAGAATGTGAACAGTCTATGGTCCCACCCAGATCACTGTGGTCAGTAGAGGGCCTCCTTGCAGGTCCTCCCTTCTCCTGAGTCTCCCTTCACCTCCCCACATCAGTTCCCCATGCCATTTCTCACCTGTCTCCTCCCCCAGGATAATGGTGTATACTCGACGCAGGCCAAAAACGTTCAGGAAATACCAGGAGGCTGAACTGACCCTGGGAGGAGGAGGGGGAGGGGGAGGAGAGCTGTCAGTAATTATTGTGGGAAACCTTCCAGCCCCCAGCCATATGTGGCAGGGCCTGGCAGCAATGTCCCCATCATCTCTATCCCAACTCCACCCATGCCAGGGACTGGCTAGACCTGAGGAGAGACAGGTGCTTACCAGGAGGGATCCAGGGAAGGCAGGTTAATTCCACGCTGCAGCATGGGCTTGAACCGCAGGGTCAGGGGGAAGGGAACCTTGGCTGGGAGTTGGGAGGGAGAGGGGTTAGAGCTGGCCCCACCCCCCAGAGCTCTGCTGCTTCCCCACAGTCCTCAACTCTCCTCCCTCCCTCCCACAATGCACCTTAAGCCTGATCTACCATACACAGCTGTCCTGTGGACTGCCTCCCATGAAAAATGATGGATTCCCAAGCTACACCCATTAGAGCAATGTGAAGGACCAATGTGCAGTTCTTATTAAACTCTTTAAGGTGTTCAGGTCAGGGCAATGGTGTTCTAAAGTTACACCGGTATTATTATCCCCATATCGTAAATTATTAAGCCAGGGATGGTGAGGCCTGAGAGTCTGTAGCAGAGGTGGCCTGAACTGGGGCCATCCCATTTCAAAGTTCAGCCACTTTGCAGCAAGCTCCCATCAGCCCAAGGTTCTCCCATTAGTAAAATGAGAATACAATGATAACACAAGGCTGAGTTGAGCTAAGAACTATAAACAAAACTGCACATGTAGGAAAGTTACTAGGAAAAGGAAATACACTTTTAAAGGGTACAGTTCTATGCAAGTTTAGCCAAAAAAACAAACTGGACTCTAATTCACAGTATATCCCAACTAATGAAGTTGACTGGGGCATGGTACAAGTTGTAGATCTTTGTTTTTCTGAACTTGCATAGGAATGCACCTTAAATTATCTTTTCAATTATTTAAATATGTCTGTCCTTTTGCTTTTATAACATGTTTCAGAGGGATGTCCCCCCATAGCGGTTTCCCTGCAGGGATTCAGAACAAAATCTGCAAAATCAACAAAGAAACTGTATGGTCCAAGAAGAAGCTGGAGCCTTCCCCTTGCAGCCCTCTGCCTCTCCCATCCTGCTGTCCATTTCCCCTCACTCACTAGCCATGAAACCAGAAAAGGCCCAATTGATCCAGCCTCCCACGAGGATCATGGGCAGTATGTTGACGATGTTGCCTTTCATCATCTCCATAACCATGGTGGGATCTGGAGGGGAGGGAGAAAGAGTATTACATCAGGGACTTCTCTGTGCTGAAATCCAGGGGGAGCACAGAACAGCTGCAGAAGCTCGAGCCAAAATTGGGTTGTTTTCCCACTAGCTTCATCCTGTGCAAGGATAGTGTCTGAGTGTGACAGAACCCTCCCTCCTTTCCACTTCATGCTGGCAGTGAGATCCCCCAGAATGATCAGCTTTGCTACCAAGGGCAGAAAAAGAAAGGAGTAGCCCACTTCCACCCTTACCATCCTGCTGGCTTTGGCAGAGCTGCCATTCTTACCCCAAGCCTGTCACCTTCCTTACCTGTCAGTGGGTTTCGGGGCTGCACCTTCCGTTTGGTTTTGCGGAAGAAGCCACTTTCGGGATTATTCAAGTGATGTTTGCGCATGAGGAAGCCCTGGAGAAACACGGAACATGGCAAAAGCCAGAATGTAATGAAGCCATGTTTATAAAAAGGAAGAAGGTAGATAAATGATGTTGATAAACTTCAATGGACACCTCTCTCAGTGCCTACCAAGTTCCCTAATTCACCTGATTTTTATTTTATTTGGCTGTTTTAATTAAACAGCTGCTTTTTAATAGAGAGACTAGCATGTTGCCAAATGATGTTCTAGCCTCCAATGTTATTTGCATTTCCAAGAATGCCTCTTGGAATGCCATGTGGGCTTTAGAGGTACTCTTAGAAAGTAGAAAGTGGTGGGTATCTAGGAAAAAGGTAAGTGGGAAGCAGTAGGGAGTCCTGGGAGAAAGGGGTTTTGGTGAGCCACCTATTTAATGCAAGATGAAGGGCAGATTTGAGCTATGGACACATCTCTTACAGCCTATCCTATGCATATTTATTCAGGAATAATAAGCCCCATGTCTTCAAGGTGCTTACTCCCAGGTAAGTATGTGCATGAGTGTAGGCTTAGGGGCTTCAAATAACCATTTCTGGTTTTGGATAGGCTGGATGAAGGGCAAAGACCCACAGCAAGGTTCAAACTCCTGCCTTTCAATCAATTCACAATTATATTGCAAACATATAGTTTGAAAAACAGCGTACAAAGAACATTTGTTGTGGTCAGTTTTGCATCCCACAAGCAAAGACACAAGTGTTCCTGAGGAAAAATAGCATACAACCTGAAATGGAGTATAATGGATACACTTTTACTAAAAACAAACAAACAAACTCTTTGATCTCTGTGCTAATTCTCAAGAACAGAGCTATTGCAATGGCAAAGCAAACCTATAAAACACATTTATAGAGCGGAGCTGACAAAGGTAGAAGTGCCATTTCTCTCCTTCCTAACACAACTTTTTCTCCAGCAAGAAAATAAGCAGCCAGTGCAGCCCCATTAAAAATAAAATAAACAACTCCTTTACTGATATTAATCCATATGCCAGACATATTGGAAAATCTAGAGAGAATGCTTGCCCTACTCTGACCATTATGATAGTTGAAAGTGTTAAATGGTCTCTCTCCTGAAATAGATTCAGGGTTTCCACTTAGCACACTCATGATCACTGGCTTTTGTGTTGAAAACACTGTGCCAGTTTCATCCTCTAACCAAGGGAAATTAGTGTTCAGAGTTTAATGAAAGACTCAAAATATTACCAAGCTCAGCATGGAGATTAGTGCCACACTGGTAAGCACTTACTGGGAAGATGAGAGGATTAACCCCAGGATATACTTTCAGTTAGAATTCTGGGTTCTCTTTTTAGTGCTCAGTGCACTTCAGGACTACATCTTTTTTTAGCTGGCAAATTACATATAGTGTTTATCTCCTGGGCTACCATTGTTTGACAAATAGAGAAGTTCACCATCCCTGTCCTAGACCACCATTTTCTCCTAGTAAAGATGCTAATATTTAACATCAGGATAAGTCATTTTGGAGCTTTTTTGCTAGTTTCTTGATCTAGTCTCTTTGGCACCTGTACTGAATCTGTGTGTGTATGCACATGTGCAGAGTGGGACAGGGAAAGATAATCAAATGGGTCAGGATTTTGCACCAAATGTAAGCTAAATGGGATCATATGTCTCTTGTTTATATCTATGCACCTGGTGAGAAAGACTATCCCAACAAGCATGTCGTGGGACTCTATCAAAGGCTGTGCAAGGAGTGGGCAGGCCTTCAAGAAGACACTTCTGTTGGGTCTTACCTGATGAGTTAGAAATCGTCCATTTTCCCTCAGGAGGCGACTACGGCCCAGAATCTGCCTGATAGACAAAGAACACTGAACTCACTTGTAATTCCAACATTAGCTGGATAATGCAAGTTGTGGGATCTGGGTCTCAAGTCAAACCTACCATTAAAGCTCACTTACATTCCTATGCTAATCAACCCACACAAGTTGCATTCCTACAAATAAACATGGGAGTGATATTTGCAGGAACACAGGATTCTAGAATAATCTGCACAGTTCTAGAATTGCACCTTAAAGGTCCTTTGCAATGTCACAGAGAAAAATTAGGAGCTAACTTGTGTAAGCCATTAGGTGCACTATACCACGAGATCCCCACAGATGTTACATGGCATTTCTAGGTGGAGGCTTTCAATGTGATATAGCCAGATTGGAAAAGATCTTGGGATGGCCCCAGAATAATAACTGGAAATGATACCTTGGAACATCTTAACTTTGCCTTGCAAAGCTCATGCAATACACAAATAATTCATGCAACACTACACTTGCAGGTGAAGCTCATGTCTCTTGCCTAAACTCTTGTATGACCAGCAAGATAATTACATTCAGAAAGTATATTCTCCAGTATTTGGATATACTTCATGGGATGCAGAAAAATTAGAAACGGTCCAGAGAGGGGCAACAAAAATGAACCAGGGTCTGGAAACACTGTCCTATGAGGAGACTGAGAGAACTGTGCATGTTCGGCTTTGAGATAAGTGTGGAGAGGGGGACACATGATGTAAGTACCTCAAAGGCTGTCACAAAGAGGAAGGACAAGATCTCTTCTCACTCATACCACTGTGTAGGACACAGAATAATCAATTGAAGTTGCGACAACCCAGGTTCAGGCTAGGTATCAGGAAAATTCTCTTCACTGTCAGAGCAATAGGACAGTGGAACCAGCTACCTAGAGAGATGGTGGGCTCTTCAACTCTAGAGACATTCTAAAAGAAACTGATCAGGCAACTGAGTGGGATGGAGTAAACTGATGTCCTGCAACAGCAGTGAGTCTGGTAACAGGGGGTTGGACCTGATGGCCTTCATGGCCATTTCCAACTCTACTATTCTGTGACCCTATGATCTCTCATTGCAAGGGGCAACGTCTTATTCACTCACACCTCATTTCATTATTGAATATTCTGAGATGCACTATGAAGTAATTATGAATACTGAAAATACATAAATTTAGTCAAGAGTCGCTCAAGATTCATGGGCTTTAAAGGGCTTACTCTAAGCACGACTCAACTTGAATCCAACTCAAAACAAAATCATTGTTAAATCAGACGTAGAGTTGCGAAACACTTGCAGATTCCCCACCCAAGCTGAACCGCTCCCACTTCAACTATGTGGTATGCAGGCGGCGACTCTCAACCCCCTCCCGCGCGCGTGCGCCGCTCACGTGTCCTTCAGTTGCTCGGGCCAGCCCAGCGAGCGCTCCCCGCGCAACAGTCCGGCCACGCGCAGCCGCAGAATTCCTACGGCGAGCGCGATCCAAGCCACAGGCAGCAAAACCCAGAAGCGAATAGAGCAGTCTAGGTGCAGCTCCGGAGCCGCCATGGGGGAAGAAGTGGGGAGGATGTTCCCTGTGGCGTGACCAGCAGCCAGTTTATAAAAATAGAAGTGAACTTCTGGCTGTCGACTCAGGAAGGGAACCGGAAATGGATATTGATGAATGGCACACCACTTGCGGGGCTGTCTCTCTAGGCAACAAAAAAAATCCGTTGCATGCGGACACCCTGTATGGTTGCACGTCCTCTCAGAAATTATAATCGGAGATGAATATACATATAGTCTCTGAAATATAACCCGGAAGTTCAGGGCGAAAAGAAGTTGCAAATTGTGGGACGTCGAGTCGAGGGACGGCCCCTACGAGCAAAACACCATAGAGTAGGGGTAGAGTGCCCTTCCCTGATCGAATGTAGCCCTGGCTTCATGTACGGCGGCGGCATTAAGACGGAAGCGGAGAAACAGCACTAACCAGGAAATATCGAAAGGCGTAGGAAGAAATGCTCTGTATTCCTAGCATAGTCTGATTTAGCACTTTTGGGTCTTACTGTTGTTGGTCGTTTTTGAGAGCTGGCAGCGAGCGTTGCGAATGATTCTGCACTTCCGTTCCTCTTTGACACAGGAACGATCTGTAGGGTCGCTCTGAAGGCAATTGAAGCCGGGAGTACCGGGGGTGGGGCGGGGCTGGGGAGATGGATGCAGTTATCGCTCCGTGTCTGTCATAACGTGAAGAAATAAAAGTGTGTTTCTGCTTCCTTGTAAACAGGAACTTTGGCTGTGAGGTCTAACTTTCCAGGGACATGCTGGGACTGCAATTTGTATAACACTCCAGTGGGCGGAATCCTTCATTTCCCCCTTTCCAGTGCTGTTTATCTTTCATGAGCCGAAAAGCAGCACGGTAAATGTTTAGATCACAGAATGGTGCTAAATAAGGTAAAGGGAGAGTGGAAGATGGGTTGGACTGTGCTGTATTCGCATGCATTTTAATCTTGAGTAGAAATGTAGAAATTACCAAAGTTTGGTGAACAGGATTGCCATTCTCAGAACCTTGTGCTAATGAACGGGATATAAAAGCTTAAAACACACAAACAAACATCTTGTTCCTCTCTCAATTATAGAAATGAATTTCTTCTCTGCATTCTTTCTCCAGGCTCTGAGACTCATAGTGTCAAAATCTTACGATGATGTTAGGTGAGCAGCAGGTGCAAAAGAAAGTGCTTCAGTATGAGGCTTTTATCAGTGATGTTTTGCAGAGGGATCTTCGGTGAGTGAACCTAAAAAGCTCCCTCTCCATGCCCACTTTCTGACTATGTCACTTCATGTAAAGTCCTAGTGTGCGATGCCTCCTAGATCAGCATTGCTATATGTTCTGTTGGTTCTTTCAGACAGTTATTGGTGTTTCTTTTCAGGAAGGTGTTGGAGCAACGAGATGAGATCTATGAAAAGATTGCTCAGTATTTGCAGCTCAAGAATATTATTGAGCGATTACAGGTAATTAAACACTTTTCTAAACTGTTTATACCATTTCACAGTAAAAGTTTCTGGCCAGTTTTGAGGCAATTTGATTCAGGAATTTAGTCATAGCAGACATCAGGAGAAAGAGTTTAGTGTACAAACTGCTTTGACCCAGAAAATGATCTGTAACTGCTGCCTTTTTCTCTCAGGAGACAGGAGGCCAAAAGCTAATGACTCGGGTGGACCTGGGCTGCAATTTCTTTGTCAATGCAGAAGTGTGAGTAGTGCAAGAACAGTGTTTCTGTTTACCCATTTCCCTGTCCAGTGCTACCTGTATGTCATATCAGTTTTGAGAACACTGCCCTTGGGATAAAAACTTACTGTTATATCTTCCTTGAATCCAAGGAAAGCAGGATACCCTAACCTACAACTTTGTACTGCATATTCTCTAGGGGATATTATGAAAGTGAGTACCTTGATTGAACTCTCACCTCAGCCACAAATGGGTCAGGTGATTTTTGGTCAGCTGCCATTTCTCTGTTTCAGTGCCTCACCCCTCAACTCCATTTGCAATGTAAGGATATTAATATTGCTATAACTTGCAGGGTTGTTCTAAAGATTACTGAAGTAAGCATAGGAAGCACTTCAAGTGCCACTGATTTTATTATTTATAAGAGCTCCTTGTATGTGAGAGTAAGCAACTTAGGAAGGACTTTAGATAACAGTGAAAATAGGAAGACTTTACCCACCAATGAACTGATTCTAAAAATGGTTCTGGACTGTGCAGAAATGGATAGATTGACTTTATCACTGAAGGAGAAAGAAGATACTGACTTCTATCAAACTTGGGACTCTTTTTGCTATTGGCTAGAGAAATGGGACTTGGCTTAGATTTAAATATGTTTTTAAATTATCATAAATGGAAAAAGAAGGGTGTGGGGGCTAACCCAGCGGGCTCGATGTTTTTGATGATGGATGTTGTTTGTAGTTTTCTTTTTGTTTTTTTTAGGATTATAATTTCAAATAAAACTTACTTTAAAAAAAAGGAAGACTTTATTGGATCTGGCATTAGTTAAAAAGCGTAAGAGTCATACTGGATTAAATTAGAAGGTTCTCTAATTTAGCACTCTGTTTCTAACTATGACCAACCAGTTGCCCAAAATAAGCAGCTCACAAGCAGATTGAGAGGGTAATAGCTTTGTTACATTGTTACTTCCAAGCAAGTGAAATTCAGAGGCATGCAGCCTCTGATCCTGGAGGTAATACAGTGGTACCTCGGCTCACAAACGCCTTGGTTCATGACCAAATCGGGTCGCGAACAAAAATTTCATGAAACTTTTGACTTGGGTTGCGAACTCTGCATTGGGTGGTGACCAAGATCGCAGCCATCCCCCTCCTGCTCCGAGTGGGGAGATGGCCACAATCGCAGTTGCATTCGTGCAGGGAAGACGTGTGTTCACAGGTGCGCTCCTACAGGAAAGACGGGCGCAATCTTAGCCATCTCCCCACCACCCCGAGTGGGGAGATGGCCGCGATTGTGCTGGGGGTGGGGGGGGGGGAGAGATGGCCAAGATCACGCCTGTCTCTCCCTCCCCCAGTGCGCCCTGTTCGCGCCCATCTCTCCCTCCCCCAGTGTGCCCGCCATCACGCCAGTCTCTCCCTCCCCTCCACAGCGCGCCGGGATGATAGGCGCGATCATGGTCGTGCTGGGGGGGAAACAGTAGATTTATTTATTTATTTAAAACATTTTTATGCTGCCCCTATTGCAACAAAGCCTTGGGGCGGCTCACAACAAAAACAAAATACATAAATATAACAATTATACGAGTAAAAATATTAAAACCCGGTGCATCTCGGCTTAAAAGATTTAAAATCCTATAAATACAAATAAATTAACAATTAAAATGAGTTTTAAATAAAAAGGTCTTAGCCTGGCGCCGAAAAACAAATAACGACGGCACCAGGCGGACCTCTCTGGGGAGCGCATTCCATAGATTCTAACATCTCCAGAGATGGCCGCACTTGTGCTCGGACTGTGGGAAGATGGCCACGATCTTTGTTGTTCTTTGTCACTTTTCTTCACATTTTTCTGATTTAAAAAAAAACGGTTACAGAACGAATTAACCTTATTTACATTGAACCTTATAGGGAAATTTAACTTGGCTCACAACCAATTTGGGTCATGACCAGAGTCCTGGAATGGATTAAGTTCATGATCCAAGGTACCATTGTATATAATCACAGCTAGTAGCCACTGGTAGCCTCAGCTTTCATGACAATGTCACCTGTCCTTTTAAAGCTTTTAATGGTGCATTCCTATGTGTGTTTAGACAGAAAAAGATCCCTGTGCTGGCTAAGGAATACTGGAAGTTTGGGAGCTTATTTTTGTCTGAACACAGAAAGGATTGTACCAAAAATCCTCACTTTAGGTAGAGAGAACTACAGGGAAGGGTTCTTCCTTTACGGTCCTGTGCATCAGTTCTTCAGCTATGTAGTGGTAGTCATGCTAGGACTGGTGCCCAGAGGTTGTATCCTTTATGACAGGAGTAAGGAACTGCTTTCAGCCCAAGTACCACATTCTTTTTTGGAGAAGTTATCAGGCTGCATTCCAGTGGTGGTTCAGGTTGTAGAAATGTATATGTACATGCTTCATTTTTTTCTACCTGCTTCTTCCCCACTCCTCCCTTCCCCCCTCCAAATGGCTTCCCAATCCTTCCTGTTTCTTCTTCTGGGGGGGGATACAGTGAAGCACCCCTGACTCACCCACTGCTTTTCTTCTCCCAGTTACTTCCCCCAGCCTTCCCTCAAGTAGTCTTTGAAACAAGAACAGTGCCATTGATTTCCATTAGATAAATAGCCATGTAATCACTTGATCTTGCTTCTGTTTCAGTTCATGAATCATCTAATTCCAAGGTTCCTATAGTTCACACCTCCCTGAGTTTGTGTAATATGCTCATGGAAAGGGATTCCCAATTTCTGTAGGAAGCTCATTTCATTCCTGAGCTATACTTGCAGTAAGAAAACTTTTAATACAGATATTTGGGATGAAATTTCATTAAATATCCTTCCAAATGTTGACAAGAATGGTTGCATTCTTGCTGCTATAGAACTTTGATCAACTGTAATTTAAGGCCATTGGTGCATGCTCTGACATTAACAGATAGAATGTATAGGGTAAGATTGAATGGTGCCAAATACTAGCATGATTGACATTGTACTAGTGGGAATCAATGTTTGTGCCATATTGACAACATGTTGACATTGTGTCAGTGTTGGTTCACACTACTGCAAACACTGAGAATGTGGCTCTTGTCAAAGTTGCTGCCTCCCTTTTTTAGCCATTTCAAATGCATGCAGATTTTAACCTCTTTTCCTTGCTCTACTGCAGGCCAGACACATCCACCATATTTGTAGCAGTGGGTTATGGGTTCTTTGTGGAACTGACATTTCCTGAGGCACTAGCCTTCATTGAGAAGAAGAACAAGCTTCTTACAGAGTGAGTAGGAGGAATTAAACCAGCCCTGTCTCCTAAAATAATCAAGGAAGCTTTACCTATGGCTCCCATGTAGCAGGCCCCAGCATTTGTTTGAGCAATCAGTAGTCTTTGATTATCATAAAAGGGCCATCCAGAATGTAGACACCAGGACCCTCCAAAGAGAATAGGATAACGTTGAATGGCTGCTGGCCAAAGAAACCATTTCTAACCCCTATTGCCTGATTAAATTAATTTAATAGTCACTCACCCCACACTGACCTCATGGACTGTAGTTCTGTGAATAAGTCTAGTGATACCTGATACCATCTCTTGCTAAACTGTAGTGTTCAGTATTCTTTGGGATACATTGTCAGTTAAGTTAGCATAAAAGCAGTATAACTTTTTTTGTAGGTTGATCATTCATTGTAGCTCTCTGTCACTGGGCATTGCTTCAATGCAACGCAGTGGTATCAGTAATACTTACAAGGGTAAGGAACCTGAAAAGGCCAATATATAGAAGTACCTTATGGTATTTGGTAAAGTAACCCTACTTTATGGTATTTGGTAGGGTTTTCTCTCTGGTTAAGTGTGCATAAGATTGCAGTCTAGTCAGTATATACTGCAAAAGGGCTAATCCCTCTTAGTATGCCTTGTAGATATAGATATTTGCAAACCCAGTCCATCTTTCTTCCCTACCTTCTCTGGCAGGGGTGGAAAATCTCTTATAGCTTAAAGGCTAAATTCTATTTTGGAGAAATTCTTGGGTGATGGATGGGGCCAGAGGTAAAAAGGGCTCTGCCAACCCCTCCTCCCCATAACAGCATATTTTACTTAATGTCTTGCTTTCAGTTACTAAGGAGAGGCATTTCAGCTTTTTAGAACAGAAGGGAAAAGCTGCAGAAGAGCTAGGAGACCAACAAACCATCTCAGTTGAGAGGAAAGGATGTGGGGCTTGGGCAACAAGGAGTGTGTCTACCTGTACCACCCCCCCCCCCCCCACGGCTGGATTTGTATCTCAGTCTGACATTCTGCACCATTGTTTACTGAATTTCTTTTATTTCTTAATAGGCTCAGTGAGGCCCTCACCAAAGACTCTACCAAGATCAAAGCCAATATTCGGATGGTTTTAGAGGTAATGGGATTAGGTTAGCAATGTGTTTACTCTTTGAGGTGGAGTTGTCTAGACACAGGGAAATGTGGCACAGTAGGGATTGTTGATTGCTCCAAGCAGCCAAAAGAAGTCCTGTTGGACAGGAACCATGGCTTGGTGAAGCTGCTGTGCAGATTTGGAATGAGATTTAGCAGGGCTTTTCTCTGGAGTACTTGTTCTCTGTGGTAGCGGGAATGGGGTTCCTGCTTCTGGCACAGCATAGAAGAGACATTGTGCCAGAAAGAGAAATCTAGGGAAACAGTAGAGAAAGCTAGGTTCAGACTGTATTTCTCTCCCCCTGCTCCTGCCCCCACAGGGATTGTGTGAACTCCAAGGTATCCAGGATCTGCCTGAGAAGACCACAAGGGACATCTTCCTTTAGACGCCCGCCCTCTTTTAGTCGGAGGTGATATTTTCAGTTTCCAGTATGCTGGAAGAAGAGTTGATTTGTTTGGCATTTGGTGGCAACCAGAACCGCACTTGTTGCTGGACTAGCACTTTTGAATGGGATGGGGTGAATATGATATAGTGATACTTTATGGGGTTAGGAGAGCAATTTCTTATGTGAAGAAAGGACATGACTGAATTCACCGCTTTCTCTGTATTCATTCCTCCTCTGTTTTCCAGGTACTGTTTCTTAGCACAACTTCATCTCAGCTGTAGAAATAAAGATGATGCAACTCCAGTCTGTTGGTTGTATTTTTGTCACCCACAGTCCCATATCCACACCCACTTCCCCTTTTTAGAATAATCCCCATCACTTCTGTCTTGGATGCAGCAGAAACATTGGGCATTGCTTTTATCATGCTGAGTATTAGACTGGCTCAGGTAGCAGAGAGGCTACTAAAGCTAGAGTTATCCTCCCGTTCAGTTGCTAGTTTGCTTTCTTTTTGCTAGATTGATACCCTTCTCCACCATCCAAGATTTGAGAGCTGACTTAGCACAGTGATAAATGAAGGTCACTTTAGTTCACATTTTTGGTTAGCTGTGCAGCTACTGGAGTCTTAGGCAAGCTGTTCCTTCAGTGTCAGAACTCACTGCCCAGTACACAGTATGGGATAGTACTTTATAGACCATGGGTCCTCAAACTATGGCCCGCCATGCCCATTTATCTGGCCCACCATGCCCATTTGGACCTGCCATATGCATGCATGTCACTGCCTACCTCGCCCCGTGCGCAGTTTGCTCACTTGGAGAAAATGATTTCCAAGCGAGCAGGCCGCTGCCTCATGTGCCCACCTTGCAGTGCATGACCACCACGCCTCATCTGGCTTCCCCTCACTGTGCACCCGTGCCTCCCCTTGCCTTGCCACATGCCCCACCCCCACCTCAGTGTGCACACCCACACACACTGCCCCCACCCCCACCCCCGTGCACCACCATTTTGGCCCGCGCCCAGCACCGGCAGCTTTCAACTGGCCCCCTGGTGGAAAAGTTTGAGGACCCCTGTTATAGACCATAAAGACACTGTATGTATAAGCCAGGGGGTTTTGTACTACTTAAGTAGAAATGTCTGAGGCTTACCTCTCTGGTTTTTTGATGTTCTTCTTGACAATAGTGTTTTGCCATTATTGCTTTTATTGTTTTTGCCCTGACAGCTCTAATGCAAATCATAAATTGACTAAAGCAAACAAAACATACTTTACATAAAATTGGGAATTGATCACTGAAGAGCAAATCTGGCTTCTAATATAGAGGATATCTCCTGGAACAAATGCACACAATTGTGCCCCCCAGCCACTTTCTGCCAAGTTTAGGTGCAGCAAAGCGCTCTTTGTGCCCCTTTCTTGCAATGTGAACTTTCCTCCTCTTGGCTTCCAGGTGCAAGCCAACATTGAGGGAAATGGGGTGAGCAGCTGAGGTGCCTAAACCAAAGTGTTTGTTGGGTGTGAGATATGCCAGTAAAAAGCTTCCTTGCCTAGTATGTGAATTGCTTGGTGAACAGCTCCAATGCTGTTGGCCTTTCTCATTTGAAAATATGGCCCCCAATCAATGGTGGAAATTCTTGGGCACGTACCAAGGTCCATGCCTCAGAAATGAACTTGCTGCCAATCACTGGAGCTTTCAAGTCCTTTCATCTCACTTTCTATATGTAATGAGCTATATGCAGAACTGTTCTTCTTGAAACTATAATTCTTCCATAGCAATGCCAGATCATCTTATATCTGATCCAGATTTCCAGTGGATTGATTTCTGTCTTTTCCTGATGTTGGTTTATGTCATTTTATGGTATGATCTAGTGACTGTTTTCATGATTAGGAAAGATCACTTTTTCCACAGAAGTCAGCTCATTAATTAAAAAAAGTGTGGACCTTCTGCCTCAGCAGTAGAGAATCCACCCACCCCTCCACCCCAGCTCTGTATCTGGCTGTTGATGAGATCCATAAGCATCATAAATGATTCTACACCATGGTTGAGTATTTTCCTATCCACACCAAGTCAGTGAGTAAGGAGGTTTTATATGCTACAATAAAAATACAAATTTGCTTACTTTTCTACTGTGGGGAATACTAAAGTGGTATCATGTTAGTTTGAATGTTTAAATGGTATAAAAGATAGGTGGGGGCTTACATAAGGGTACATCTATTCAAGCTTTTCTCAGACTGGTGTCTTCCAGATGTCTTCCAACTCTCAGCATCCTCCAGGCAGCACTGTAATCTAACACAGCTGGAGGACAACTAGGTTGAGAAGGCTGATTTCAATTTTAGAATTTAGAAAGAGGGTGGATTTTGCAAGCGTTGGGTCCACTGAACCAGCAATGCACTGGATTACTCCAAACCATTCAGTGGCTGCTGTTCACTGCTAGTCCAAATGGCAATTAGAGACCAAACACATGGCACGAAAACCTTGGTACATCTGTCGTTGGATACCCTTTTTAAGCTGTACTCTGGTACCAATGAATCCCCAGTATCCATTCTCTTCTTTTTCTCCTCTGGTCTCTCTCATTGCCTGGATTTAGATTCTAGAAGAATCTGATGTATTTGTTTGCTGACTGTCTGGTAAGCTTATTCCCAGCTCTGATGGATTTTTTAAAAGTCCTCATTATTTAGGCACCCGGAGAGTTTCATTAACATTTTCTTAATGTTGAGTTTCAAGCCAACTTTTGCACTCTCCTCCTTCACCCGCATCAAGAGGCTCTTTAGTTCCTCTTCACTTTCTGCCATGAGAGTGGCAGAAAGTGGTATCATCTGCATATCTGAGGTTGTTGATATTTCTCTCAGCATTCTTAATTCCAACTGGAGATTCATCTAGCCCTGCCTTTCTCATGATGTGCTCTGAATATAAGTTAAATAGGCAGGGCAACAGTATACAGCCTATTAAGAAAATTAAGATCATGGCATCCGGTCCTCTCACTTCCTGGCAAATAAATGGGGAAGAAATGGAGGTAGTGACAGATTTTATTTTCCTGGGCTCCAAGATCACTGCAGACGGGGTCTGCAGCCAAGAAATTAAAAGACGCTTGCTCCTGGGGAGGAAAGCTATGGCAAATCTAGACAGCATACTAAAAAGCAGAGACATCACCCTGCCAACAAAAGTGCGTATAGTCAAGGCTATGGTTTTCCCAGTTGCAATGTATGGCTGTGAAAGCTGGACCATGAGGAAGGCTGAGCACCGAAGGCTTGAGGCCTTTGAATTGTGGTGCTGGAGGAGACTCCTGTGAGTCTCTTGGACCACAAGGCGATCAAACCGGTCAGTCCTAGAGGAGATCAACCCTGACTGCTCTTTAGAAGGCCAGATCCTGAAGGTGAAACTCAAATACTTTGGCCACCTATGAGAAGGAAGGACTCCCTGGAGAAGAGCCTAATGCTGGGAACAATAGATGGCAAAAGAAGGGGATGGCAGAGAATGAGGTGGCTAGATGGAGTCACTGAAGCAGTTGGTGTGAGCTTAAGTGGACTCCGGGGGATGGTGGAGGACAGGAAGGCCTGGAGGAATGTTGTCCATGGGGTCGTGATGGGTCCAACATGACTTCGTGACTAACAACAACAACAACAAAGATGATCAGGCACAGTAAGGGTTGTGTACCTTGTTTGCTGTTACCTCCACACCTGATCATGGGGACAGCGCAGGTGCATCCAGATATCTCCTGAGTTGCAGCAAGCCATTTCTGCTGGCCACAGCTTGCCTTTTTTGCTTCTCTGTTGGGGTTGAGGCAACACTTGGCAAAGTGAGGGCAGCCCAGGGCAACAAGAGCCCTTCTGCCCCCCAAAACACTCTGAGCATTCTGCTGCAAAAGATGTTTTCCACAACTTCCATCTTTAAAATAAAATCTGAAAAAATAGCAATGGATTACAACAAAGTTGCAATTTGGCGTTGGCACTTGTCTGTATGGACTCCTCAGGAATTGGCAAAACCTGAGGGATACCCTAATGGCTGGGGAATTAAAGGTTTTAAAGAGACAAATCTTTCTGTCCCTGTTGCCAAGGCTCTCTGGTTCCCTGACTTGACCGTAACATATTCTCTTGTGTGGGTTCAGACAACATCCTTGCTTTTCCTGTCATAAGCTGAAAACTCATTGTGAAAGAATTTGTCCACATTTTCCCCAGTGGCAGTGGCAGAACTGTATATCTGAATGAACTTTCATCATGATCACTTTGCTTCAAGAGCTGTAGAAGGCTCAAAGCAACAGAAACAGTGTACTACTGTAGATGTCTCTTCAGAAATAAGCTCTATTGAGTTCAGTGGGACTTACTCCTATTTAAGGTTGGATAGCATTGAACTTTAAATGTGATTTTACAAAAGAATGACATGAATTGCTAATAGAAAACTAAAATGCTGTTAGGCAATAACTTCCTTAGGATCAATCAAACTGCCACAAAAGAGTGTATAAGCTTTCAAGTTATCCAAAACTCTTCTTTTTGTACCATACTCTGGAAGATGGTACAAAATGCAAGATAAAGGAATGGTCATATTTCAAGACTGCAGAGTGAATGATTAGGTCACCGATAAGTGTTGCAGGTATCAGATTACATCTGGCACAAAGAAGCCATGGATAACCTCATTTAAGAACATAAACCACACTGGATCAAAGGTCAATATAGTCCAGTTTTCTGTATACAAGGGTGGCAAACCAGCTGCCCACAGGATCTCTAAAGCAGGATGGGAGCAAGACCTCCTCCTGCCCACACAGCAAATTCCATCGTTTAGCTATATGGTATATGAAGATGTACTTCCTTTTTTCTGTCCTAAATCCCCCACTGATCAGCTTCATGGAATGACCCTGGGTTCCAGTGTTATGGGAGAGGGAGAAAAATGTCTCCCTCTCTACTTTCTCCACACCATGCATTATTTTAAACACTTCTATCTTGTTTCTCCTTACTGTTTTTTCTAAGCTGAACAGTATCACTGGTCATAGCTGCTCCAGTCTCCTGATAATTTTTGTTGTCCTGTGCACTTTACCAAATTGAATGGTGCCCTTTTTCAGGGGAGGCAACCAGAACTGAACACAATATTCCAAGTGTGGCCGTACCAAGATTTGAAAAAGGGAAGTAAGGTCCTGACAGTTCTATTTTCTATTGCATTCCTAACTATGCCTAGCATGGAGTTTGCCTTCTTCATAGCAGTTGAGCACCGGGCCAACATTTTCATAATGCTGTCCACCACTATCCCATGATCACTTTCTTCCTCAGTCATTGCTAGTTCAGATCCCATGAGTGTATACTTGAAGTTGGGATTTTTTGCATTACTTTACACTTATATAGAATGGCATTTGCAATTTTGATGCCCATTCCCCCAGCTTGGATAGATACCTATGGAACTCCTCACAATCCTTTTCAAGTTTTAGCCACCCTAAAAAATGTAGTGTCATTAGCAAACTTGGCCACTTCACTACTCCAGATCCAGACTCTACCACTTCCAAATTCCAGATCATTTATGATTAAGTTCAAAGGCTTCAGCAGGCTCATAGTGAAGATGGGGTCTTTCAGAGAGCCTGGTTTCAAGGGTTTTCTGTATCATAACCTGCACTTTGAGTTCGGCCAGAAAATAGACCAGTAGCTTGGGATGCTAACAATGGAACTACATGTTCCTCATAACAGGCCCCACTTAGGTTCCCAAACTGTGTTCCATGGAACCCTAAGGTTCCACAAAAGCCTAATAGGAGTTCTGCGAAAAATCTCAAAATCAACTTTAAAATGAATTTTAAAATGATATCACATGAGGCCAACTATTTGATTGTCGTTGGTGTCCAAGCAGCAAATAAGGAAATGCATCATGCCATTTGGTTCCTAGGACTCTATTGCATGGTGTTGGGAATAACTGAAAGAATTCATGTGGAATATTACCATATAATTGCATAATTCATTTGTTATATATTTAAAATGTTTTCTCTTTATTTCCAAACCTACTACATTATGTAAAGCATTCAGGCAATAGGAACAGATGAAAGAAGGAAGAATGTTATGGGTTTATTGCCAATTGCAGCACCCCAAAACACCCCAAAAGTAGTTGACCAGAGGAAGGCCACATAGTAAAAACACCACAGTTATACTGTCCCAGAAGGGTGGGCGGATAAGAACAAAATGAACTTTGTGTAACCCACCGTTAACATGCTAGCCTGACCTCGAATACAGTAATCAAAGGGACGGTGGAAACTGGTTCTAGCTGCCATGAAAGTTGCAAATGTGCAGCGAGTATGAACATGGCAAGGCTGTGTGAATCTTGAGCAGATAAGAAATAGACATGGGAACTGTCTGGTCCTGGCAGAAGAAAAGACTCTTTGAACCTAACAACACTGGGGGTGTGGCTACATTGATGTATTGATGCATTAGAAGTGTATTAGGTGACCTAAGTGGTTATCTAGGGTATAAAATGCATGTACCGGGGTGCAACTTTCGAGACACTGCTTTGGGTTGAATGTCTCCTTTTGTCTCCCTTTATTCTATAGTGCACTAGAGTAAAGCTGGTTTTGGCTCTAAGTCTCATCTCAGGATCCTTTTGACTTGGTCTGGGATCCACCCGGGTTTGCCCTAGTTGTTGACTGGCTGAGTTCAGTAACAGGTTCACAATGATTAGTAAAAAACAGGAACAGAGTTAGGGTTTTGCAGGGGAAAAATGTATTCAGAAAGGTTATATGATCAAGAAAGTTTGGGAACTGCTGTTCGAAACATTTTTCAAAGGCACATTACAGCAGTCCAGCCTAGGTCATTCCCTACTATCTGTACTAGCTGTATTTCACATTTGGAACTTGAAAAACACTCGGACAGCACACTCTTATGTATTTATGTACTTAATAGAGTCATATACTGCCAATCATATCGAAATTATCACCATGCAAGCATGTATAAAATTGCAGGTTAAGCTCTGGTTCAAAGCACTTCACAATGCCAGATCAGTTCTCCTGCTGACAACCCTGAAAGGTAGGTTGTTGGTAAACCCATATTGCAGATGTCAGTTGACCGTTGATAGCTTGACTAAGACCTAGCTTGACTAAGGCCAGCAGAGGTAAAATCTGAAATTCTAGCCTTACTGCTGTCCCTGGTGCCATTTTGCATGCAAAGAGACTTCTTTCCCACCGGCAATGGGGGCGCCCCCCACAGGGCAAAGATCCTCCCACTCCGCCTTCACCCCGCTTACCATAGCAACCGAGGGCCTTGGCGGCGACATGGAACCCCCGGATGATCCCATCCCACTGGGGCTGGAGAGAGGTTACCATAGCAGCCACCTTCTCCTCTTCTCGCTCATCGCCTCCATTTCTCCCGCCCTCCGTTGTCGCGGCTGCGCGTTGCCGCGGCAACCGTGGGGGCGCACAAGGATGACAAGGAGGCAGAGGGAGGGGTGGGGTGGCAGCGAGCACCGGCTACGCCCGCCCCCCTCCCGGCATACATGGCCGCCACGTGGCTGGGATGAAAACTGACGGCTCGGGAGAGGGGAGGCTGATTAAATGTCCTCTCCGATCCCAGCGCAGTGGTTAGGACCCAGGATTCCTGGTTCCGAGCCTCTTCTACACAGATTCAGACGTGTCTTTTTACCTTACCCGTACAAAGACGGGACCCAGGAGTCCTGGAATCTCCCCTTCCCATTCCACTGGGCCCTCCTCCCGAAGTTGGGATCCATCAGATCCCGTTGGTCCCGTGCGGATCTAGTGGATCACAGACGTCCACACACCTCCCCCTTTCCTCCATGTTCTCCTTTATCGAGCGGTGCCAGCAATCTGGCGTTTCTGTTCCCCAAGCCCCTCATCCCCCACAGCAGAAGCGGGCCCAGGATCCAGAAGCGAGCTCTCGTCCGCCCAAAGCAATGATAAACCTGGTTCTTTTTTAACCCTCGCTGTACCATTGCATAGGAAAGTGGAGAGAGCCCAGGAGTCCTGGCTATCAATGCCCCTTCTCCTTATTCTTTCTCCTGCACAGAGCAGGGATCATCGGAGCCCACCCAGCCCGAAAAGGACCCAGGAGCCTCACTCCTCTAATTCCTTCTACTCCTCTTCATGTCACCCCACCCCACGCCTCTCCGGCAGGTAGTCCGGATCGGACCCAGGAGTCCTGGCTCCTCCTAACCCTCCACCACTTCTCCAACAGGGCCAGGAGAACCCAGTAATCCGGCCTGGGATTGCTTCTCTTCCCGCGAACAGTATGAAAGTCTAGGCAGGGAGAGAGGAGACACCCGGGCGCCCGGCCGGCCAGCTCCGCCTCCTGTTCCCGCCATGTGACAGACTCCGTCACCGCTGCATCCCCAACGATGTAACCGACGGCCTGCACGGCTCCGTCAGAGGCAGGAAGAAGAGCGGATCCGCCCTCTCCCTCCCCTCCCTCCTCCCTCTTCTCCCCGCACCTTCACCCCGATCCACCCACCCCAGCGCATCCTGAAGCGGAGCCACCCACGCCAAGTGGAAACGCGGTCCGGAGACGTCCGTCAAGGTCCTGCGGGGGACACCCAGCCACCCACCCACGCGTGACAACCCACCCATCCATCCGAAATGAGAAAGCAGCAACTTGAAACCAGACAGGAAGAGAACTGGGACCAGTAAAGGTGGTGGTGGAGGCAGGAAGGCAGCAACAGGACCTCCCCCAACCAACTGGGAAGAAAGTGGCAATACCACAAATCGACAGCTGGAAATCAGAAAGTGGACAGGGAGCCCACCCCGGCGGCAAAGCTGGGGGTCCCCCACCCAGCCCATGGAGCCGCCCGGGACTGGCGCGGGGGGTGCCGCCATGCTCACGGGTAAGTAGTTGATGATGGAGGTAGAAAACGTGTGTGTGGGGAGGGGGGGAGGGAGAGAGACCCCGTACCCGTTTTCCAAGTCCCAGAACCTGCAGGAGGGAACGATTCTCTAACCCACACCGCATGCTCTGCAGTTGCTTCTAGAGTGAGGCAAGCTGGAAATAGATGTGCACAACAATTTGGCCCAACCATCCTGCATTCCACTCACGGCACTGAAAGTAACAACAGAGTTATTGGACCCCGGCTTTGGACTGCAGGCACTTTCAAATTCGTGTATCTCCTTCCACAGACCCGCCATCATAGCTAAGAACTCTGGGAGTGGGAAGCAGACTCATTTCAAGCAGCCTTGTGGGAAAGCAAAGAGGATCCATCCCGGTATGTGTGTGTAAGGATCCCTTTGCTAGGGGAGAGAGAGAAGCATCTGTCAGATATACTTTATCACCCTGGAATCAACTCTTACATGGAAGTGATTGCCTAGAAAAAGGGAAACTCCAGTTCCTGGGACTCTATTTATTTCCTGCAGCAGCAGTTCTACCTTGTCTTCTTCAAGTCATTCTTCTACCCACTTTACCATTTAGGGTCCCCTCTTTGAGCACAATCCAGTCTTTGGCTTCAGAGATGTTTCTAAGCCACCACCTGTCACCACCTGTTCCCCCCATCTCTGTTGATGAGCCCCCCCCCCCCATCCTAATCATGACACACACACACAAACTCACCCTGCTTCCTCTACCGCCTCCACTTTCTGCATTAACTGCTGGATTACAGTGTTTGATGGGGTTTTGTATTAAGTCCCTGAGCCAGAAAATCCTTTCTTTAGGCCAAATCCAGTGATTCCCTGGCTTGGGGTTGGGGGAGAGGGAGGAGGAAGCAGAAAGAAAAGAGTGAGTGGGTGAGTAAGTCTGCTCTTCACTCAGTCCCTGCAGCTCCTTTTCCAGATCTGGTGCAGGCCTTTCAAGTCAGAATCCACAAGCAACTGAGTATCCTTCTTGCCTCGCATCAGAATGAGAGGACCTTGCATAAGACAGTTTACTTGGGGACTAGAATTGGCTAAGAGGGCATCTCTCACTCGGATAGTTAGGGGTTGTCAGCTGAAGCAAAAGGGGAAATCACTGAAGGCTGTCCTTTAAAGATCTGGCAGAGCAAAGAGAAGCTAGGATGAGAATGGGTGACAATCCAACTGTGGTTCAGGATTCGGACCTAGAGATGTTGCCAGGTGAGAGCATGGCTCAGTGCTCTGTGACTCTGAGGATGTGCTGAGTGCATCTTGCTCAAGCTTGAGTAACTATGACCACTCTACACATCTGGGATGGAAGATTGTTTTCTAGCTCAGAGCATGTGACTTCTACCCCTATACTTCCATTTTAGAAATTAATCACTGCTTGAGGCCTATGAATAGGAAATGGATTAAAATCTAGGATTAGGTGATGCAGGTAGATGTCTTCAATTATCCCCATATATTTTCTGTTCAGCATCTGATTCTGCCCACTGATCTGTGCTGTGCCCTCTGGAAATGTAGGACAGTGTCATTCAGTTATTTTGTGATCAGCTCATCCCTCATTATATTGTGGTCCAGCACAATCTGTTACTTGCAATAATGCCTACTGGCACCCTCGAGGCAATGAGCACCAGTACTTATGAAAAGGGTTCTGACAGCAATAGGGCATTAACATCAGTGTTAACCCACTTAGGAGTTTATAGAGAAACAAGAACAGCAGCAGTTAAATGTCTCTGTCCTTTCCTCACTTGCTGCCCTTCCTTCTAGGACACCTATATGGCATCAGAACTCACCATTTCTGTGGAGCTTTGCCTTAACCCCTTAGTCATCACCCTGTACAGGAGCTAAACCTAAATATGCTAAGTATAACTGCCTTTATTTGCATCCATCCATCCCTTCCTTCCCCACCCCCTTCTACCAAAATATAGTTATGATGTTACACTGTAAAGCATGGTGTACATGGATGTCTTTTCTATCCATCCTTTTTCTTCTTGGAAGTTCTGCTGCTTATCCAGGTGGCAAATCTGATATGTTATTCCTCTGTCTTTTGGGGGGTTGGGTGGGGAGAATTTTTGTCTATAAATGCCCTGATTTAGCAAGCCTTGAGAATCACCAGTTTCCTGTGGTGTATTTAGGAAAACTGTGGGCATATGTATTCAGTTTTGCTTCAGGTCAGCTGCTGCAACAGCCTGTAGCTGATACTGAGAAGGAGCCTATCTGAACCTCTTTCAGACTGAGGGCCAAATCCCTTTTCCTAGAAGCCCTCACATTGCTGTGGTGAGAGGAACTGAAGCCAGGAGGGGGAGGGACTCAAGGGTTTTCTTTCCCCCCAGATACCAGCATATTTTAGCTTAAAGGTCTTACAGTTGATAACTTAGAGGCACTTCTAATGGCCTTTTCAAATGGGAAGCATACTGCACAAAAGCCAAACAAGAGGGGGTTGGGTAAAGGGGACAGGACCACCTTGCCCGCAGGTGTGAAGTTCTGCACCCTGGTAGTATGAGTTGCAGTGCATTTCCAGAAACATTTTATTTTTGAAGTCTTTGGTTGTGGGGTCCCGTTCCCCCCCCCCCACTTCTCATATTCATGTAAGAGAGGTATTGCAACATCTTTTATAGTAGCTATTGTAAGAGGATGGATGCTGTTCACCAAGATGATGTCTGTTGTTTTGTAGCTATTGCTTCGTTTTGATAGGTTTATCCCAGTATAAGGTACATAATTATTCTCAGGAGTTGGATTGGGACTATAGTTTTAGAAAGAGGGCACTTCTGCCCTGATTGGTTGATGCTGCATTCTTCTTTGGCATTGAATGATTTCTGCAACCTGATTGTGTCTGGGAAAGTATTCTGTTTTTGAATAAGACAGGGCAGCCACCAATTTGGTATCATTTTTTATTTGTCTTTATAATTGCCTCTATGATACTATGAAGCACTGTAGGCCGAAAAAGAAAGCAAGCAAGCAAGCAAGCAAGCAAGCATTTCCATGACAGATGGAAGCACCATACATATAATCATTACCACCACAGACATTGTGGCAGACTTTCCCAACCTGGTTCCTTCCAGTTGTTTTACATGTCAGCTCCTGTCAGCCCCAACTAGCAAGGCCAATGGTCAGGAATGCTGGGGGTTGCAATCTAAAACATCTGGAGGGCACCGACTTGAGGAAGATTGCACTGTGGTGCACAACTTGACTGTTGTGGGTTAGCTAGAATTACCCAGAAGTGAGTAATAAAACAAATCATGAGAAAGGTATTACTGGTATTGCTATCTTGCCTGAGGAATTTGGAGCGTATCTAGCCCTTCAAGCTGCAGTTGCACTGCTGCTTAAGTTATCATAAATTCCTTCCAGGAAGTCTGCGGATTGGTATTTCTGTGAACCAACAGATGATTTCAAACTGCAGAGTGCCATAATCGTCAGTGCTTTTCACAGAATTCCTTGGGGTTAGCCATCTAGCAATTGTTTGTTTAAACAAAGTGCACCACAGGTCTTGTCAAGTAGCCAGGGCAGTTGATATTTGTGGCAATCCTAGTTAAAAACAGGTGTGGAATCAGGCCTACCTTCCTGTTTACTCCTTAGCTCAATGAAGAGTAGAGGTAGGGCCAGCATTGAGGACAGGTGTGCTTGGGCACCTGTCAAGGGCAGCAAGAGCTCCCTGGGGTTGTTCCTGCTCTTTGCCATTGCAACCTGCTTGCTCACTACCTCAGACAACAGTGTTGGCAAGAGGCAACAGCAAAAGGTGCCCCTTCCTGCCTGCTTACTGGCTTTGCCTCCCAAGCAAGCAATGGGTTGCAATGAGAAGGAGGAGAGTGAGGAGCAAGAGCAGCTGGGGACAGGCACTCTGAGAAGACAGACCTGCTGAGTAGGGGGCCTACGGACTGTGCCTTGCCCAAGGGCCCTCACAAATCTGGAGCCAGTGCCGAGAGACAACAGAGTGGTCACTGCAGTGATTTTGTGCAAGGAACAGAGTGAAGTGGTACAGTCTGCTTTCCCTGGACTGTACCACTTTTGGACAACGGTGGGGGAATTGCATAATTGAGTACCTCAGAATGAAGAGAAAATGTGGGAAGTAAGAGTACTGGGGAAGAGAGGTAGCTGCTTCCCCCTACTCCCATGTCAAATTCTACACAGCTGAACCAGCTGCTCTCTCTGCTTTATCCCCTCTGTAGTCATGGATCCCTCTGTCACACTGTGGCAGTTCCTGCTGCAGTTGCTGGAGCAGCAGAGCAATGGGCATCTCATTGCATGGACATCCAATGATGGGGAGTTCAAGCTGGTTGATGCTGAAGAGGTGGCCCGGCTTTGGGGGCTGCGAAAGAACAAGACCAACATGAACTATGACAAGCTGAGCCGGGCCCTGCGCTACTACTATGACAAGGTGGGGGCCTGCTCCCTGGCTTTGCTGCATCCCCCTTGTAGTAGGCCAGGGAGTCCTAGGTTGCATGCATGGTTGCTGTCTTGCTTGCCCCTCCAGTCCAGTCTTTTCCATTCCCAGTGAAGGAGCATGCATTGGAACATCAAAGAGCATTTGGGCATGGGCATGACATCTTTGTCAATGTATCCACAGAGAAAGAAGTACAGGCAGAGCCGTGCACATCTTGGGATTTTGTGCTGCCATGGAATTGAATATCATATGCAGGGTTTGCATTCATTCCCTTTAAAGCAAGTTTCTAGCTCTTTATGCATGGAAAGATACTTGGTGCAGAGAGAAGGAGGGATAACTCCATGCTTGTCTGCCTGAGCATAGAGAAAATGGGGTTTTCTGTGCAGAGAGGTATTGAGCAATTGCTGGAGAAGAAGGGAGGAGTGGGGACCTCTGAAGACCAGGTAGAGAAACTTCACAGGCTGGATTTGGCCTTTGGCCCAGAATTTCTTCATCCCACGATTACACTCAGAGCATTAGCAGTTCCTTGCCCCTCCCAATTGCCAAAGAAAGTGTGCTCAATGAACAGATTTATGAACATGGCTTCTATAATTTATACAGGTCAGAGAATTCAGCTTTTCCTGCCGCCTAATTTTAGTTTAATGTGGCACACACACACACACACAGAGCACAGAATATATGCAGCCTTGATTGCTTGGCACACAAAAGCAGTTCAGGGGTCAACATGACATCTGGGTATGCCTAACATCTAGCAAGTTCCAAAACACATGAGCTATTTTTTTTCTCAGCATCTTTTCCCAGAAAATATCACAGACAGAGCTTCAGCTGTACATGTAACGGATGGCACTTTGTCACTGTACCTGATGCTGTTCTAATTCTGTCGCTCTCTGCTCATTCCAGAACATCATCCGTAAAGTCAGTGGGCAGAAATTTGTCTATAAGTTTGTCTCTTACCCGGAACTTTCCAGCATGGATGGCGTGAAGGATGAAAGCGGAGCCAAAAGACCTGATCAGGTCCAGAGTGAAGCCAAAGTGGGCGATGGGGCATTTGGAGCCCCCAAAGCCCCCCGTGGAGGTGGGAGTATCCCACGCAGCAGTCGGAATGAATACATGCGCTCCGGACTTTATTCCACATTCACCATTCAGTCACTACAGGCTCCTTCGCCTGCTGGACGGGTCTCCCGCCTTGAGTCGGAGCTCTTGCCTGTGGTGCCCCCACCTGCTGCTGTTGCCCCTGAACCACTGTCCCCTTCCCTGGCCCCGGTGGAGGATCTGCCCCAGTTGCACATCAGCATTGAGGAACCAGAGGAGTCCCCAGAGCCCCTGCAGGTGAGTCGCATAAGCAATCTCAGTGTGTTGGCGGACATTTGTGGGGATGGATGTCAAGAGGCTCAAACTGCTATTGACATGGGAGGACAGAAGGACTTGCTTCCCGCTGACTGATGGCCAGAGAACAAGGACTGACCGAGGTGCTAGAGGCATAACTCAATAAGCCAGGGGAACAAGAAGTCACTGGTTCCAGATTCCAGGGTGCTCTCAGTGGGCCCCACTCCCTGAGGGCCTCTGCCCTCTCCTTGCCAGCAGCCTGACATGCAGAAATTAAGCAGGTGATGTTTCTGTTGTTCCATGTGGAAAACAATAATTGTTTTGTCTGTCGGGCCACTTTCAAAGGCACAAGGTCTTGGTTCCAGATTTTCAACTTCTCTCTGTAAGTCTGTACTGTGAAAAGCAAGAGTTTTGTTTAGCTCCATAACACTACACTTGCTGCCTTTGGCAAGCTTTGGCTGGTGTGCCATTGGAGGCCCTTCCCAGAGAAGGTAGATATGGCTGTGGCAATTGATGCTTTAATCATCTGCATGGGGCTGCCTTTCAGGAACTTTCTTTCCTGCCTTTCAGGGAAATGTAGCTAATGAAAAATCCTCGTTTGTTTCCAGGCACAATTCAAGATGCTGGTGCTCAAAGTCTGCCTGCTGCCATATTTCCTTGTTTGCAGGTTAAATTGTGCTTGGGAGGGCCCTGTTCTGTATCCCACCACCAAGAAACATTAGCTTGTGGGAAGATAGCACAGGGCCATTTCAGTGGCTGCTTGTAGAAATCTCTCACTAGGTGGGTTAGTTAGGCTCCTTTTTGGCCAGTTTTAGATGGGTTGTTAAAGCTGTTTTGTTCCACTTTTGTTCAAATGATTTTTACACTGCAATCGCACTCCCTGATTTTAATGCTGACCTTTCTCCTCTTTTTAATGAGTTTGTTTAAATGATACTTGTACTGTTTTGCATGTTTGGGGCACAGTCCTATCAATTGCACCCTTGATGCTTGTAAGTCCTGAAATGCAGAGGCTTAGAAACATCCAGTACAGGATGGATGGAGCAGATTCTCTGTGTTTGCACAACTTTTGCTCTGTGTTTTAATTAGATGGCTGTCTAGCTGAGGCATCATGGACAGGGAGGGTGAAAAGTAGCAGGAAGCCTCACATGCTGGAGTTCCCAGTCTGTCCCCTTTACTCCTCACTGAGGTCACTCTCCTGACCTCGTGGAAGCCACAGGTGTAGTTCTTTCTGCACCAGCTCCAAGAGGAGGTGAGAGAGCTTGGGGCAGGCCTTTGCAGCTGTGTTCCTTGGGTCTGGGAATGGAGCTGGCCTCCCAGATGATATATAAGGTCCATAGGATTGCTCTCCCACACATAGCCTTTGGAGCCCATTTAGGGCCAAAAAGTGATTCATAAATAATGTTATAAATAGATGAACAAATAAACAAATAAATGTTGGAAAGTAGTGCTATTTTGTCTATTTATTGCTGCTATAAGGACAATATAACTTGTTGGGATGTAACTAACATAACTGGAATAGGAGCCAAAGAGATGTGGCAGGACCAGGGAAATGTAAGTCAAAGAGAAAGCAAACAGACAAGACCAGGCAGGATTGGGGTGGATGTCATATTCAGAAGAAAGCTAACTGATAGAATCAGATAGGGCAACTTAGTGCTCTTTGGATGTTTTGAACTTCAGCTTCCATCAAGCCCAGTCTGGGGTGGCCAGTGGCCAGAATTGCTGGGAGTTACAGCTGGAAACATTGGAAAGGTTCCAGGATGAGGAAGGCTGTAATAGGACAAGGAGAAAGAAAGTCTAAAGCAGGCCTTTTCTGGCCTAGAGGCAGACTATGAGGCACAGCAAAGGTGCTCCAAAGAAAGTTGCTGGCGATGCTTCTTTGCCTGCTGTGATTCATCCTTCTTCTGAATTCTGGATTCTGAATTCTTCTGAATTCTGGAGATGGGCAATGGGGGGATGGCCCCTCTTGTTAGCATCTTGACAGAATGCTGGATTATTCTGTCCATTTGTCCATCTGTCCATCCAGACCATTTGAGTGGAGCCAGCAAAGCAAGCCCAAAGCCAAGGAGAGTAGGGAGAAAAAATAGTAGTCCCAGATTAGCCTCACTTAAAAGCAGTGCAGGATTGGGGAAGGCTCCCTTAAGGCTGTGGGAGAGAGAGTTTTACCTGACAAAGTATTCCGACCACACCCCTGGGGGTTCTTCTTCTCCTTCCTGTCTAGGTCATTGTGGAGCCTGCCCCACTGGAGACTCCACCACTTGATGAAAAGGTGCTGGTGAAAATGGAGGAGAACCTTGACCTTGATGAAGAGGCAGCTGCTTTGTTGGTTTTGATGGATGCTGGAGTAAAGGAGGAGGCGCCCTCTTCAGAGAAGCCTTCCCTGGAGAAGGCGTCCCTGGAGGCCAAGCTGCCAGAAGGGGATGCGCTGCTAAAAGAGGAAGCTGAGTCCCCGAGCCCAGCAGCCACATCTCTTGAAGTGCAGCCCCAGAAGGGCAAGAAGCCCAAAGTTCTGGAGCTGCCTTCTCTGCCAACCCAGGAGAAAGTGAATGCAGCAGTGAACAGCCTTCTGGCTCCAGGAGGGACAGGGAGCACCCTGACTCCAACCACGGTGATTTCTTCCCATGCACTGGTGAGACCTCGTTTATCAGCAGGCCCCTCTAGATTTCACTCCGGAGCAGGAATTCTTTCCAAAATTGCGAGTACAGCCAGTCCCTGGGTTACAAAATGAGTTCCATTTCTGAGAATGTCTTTAAGTTGAATTTGTGTGCAAGTCAGATCATGTACAGTTGGCCCTCCACATTCATGAGGGTTGGGGCACAGGACCCCCACAAAACTGGAAAAACTGCTAATATCTCTAGGTCCTCCCCAAACTCATCGGTGCCTTCTCTTTGCACCAAGGAAAAGCTAGAGAGATTTCCCTTTCTGGATGGGTGGGGCAAGATGGCATGCTTTGGAGGCCTTCCTTGATCCCCTTTTGCTTCCTCTCTCTATGGTGATGCTTTGGAGGCCCTCCCACTTTCCCTTTTCACTTCCTCTCTCTCGCTGATGATGGCAATTTTCCACAGTAGGTCTTTAATTTGAATTTTTTAAATTAGTAGGCTTTATGGCAGTTCATAAGCACATAACTCAAACACTTGTAACCCAGGGACTGCCTGTATCCATTTTTATCAGGGACGTGCCTGAACTAAGTGGGATAGTTAACATTTCCCAGGGCATCGACTGTTGTTTTTACCTCATAATAACTATACAATGAGTGTAACTCATACTTCACTAAGGTAGGAAATGGCAACTGGGAGATTCTAACTACCACTATTTTGACCTTCACTTACCAGTCCAGAAGCAAGGGCTATGTGGGGAAGGGACCACTGGCTGTGGCAAAAGGGTTCCAGGCAGCCAGCTTCATAATTGGGTGCATTTCCACTCTTGCCTGCCAGTAAACTAACTGCATGCAAAGGAGGACAGCTTTTTGTCCTGTCAAAATTCCCTCTTCCATGTAGATACAAAAGGTACAGCAACCCTGTCCTCATTTAGCCCTGGCCATTGCAAGTAGCTCAAGCAGCAAAGTATTGAAAGAGTGGGAGGGCAGAAATGTGCATATCGTGCTGCCTGGGGATGATGGAAGTCGTAGCTCAACATTTCTCAAGGGCATGGGATTGGAGAAGGCTTCTTTAGCTCAGCTGCCTCTGTCTACTGCTATCTGGCTCACATGGAAAATAGGGCAGGAAAATGTTCCTTTGCCTTTAATGCCATGGAAGAGATGCAAAGTTGGCAGACACACTTGATCCTGCCTCCCTGGTTTCCTCTGTTCCAAACCTTAATCCATCACCCGTGCCTTCTTTTCAGTGCCATGTGATGGCAACATAGACCAATGGACTGAAAGTTGGTTGGATCCTGGATTGACTGGAGAACTGTTTTTGTTCTTGTTTTACCTTTCTGTTCGGTTTGTGACTTCTAATTCTTCTTTGCAGACCCCTGTTCTGCTCACCCCAAGCTCTCTGCCACCCACCATCCATTTCTGGAGCACCCTCAGTCCCATCGCACCCCGCAGCCCAGCCAAGCTCTCCTTCCAGGTATGGCACGAGATCCAAGTCGTCGAGAGGAGTTTGTGTGCGTATGTGTATGGTGTGTTGGGGAGCTTGAGGCCAGGGTTGTTGATGGTGGGCAGAACCAGACAATAAGCTGAGTATGAGGAAGCAGAAGAAGAGAGTCTGGTGCTGGTTGACAAAGGGCATATGACACTGCGGTTCCTGTCTCATGTATCTGCAATCCTGCTAAGCAAGTACGAGTCTGATGTGGATTTGGCATGAGTTTTGCAGAGCATATGTTCTCCCTGCCAAGTTTCTAAGCTCCATTACTGAAGAGAGGAAATTGGAAATGTGTGCATAATGCCTAGAAACCAAATGGCTAACCTCGCTTGGTGCCTCGAGTGCAAGATGTGGTCCTCAAGCAAAGGACACCATCTTCAGAAGGGGCAGCTGTGCTATGGAAACTTGGTCCGCTCCATCTCCCTTTTCCTGGGAGAGCCACTTCCACGCCCTTCCTGCTGCCCTGGTGCTGCTTCAGGAAAGGGAAGCATCCCTCCCCCTTTACTCGAAGTTCTTGCCATTTGTGCTGTGGCCCTGTGGCAGGAGAAGGTGAAGGAGGAAGCATTTCGGGTATTTGTACCCACAGCTGAGTTAGGACTAGGTGAAAACTGAAATGAAATGGATCTCACAGCCAGAAGCTTGTGTTGGAAAACTTCTGAAGGACATAGCATGAGGAGCTCTATAGGAGACTTGCTTCTCTTAGAGACATTTTGGACTCCTTCCTTAAATCTTCAGTTTCTGGGGGCAGAGGGGGGGATGAAAAAAAGAGACAAAAAAGAGTTGAGATCCCTCTGTTCTATTTAGTGGAGATAAAAGAGAAAACATTTACACAATCTTCTACTAAACTGCTCAGGAGGTTGTGAACTTCACATCTCTTTGACCATTTTCATATAGGTTTGTGCTGTTTTGTATCAGTTTATAGTCCCCTTCTCTATGTGCCCTTAATCTCCTACTGCACAATATGTTTGGCTCTGCAACTTTTTGCTCCTGAAGCCTTCCCCAACTTGGTCCCTCCCACCCCAGATGTGTCTGACAACAACACCCAACCTCCCCAGCCAGCATGGCCATTGTGACCAGGTTGAGAAAAGCTGTGGTATTTCACATGAAGACCAGATGTAATTCATGCCACATCTGGGGATTTGTCATGGCTGTGTGGTAGCTCTGGTTTGCTTGTTGCCCGACACCCCTGCATCTTAGAAACTTTAGAAATAATGTGCTATTCCTCTTCTTGGCTGTTCTCTTATCCTTTAACTTTCATTGGAACAGACTACTTAGGGTGCAAACTTATGGCCTCCTGACACTGTCTGCAGGGTGGGCACCAGATTTTTTGGAGCCGGGGCTCTGAAGGCAAACTCTTACCTGCCCTTCTCACAGCTGTCACAGAAAGAACTGTGCTGGCTGTCTCTTCAAGAATGCAGCTGGGCTTCAGAGAGGACAAAAAGTGGGGGCATGGGAGGAGGCTAGGCTGTCGCCTTAGCCCGGTTCCCATTGGTGACCCAGCCTCCTTTCTTCTCCCTCCCCAGCACTAAATCTAGATGGCCAAAACCAGCTGTCCAAAATAAATATGCAGGGCCTACCACAGATGTGCAGACTCCTGAGTTTAGAAGCTTGTATCCATCTGCCTTGGAGTATACTGGACTGTGACCTTATTCATTGATTTGAGTATGATGAAATTGTGCCACTGTATCCATTCATCTAGAAAATTTGATCATATTGAAGCCAGACTAGGGAAGACTGGCATCCTATGGCTCCCAGATGCTTTGGGCTACAACTCTCATCATTCCTTACCACTGGCTCTGCTGACTTGATGAGAGTTGTAGGCTAGAACATCTCAAGGGCCACCAGCTGGCTAAGCAAGACCCAGACATGCTACCTTGCAATCCTCTCTTAAGGTTCCTTTAGTCAAACAGTGCTGAATGTATTGCAGCTTCTGTGAGTGTCCTCGTTCTTATTTGCAATTTGTTAAGGGAGGGGAGACAAACAAGTCTACAGTACTAAAAGTAAAAAAATGGTTGCAGCCACGGAGTGCATGACAATGGCTTTTGCACGGAGGCTTCTGCATAGCCAAAGAGGCCTTTTCATTGGTTAGAAGGTGCTTGCTTAAATGAGCATTGATGGATTTTCTTAGCTGGTGGCTTCTGGCTACTGAGCAGCTCATCTGCCTATTAGGGTGGGGATGCTGGAAATTGGTGGGCAGGTTCTCCAGGTAGCCTGCCAAAGGAACAGAAGTCTGAATTTTGTAGCAGTTGAAAAAGAAAGCCCTTGGGGACACTGCTTGGAGGATGACCACTGCCTGCATGGAAGTTCCATGCTCTTATCTCTCAGATTGTATATTTACTTTTTAAAAATATGTACGTTGGTGCTGGACATAGATGTTCAAAAGCAAACTGGGGTGAGGGTGGTGTGCAGTGAGCCCCCAAGATAAGCTGTTGGTCTCACTATTTTTCAACAGGAATCCACCACCTGCTCTTCTGTCTTACTTCAGGGTAGGAGGGGCTCCCAGAAAAACTGATTTCAAACTGGGAAAGGTGGCTGCTCCAGTGAAACTCCTTGGGTGCAGCTGACGCTGAGCAAACTTAATCCAGCCTTCCCCCTTACCTGCCCTTGGCCCATGCAGAAGCTAGCACAGGCGTGTTCAGCCTTTTTCAGTCTATGGGCCAAATTCCGTTTCAGAGAAGTTCCCAAAGGCTGCATTCTGGGGTGGGTGGGCAAAAGGGGTGGGGCAAAAGAGCAGCTTATTTTAGCTGAAAGCTTTTACTGGCAGGAACCAAACCTTCAGGCCTTTTAGAATGGGAGGAAAACTGCACAAAAGCCATGAAACCATAAAACAATTGTGGTTGGAGGAAAGGGGGTGGGGCCAGAGGAAGTGGGTGGGGCCATCTGGGAAGGCCAGGGTGGACACCAGGAAGGATGTCATGGAGTGAAATGAGAGAAATGCTGGTCTGGATGCACTTTTTACAAACTAGTACACATGTCCAGTTGGACAATTTACTATTTCTGGGTGGAGAATTGGTGTGTGTAAAATACTTCCTGTGATAAGAAATAGATGGGCATAGTGAGAACTGGGGCAGACCAGGTGTGAAACCTGAGGGACAACATGTGGAACTTGATGTGTATCAACTATGGATGAAATGACATATTCCATGCATATAACAGATGCATGTAACAAATCCCAGAAAAAAGAAGCTTCTACAGGAGCAGAGGAAGGACGGGGTGTACATTAACCTTTTCTCCACTCTGCCCCCTTTGTTTCCTTTTGCTAAGCTTCCAAATATGTGTCTGTAAACTTGTGTGTAGAATGGAGCAATGCAGAAAGGATTAAGTTCCCCTGCTTTTGCATTCCAGGTTGCTCCCTCTCAAAGCTGCTGCTCCATAGGAAAAACTGACTTACGCTTTTGTTATCCTTTACACAGACGGTAAACTGTTTCTTCCTCTCCCTCTTTTCAGTTTCCCAGCAATTCTAGCTCACAAGTTCACATCCCCTCACTCAGTGTGGATGGACTCTCCACCCCTGTAGTCCTCTCTCCTGGCCCACAGAAGCCATAGAGTTTTCTTCTCTGCACCACAGTATCCCTTACTCCTGCCAAAGAACTGGCTCGAGTTGCTTTCCAAGGATCTGGGATTACTTATTGGGCTTGACAGCCATGTGTTCCTTCATTGACTGGAAGAGCCATTTTTCAGCTGAGGACCAATGCCCGCTTGAAGGGTGAAAATGGTGCCACAAGCAGGTTCATCCACTGGCCTTGGATGTGCCAGGAATTTCCTCTGAAGCCAAATGGTGTCTCCCTAACACCAAGAAGGTCGTGTGTTGCACTCGCCCTCCTTCTAAAGTTACGTATGGTCTTCAAATACCTCTTTGGAGGCAAGAGGGAGACAAACCTCCTTTATTTGGTCTCCTTTCTGAATAAGAGGTTGCCCATAATTACCATTTCATGTGATAATATGGGTTATTTTTTTGGTATTCTGACATGGTATCTAATTTCTTAATGACAATGAGTATGAGTGATGGTCCAAAGTCAAGAAGACCACCTATCTTCTCCCACCAACCAAGATAAATTGAGAATCTCATCTCATCCCATCCCTTCCTCCTTGCCATGGTAGGTTTTAGACAAGCTTACTAAAGGAGCAGACCCTGCAAGCCATGTTTATTTTGGCTGAATGTAGAGGGTAAAAGTAGCATCAGCCATATTTGTTTTGGCTGGGTAATGATTTAGACTATGGATGGACAATTATCAGGACATTGGCATGAAGCCATCCTTGTTGTGGCTGGATATATAAGTCAAATAGTTTCAGCCACACTTGCTTCTGGCTGCGTGGGATTAGGAATATCAGGGTTGGCCATGTATGTTATGGCTGAACAAAGAAGAGGAAGCACTGTTGATCATGTTTCTTCGGCCTTCTTGAAAAGAAGGGTATTGGAATAGGTTACTTTTGATTTGGTTTGCCGAAAAACATAATTGGATGTATTTGCTGTGCAACACAGTGGGAGGAAACGCTGCTGCTCATGTTTAGTTTTTCCACATAAGGTAGCAGTGTCAGCCATGTTTGTTTTGGCAAACAATGTTGACCAAAAGTCCTGTGGTTCACTGAGGCAGGGATGTTCTGGCACTTCATTTGGATATGTCATATGCTCACTTTGACATCAAGACAACAGCTGAGAAAGTTTTTATTCCCGCCCCCCATTGATGTACTTCCTAAAGGTCAAGGGTTACCAGTTCGTCAGCATGGAGACCAGAGAACAGAAGTTCTGTCTACTAATTTCAAGGCAAACTTTCTCTGTGCGAAGAATGGTTTCCTTAATTTATTTCCTGATGATCAAAGGTCACCACAGAGATGGCCAACGGGGAAGTCCTACTGTCTCAACATTTGAACATTTGACTGTCTCTTTTGGTTTCGTTTCCTTCATCACTGGAGAACTATCAGGCATCAGCTATCTTATGAGGGAATTTATTGCTGATTGGTTACTAAAAACAAAGTCAGTTTCT